CTATTGGCTTGGATACAACAGGCGAAAATATTATTTATTATTATTATTATAAAGACATAACATTTCATTATAAAGACATAGTAAATTTAGTAAACGTTGTACTTGTTTCCTTTTTCTCTTAACACTTCAAAGTAAAAATAAATAAACATTATGTCCACAATTCCTGAACTCTACAACGAAAAGTGCCATTGTGCTGGATGTAGTCAGAACGATCTCGGCTATAGTTTTGTTGCCAGAAGAACTGCTCAACGTCATAACAAAAGGGCAAGACTAAATGCCATAAGATGTGAAAGGGGTACAATATTTGAATTTATTTAATTGTATTGTAATCCATGAAATAACGTGTTGTAATAGACATGTCTACCCAAAGAAATATGATGGAGGTCGATGATGAACGTAAGGTTTATTTAATTCAGATACCGTTAGATATTAACCAAGTGTTATATTCTAAATGTAGCTATCTTAACCCATCAACCCGGAGCCCTGGAAGAATCGTACACTCAGACAAACTCACCTGTTTGGGAAGGAGCTTCAATGTCTGACACTGAAGACGTTTCCGTTACTAATGACGCGATCAGCAATGGCGACAATGATGACAGTGGAAGCAACAGCAATGAAATCAGTGAAGACGAAAGCGAAGACGATGTTATTGAGCTCGACGACAATGAATTGAATAGTGAAGGTCAGTTAGTGTTAAAAATTTTTTTAAAAAAAAAGCGTTAATTTTTTTTTATAATAGACCCTTTTGCCACCCCCGATATGCCCCAGAACCCAGTGCACAGGTTCATTGCTACTTTTGTGGTGATGTTCGCTTCCCGCTATGTGGTTGACAAGGGCGCCGTTGTCTTGATCGAGTTCATCAACAAGCTTTTGACAATTTACGAGCAGGATTTCCAACTGCCCTTGAGCCTTCCTGGTCTTCAGCGCATGACAGGTTTCTCAGCCATGACCAAAGGCATAAAGAAATTTGTTGTGTGTCAGGATTGTCACAATGTGTACGAAGAAAGTGCATCTGTCCCGTCTCATTGCGATTTCGTAAAGCTTGGTGCACGCTCGTCTTGCAACTGCCAATTGACGAAAACATCAGCATCGGGTGCTTTGGTGGCCAAGCGTTCATACTTGTACCAGTCCGTCGTTAATACTTTACGAATGTTTTTTCTTCGTCCAGGATTCGAGGATAAAATTAGACATTGGAATCACGAGCTGAAGATGGTGGATACGATGTGTGACATATACGACGGTGCCATGTGGAAGGAGCTCAAAGACAAAGATGGCGTGCAATTCACAAAGGATTCGCGTTCATTAATGTTGACTCTCAACATCGACTGGTTTCAACCTTTCGATAACGTCACGCACTCGACTGGTGCCATATACCTGGTAGTAAACAATCTGCCTCGCAATGAAAGATACAAGCCAGAGAACACACTTCTTGTAGGATTGATGCCTGGCCCGAAGGAACCCAAATCCGAAGAGATAAACCATTATCTCCGGCCTATGGTAGATGATCTGATAAGATTGTATGAGGGACTGGCAATCCCAACTTTCGAGTGTCCTAGTGGTGTCCGCGTCCGTGCCGCATTGATGATGGTGGCCTGTGACATCCCGGCAGCAAGAAAGACAAGTGGTTTCACCTCGCACAACAGTACATGCGCATGTTACAAGTGCAACAGACATTTCCCTCGCTTGGAAAACGGTGTCAATGTTGACTTTCGTGGGTTTGACTTCTCTCGGTGGGTGCTTCGTGACGGTGTAGAGAACAGGTTGCATGCTGAGGAGTGGGAAAGTGCTAGTACCCCCTCAGAAAGGCATCGGCTGGAGGTCGAAAATGGTGTTCGATGGTCGCAGTTGCATCGCCTTGGATACCTTGATCTAGTACGTGGAACGATCATCGATCCCATGCATAATTTATTCCTGGGAACGCCTAAAAGATTGATGGATCGTTGGATCAAAGACGAAGACATTCAAGATGGCGATTTTGCGGCAATGCAGAAGACTGCAGAAACGATGATTGTGCCTGGTGGATACACCTCTTTCAACTCGAAAATAGGAAAGCAGTTTTCGTATATGAAGGCAGACGAGTGGAAGTCATGGGTGCTCGTATACTCGCCAGTTCTGTTGAAAGATGTTCTTGCAAAAGACAGATTCGAAAACTGGATTAACTTTGTTGATGCATGCCGCCTGTTGATCAAGCCAACGATCACGTTCGATGAAGTCAACACTGCCCATCAGTTTCTTCAAACTTTTTGCACCAGATGTGACGAGCTGTACAACGCCGAAATCCTCACCTGTAATATGCACCTACACCTCCATCTTCGAGATACAATTCGTGATTTTGGACCAGTGTACGGTTATTGGCTATTTGGGTTCGAGCGGTTTAACGGGTTGTTAAAAAATTTGAAGACAAACAGGAAGATCGGGTTTGAAGAAACATTTATGAAGAAATTTATTGAAGATGTGCACAAAGACGATCTTGTCAACAGTTTCCTTCAGAGTACCCGCCAGACATCTGCATTTCCTCTCCTTACCAAACTCACTTCTTCCTTTACACCCGCCACCATTCCATCCATCCGTCAACGTACCTTCCGCATACAGTCATTTGTCGAGGCTTCTGAAGATCCAAATGTACTTGTAAAAGGCAACGAACCTCTCCCTCCTTCCGCATTCCCTCTATCATTAAAATCCGCTACCACAATGAGTGACATTCACTATGTTCATCTCTTACAATACTACAAAGTTGCGTACAACAATGAACAATTAGTTCACTTTCAACAAGCGTCGGAATCACCATACTTTGTCGACAATACAATCACCCTGTTGAAATACATCAACATCCTTGGGCAGGTCTACAAGGGTAAAGGTGAATCTGGAAGTCGTGGCTCTCTTGTACAAGCAAAGTTCATTGGAAGTACTGGTGAGCATATCATCGCATACACGGGTCAAATACAGTACATTTTCACCCATTCTTTCACTCCTCCACCCACCTCTTCATCCCTTACTCCCTTGCTCCGCACCCATCGCCGCCCAACACAACTTCTTCACAATTCTCAACATACTTTTGCATTTATCAAATGGTACACACCCGAAAATGATAAATCGCGAGAGTACAAACACGTTGAAACCTGCTTTCCAACATTTTCTCCTGACGATTTCCAATGTGTATTGCCAGTGCATAGAATTATGTTAGAAGTAGCAACTGCTGAGCATACAACACGCAGAAAAGTAAAAAAGATGCTGGTCATTCCTTTGCCAAAAAAACAATACATTTAAAAAATAATAAAATTATAACTCCCTTTTTTAAAGGCACACAGAAAAGAATAATCATAGTGTTTGTATTTGTTGGTACGTTTATCATTGTCAGATGGAGGATGTGGAGGATGTAGAGGATAAGAAAACAAAATTTATTGAAACTCATCTCTAAAAGCCCAGTGAGGGAGAAGGGACGTCAATCTAGGCGGGACTGCTAAAACAGCATCTCTACCGAAGGACCTCTTCAACATCTGACGCGAATTGAAGTCCATGCGATTACGCATAAAATCATCAACAACTGCAAGAAAGTGATTGTACTAAATACAAATAAGTGATTAATCAAAGTTCTGTTTCATTTAAATACATAAAAAAACAAAAAAAAGCTATATACAATAATGTAAACAAAAGAAATTACCTCATCGCTTCTCCAACTTGGACGCACTGTACGAATCGCACGGTTGCTCGAGACTCCAGGCATATCGTCTTCAGATTCGCCCTCAGACATTGCTTCTTTCTGTAAGAGTCCGTCGCAGCTCTTACCCACCTTCATATCAATTTCAGCCTTGAATGTATGGTAGGTCAGCTCGCGACGGTCAAAATGCTAGTTTATAAATGTATTAATATGAATACATTTAATTTGCAATCAAAATATACTTCTAACATACATCGGTCTCTCGACCTGCTTTTCTTGACCGAGAATTTGTCTTTTTGCGCGCTTCATAGGATTCCTTGACTCGGCGTCTCGTTCCACAAAAGTTTGTGTAGATACAATCGCTAATATCGGCCTGTCGAACACTAGTCCCAACAACCTTTGGAGCCAGGTATGCATGAAGGTCATGCATCAGCTGTCTGTTGGGTGGAAGTCTGTAATCAACATTAACATCCCAACTGCGCTTGCTGTCGTTAGCTGCAACTAGTTCCGGCTTATTTGATTTGAAGTTGTGTTTCTTCAACTCTCCTCGGATAAGAGCCTATACTTAGTGTGAGATATTATGTTGATGAGCTACTGTACATCTCAACACTTACTAAAACTCTAGTGCGATCCTGTTTACTAAGTTCACCAGCGTTTGCACCAGTAAGAACCACTGGACCAACAGAAGGAGCGACAGAAGGACCAACAGAAGGAGCAACAGAAGGAGCAGCAGAAGAGATACCAAACAAAGCCTCAGAAGGTGTTGTATACCAATCCAGAGTAGAACCAACGGAAGAAGCTGCGAAAGGGACAGAAGCAGAAGCAGGTATAGTGGTAGGAGCAATAACTGCAAGAAGTTCTCCAGAGGCATCGGCAACGCTATCAAGTATTTCCAATGAATCTTTGTTCCCCTTGATAACAATGCCAATGTTTGAATCCATGGTCTTGAGACTTTCCTCCATAGCGGTGAGCCTTCTTAAAAGCTCAGTATATTCCGGGGATGGAGCCGGGGCAATTGACTGACGATTGTTAACCATGGTCTGAAAGCTATCTAATAAAATGTTATACATGAGTTGATTGTTAATTATATTTGTTTTATATATCTATTCATTGTATATATAGAGTGTTATTAACATACAAAAGAAGTTAGGTGTTAAGCGAAAGAATAAAGTGTAGTTAATGGAAAGATGGTAAAAGTAAAAGCAAGAACCCATTTATTATATTACACTTGTTGCTGTAAATACTCAGGATTTCTTTAATACGCGTATCTCTATTAATACTTCCTGGAATTAACGGGGTGCAAATCGGCTTTGAACATGCTTTTTTCAACTCAATCCAATATATGATTTCTGTCTTTCAGCCTTTTGGCCCTTTGGTCTTTTGTTCTTTTTGTTTTTTTTTTTTCATTTACAAGTTTTCTCTCTTTTCTCTCTTTCCAACATTTATTATATTCACAGATTTTCTTGGTAAGATATCTTATTCTTTAATATTATATATATATATATAACTAAAATGATAATAATTGTTTTCTATTACTACAGACACTCGTGTTTTGTTACCTTCTGATGCATCCCCTTCACAATGTCCATCCGGATTAGCTAAGGTTAGTAAATATACTTTATGCTGTCATCCTATAAAATTATCCTGACCTTTTCCTTTCTTTTGTATAGGCCATATCGCCGAAATTACTCTCTACTATTAAACACGGTTATGAACACGGTAATATTTTATTTTATTTCAATCTATCTCTTTTTAATAAGCACATGGCTTAACATAATTTCTATTATAGATGAACCTCCCTCTCATGAGCACATCGCGAATCAAGAACTTTCATTTCATACGAGTGTCATTGACATGGTAATTTTTTTTGTACATATAACAATATTATTTATTTTGTATATTAATGTATATCATTTACTGAAGACAATATTAGCGTCTCCTATGTACTCTCTTGGTCTGCAAATAAATCCTTTTGCTTCGGGTAGGTAAATGAAATATTCTACCACACAGTTCACAAAAAATAATTTTTTTTCAGCATTTTTATAGCCAAATAAAGTATATTGAGTACTATGGTTCGCATTCATGACGCCTTTTCTTTTTGTCTCTGGTAAGCTATTATATTGCAAGCATAATTACATATATATATTCTTAATATCCACGATTTCTTGTTCAAACAGTTAACACTTTTCTAATTTCATAGAACAACCATTTACAAGCAAGCAACACACAACTGGGCTTTTCTCTGGGAGATATTGTTTGGAGAATACTTGTTTTATCAGAACATTGGCCATTTCAAATTGTATGAAGGATAGAACACTAGCCAGAATGTTCCTGAATATTAAATATAACCACTGTACTATAAACCTAAGAATATTCTTTTCTTTCTAATAAAAACAAAATAAACCAATAATTATTATAAATAAATTAAAGATCGGAGAAGTGTATGGAAGCAAACAGTATAAGAAGAAGTCTCTAAGATTGGATAAAATAAATTCAAATACAACAAAACCCTGTAAAAACTGGCATATCCATAAATTAAACAATGTAAAAACTGGCATATCCGTATAATCGATCTTTCATTTATCGTTCTTTTAATCGGAAAGCGGTAGGATATATTACAACAAAACGTAATTCTGAGTTGCCGTTTTAGTGCATGTGGTAAAAACCCATATACAGAAAATGCAAACACATCCTACTATCCTGCTGTTCTGACCTTTTCCTATGTTCGAAAGTTGGTCTTACCACCTATGAGTAAGCCAGCTTCATACACTTGTAAAAACTATCTGATCACATCGTAAAACCTGGTCTTTTCACATAATTAATTACAGTTTTACACATAAGAAAACCGCACCTCTTTTCCAGTGTATATAAACCAATAATTGCCGATCTGATATATATATAAGTCAATAGTCACTGATCTGATATATATATAAGTCAATGATCACTGATCTCATATATATATAAGTAGATAATCGCTAATCTGGTATATATATAAGCCTATAATTGCTAATTTCATATATATATAAGCAGATGATCATCGATCTCATATATATATAATTAATGATCATCAATCTAGTGTATATATAAGTCAATAGTTGCCAATCTGGTATATATATAAGCAGATGATCACTGATCTCATATATATATAAGTAGATAATCGCCAATCTGGTATATATATAAGTCAATGGTCGCCGATCTGGTATATATATAAGTCAATGATCACTGATCTCATATATATATAAGTAGATAATTGCCAATCTGGTATATATATAAGCCAATAATTGCTGATTTCATATATATATATAAGGCAATAGTTACCAATCTCATATATATATATAAGCAGATAATTGCCGATCTGGTATATATATAAGTAGATGATTGCCGATCTCATACATATATAAGCAGATGATTGCTGATCTCATATATATATAAGCAGATGATCGCCGATCTCATATATATATAAGCAGATGATTATCAATCTGATATATTTATATAAGCTGATGATAGTCGATCTGATATATATATAAGCTGTTAACTGCCAATTAGGTATATATATAAGCTGATAACAGGTGATTCACACTATATATAAACATATGATACTCAATCTGATATATATATAAGCTGATGATAGCTGATCTGGTATATATATAAATTGTTGACCGCCAATCAGCTATATATATATAAACTATTAACAGTCTATCTCATACATATATAAGCTGATATTAGCTAATCTAGTATATATATAAGCTGATATTAGCTAATCTAGTATATATATAAGCTGTTGACTGCCAATCTGGCATATATATAAGCTGTTGACTGCTAATCTGATATATATATATAAGTTATAACAGTCAATCTTATACATATATAAGCTATTAACAGTCTATCTCATACATATATAAGTAGATCACAGTCAATCTGATATATATATAAGCTGATGATAGTCAATCGGGTATATATATAAGCTGTTGACTGCCAATTGGGTATATATATAAGCTGATGACAGAGGATGTACACTATATATAAACATATAATATCCAATCTGATATATATATAAGTGGATCACAGTCAATCTGATATATATATAAGCTGATGATAATCGATCTGGTATATATATAAGCTGTTGTCTGCCAATTGGGTATATATATAAGCTGTTGTCTGTCAGTTGCATATATATATAAGTTGATGACAGGTGATTTGCACTATATATAAACATATGATATCCAGTCTGATATATATATAAGTAGATCACAGCCAATCTGATATATATATATAAGTGGATAACAGTTAATCTCATATATATATAAGCTGAACACTACCAATCTAGTATATATATAAATAAATGCTATCTGATCTGATATATATGTAAATCAATAACAGTCAATCTGTATTATATATATATATTTATCACATCCAATTTACGACTTATATAAGTTAATAAAATGTAATATATAATCAATATTAGCCAATAACATTTGATTTATTACTAATATTAGCCTATAACATCTTATCTATCTCTGATATTAATCAATACTATTGGATCTATCACATTATATATATTCACACTTGTCAATATCCAAGTCATATCCAATCATCTCATCAAATATAAGTTACATACTCTAATCATATTTAATCTTTCATTTTATATATATTCACAACTCTTTTATAATCTTTATATGTGTATTGTTAATGGAGTTATTTTGGTTTAAATAAAAGATGTTTAAATGTTGCTGCGTAGCTTAAGTGTTATCGCGTTGTGTTTTGGTTCTGAGCACCCCTGTTCGACCCTACGTGATATCATTCTTTTATTTCGATTTTTTTGCGTCGTTTTTTTGTTTCTGATCTGGGTTGGTCTTTCTTTTACTATAGTAAAGTCAAAAGGTCAAACCAACTGGGGATCAAGAAGTATATGTAAAATCAAAGATAGGATAAAAGATACTTTTTATGTATATGAATTGATTTGTCATATATAGTTTTCTAAAGTAATACTGCGCATTATCTGCATTAGCTATTATATTAGATTTAAATAAAAGGAAAGTCATTATACTTTGGTTAATGCTCAGGAAGATATTACTGCGCATAAAGAGGTATTGTGGTTAATTATTTTCAGATTGTACGGATTCATCAAAATAATGTCTGACAGTTTTTTTTTTGTAATAAAACAACAGTATAATACTACTGTTATGAGTTTTCTTTTTTTATAATTTGTTTATTAAATTAAAGAGGTGTAAAGGAAAAGTCTGTTTACATATCAAGGGAAGGTTTGTGATTGCTTGTTATAATAAGTATATTATAAAAGTTAAAATCTCAAGAAATGAAATATAAATAGAGATATTATAGTTCTAGAGTATATTTTTTATTATAGTATAGCAAACAAAAAAATTAATATAAAATAAACTATTTAGCTGAAGTATAAAATCAACATTTAGTTTTTTTTTTTAATTTTTTATTATTATTATTTTTGTTTTTTTTTATATTTTGGGTTTTATATTTTTTTCTTATTTTTTATTATTATTTTTTTTTATTTTGTTTTTTATTTTATTTTTTATTATTATTTTTTTATTATTTTTTTATTATTTTTATTATTTTGTTTTTTATTTATTTATATTTTATTTTAATGCTTTTATTATATTTATAATAAATTAGCATTTCAAAAAAATTGTGAATAAACATATTAATTTTTTTAGATAAATTCTATTTTTTTTTAGTATATATATGATATTCGGCTAGGGCGGAAATATTTGATTTATTTTAATTTTTACCCACCTGCGCACTATACCAAATTCCGGCGGCCATCTAATCGTAGCATGATTCAATCTCCGAAAAAATTCTAAAGACCGACAATGCGCCTCTAATGCCACTTTTCAGTTACTCTTCGTCATTAGCTATCGATAGAGCCAAGAAGCATACAAATACAATCAGTAGAAGTCGAGAAAAGTAGAATTATATAAATTTTATTTTTTGAATAAATATTGATTTCTCAAAAAAAAATAATAATATTATAAATGCCGACTGAAACCGATATTTTTTATTCTTCTATTATTTCTAATCGTTTTATTTTTATGTATTTTATTGTGTGTTTAATATTTTCAAGTTATATATATATAAAACCAATATGTATTTGTATAGATTAAATATTATATCAAGAAGGCACGTTTCTATCATAATAGTTCACACGGTATCTACTATGAACTATTAATCAGTTTTTTCAGATATCTGGTTTTTGTGTGTCTATGCATCGCATTTGATAACAAGCTTGTTATACTTATATATTGAGATATGAATTTTATAACATATGTATAGTCAAAATTATGAAACTAACAAATACATACTTATACCAAGGCATAGATTTGTAATATTAGTGTAGCAAAAAACTGTGTGTTAATAGACCATATAACTCTTGGTAAAAGACTTATTCTATATAACACACAACGCAGAAAATATATTTTTGAATGTTGGGATGACTAAAGAAAATATTAGTAGCTAGCCTTGGTTAATCTGAATATACTATAGAAAGAACGAATTTGGACGAAGATAAAATCTTTAATGGCAGAAATACTAATACTCATTTTTTGTCAGAATAAGAAAATGATATTGAAAAAAAATTGAATTACAAAAGTTTGAATAAAGTAGTATGTAGTGTAAAAGAAGCAAGTACTTAATCTATTGTCGTACTACAAGGACTGTAAAAAGTATTTTTTTTTGTTTTGGGCCACAAAAATTGAACACTGCTTTTTTCCCTCTCTTTTTCATTTCTGGAAGTCGTGACGAATCCCTAGAAAGTTGTAAATAATATATCTGCGGTTGTCGCATGCCACAGGAAGCATTCAATGGTTTTTTTGTACGGAATTGACATTAGACAGATCAAAGTAAGAATTCAAGATGTCTTGAGTTTCTAAGGATCTCTCTCTCCACAGCCATACGCACACACACTACAAGTCTCGATTCTTTTATTCATTTTATTATTATTTTATTCTCAAGTTGAATTCTTGTTTTAGCCTTTCTTTACTTTGAACAAACATACCCACTTCCTAGAGAATGATAATGCATCACTCATCTTGGTAGTGGGCAACATACATACATACATATATATATATATATTAAAATCGTTTTAAACAACGAGTCCCCCCCTTTTTTTTAAAAAAAAAAACAAAAAAAGAAAAAGAAAAGGTAGAAGAAATAGGGTTCCCCCGACATTACACATAATCCTAATTGAATCTTTGTATAGTTCACTCATTCCCATCAATAATCACTCGTTGTCTAATTTTGTCGAGATCATTTCCCTTGAGGTGTATACGTAAAAACATATATTTGCGTGAGTTCACTGGTGCCTGGTCTCTTTTGACATTATAGCCTACCCAGATAAGTTCAATAATTTTGAATGAGCAAAATAAACCACTTGAGAATAAGTATAAAATAAAAGAAACCCCTGTGAAAAGAAAAAATAAAATAAAAGTAAATTGGCAAAGCTAGACAAGAGATTAACAGTCTAGGATAGAAATGAAGAGTTTTAAGGAGAGAATACCTGCGTGAAAAGTTGGATTATAAGAGTGTAATATATAAATATAATGAGTAAGACCACGCGCCGAATAAATCTATAAAGAAAGAAAAAACAGTGGCTCGTTAAAAATGGAGGATACCTATTATTGTACTGGCTAATGCCAATAGTAGGAATGTGGTTTTTCTTTAATCTCAACTCCAAAGAAAGCTTTATATTTAGAAACTCTGGAAGACGGGGTGGATATGGAACCAGAATGCACGGCAATACCAATACAACGTGGACCACTTTTATATATTTCTCAGGTAGGCCCAGAGAGAGTATAGGAATTATTTATAGCTGTTATTGTATGATATTAGGTATAAGAACGGATCACTCTTGACAGGATCACTTGTTGGAGGATATGAATGCAAACGGTTTTCAGTGCGTGATTGAATTGCAAAGTCGATGAGGATTTGAGCAAGCTTGGTAGTCCGGACATTGATGTAAATGGCTTGCGGGATGTTAAGGGGTAGATTGATAGCGAGCTGCTTGTGATTTACATTGATGCTATTTAACCAGTTGTGCTCACTTTCTGTACACGTACATAAGTCATGTATTTGCTACAGGATTTATCTAAGAGGTTGGTACGTGTGTTGAAAGTTGTGGCTTCAGGTAAGTCATTCTGAATACCATTGAAATACTCTTACACGTTTTATGAGCAATTATTTTACATCGATGGTCCAGTAATATTAGTAAAATAAATAAAAATAAAATGGTAATATATGTAATAAAGCATCATAAATTCAGCCGTAGCTATATTTTAGAGTAAATTGGTTTGTGTGTGTGTGTTCCGGATGATGTCCACAAAAGCGCCGTGTTTTTCATTCATGATATATACTATTATTTTATCTACAGTTTAATAGTTGCATTTGCGCTGATAGTGTGGTCGATTAAACATCAAAGGGCAAGCTTATTTTAACGACACTTCCATTTATTTGTGCTACTTAATTTATGATCTACACCAGAGTTGTTTGGATCCTTTGAAGTATTCCTGTCTGAAATTTTTTGGTAGTTACCGCGTCTTCATTGAATATTAGGCGGAATATGGGATATAAAAAATTGAACAAATTGAGATGATTGGAATTAGTCGATTTATTTATTCATATAACAAACCCGATCCGGTAATATATATATATATCTAGACACATCGTTTCTGGAATATTAAAGACAAATATATGGATTATTTGCTTGCAAAGAAGTATGCTATGCTGCCTTGCATTTCCAGTGCATTAATTATTACTGTACATATGCTAGGGTGTAGAGCACTTGTAAGGCACTATGACTCAAAGAAATAGTAGACAGGACAGGCTGGAATTACGGCGGTATTATTTTTCTTGGTTTTCTTCAACAACCACTCGAGTTTCAGGTATATTAATCAAGCCGGTCATACCGGAACCTGTAGGAACATAAAGGATAGTATACTATAATGTAATAAAGACTGAAATGTTTACTGTTAGTATTATTAGCTTTTAGACCTTTTTTTTTGACAGCAGAGATTAATGTATGTTCTCTGTAGAAGAATATAAATTGTGATTTTATGCCTTTATTTGGCTTCACAGGGAAATTCTTGCCGATGTTCCAACTATAGCTAGTCAATTGACCTGAGGGACATCTTATTGTTTTTACAAGAAATAAAATAAAAAATAAGACTTGTATTTTAGAAATGTATGATAATTTTTATATAAGGGCAAGAGTTTATTTAAGTCTGATTGTATGTTGACTAACTTTACAGGAAAATAAAAGGTGATTTCGGTGGTAGTTTTAGAGGTTATTGTAGGGGCCAGTTTTGGGCACATTTTTTTATTTTAAACTGTTAATAAAATCAATTTTTTTTTGGATTTATTTATTTATTTCTAGGTTGTGAAGTTAAACATAATTATCACTTTTATCTTTTGCATTAGACACTTCTTTATTATGACCGTAAATAACACCCAAACAATAAGAATAATAGTAATTAAAACAAGTTTTTCAGGGTATATCAAAATAGTAAGTGGTTGAATTAGTTATTTAGAGTAGCAATATTCAAAGATAGTGGGTCAAGAGGTTATAATTTCATTTTTATTATAAAAAAAGGGTGGTGACTTGAATAACACGTATAGTATGAGTCTTGTAAATTGACTTGATAGTTATATACATTTTGATATCATGTAAGCTCATTTTATATTTATCTGCCATTTTTCAACAATAGGTATCGTGTTTTAGTATTAATTATAGATTTCTTTGATAGTCATTTTTGTTGCATTATTAAAACACACTTGTAGCCTTTTATTTTATGTATATTCAAGCTTATATTTAATAGAATAACTGCACTCGTTCTTTCTCTTATTCCGTTTTCTCTTTTGATATTATATTATTCTCTATAATATATTCAGTATTTTTGCAAGCTTGCTTTTCAGCCTTGTACTTTTAACAATACATTTGTATGTGTTTGGGGGCGATTGCTTTTTCTTGGCCGCCGTTCTCAAGGTAAGGGTAGGATATATACGGAAAACACAGAGAATAAAAGAAAAAGGATCGGTAATTGGATATGTACTTTTTGAAACTTAACAGTCTATTTGAAACTTTCGATATAATTAACAAAAATATAAATGGTATGCCAGATCATAGCCAAATAAATACACAAATATTCTTCACAAATTGATTATTTGTTTTACTGATCACCAAACCCCACTCTGACCTAATCTAACCTAACCTAATCTCTTTTCCTTTCAATTGAAAAAAAAGAGCTTATATATATATATATATATCTTGGTGGTATTTAAAGAACAAGTTTCTATAGCCTAGGGAGTAAAGTCTGATAAAACAAGAAATCTTTTGAATTGTCACTCTTCAAGAACAATAGAAAATGAAACCAATGTTTTTACATACAAAAGGTCTCCTTATACAAGTCTATCTCTCAAAAAAAAAAAACTTACAAGTCACACTCAACCCATAGATATATATTATTTATTTATTTTATTTTTTTAAAAAAAAGAGTGCATCTTTATTGTAGCTGTGATTCCCGTCTCCCTCCCTTTATTTTAATTTTATTATATAATATTTTCAAATATGAGAGGACTCTTTATTGTTTTGGAAGGATGTGACAGATCTGGAAAATCAACTCAATGCCATCAACTTGTGAAACAGCTTCAAGCAAAAGGATATTCTGCTCAGTACCGCAATTTCCCTAATCGCACAACACAAACAGGCAAGATGATTGACAGTTATCTTCGACAAGCAACAGAACTGGATGATCATGCTGTACATTTGTTATTTTCTGCAAATCGCTGGGAAGCAATGTAAAAATGTCCTTTTTGCTTTTATTTATTTATTTATCTTCTTGCTTTTGATAGTGTCTTAAACATCTTTATCGCTTGTCTTTTTATTATTATTATCATTATTTTATTATTATTAGGAACTCTATAAAAGATACATTGGAATCAGGCATCACTCTTGTCGTCGACCGGTACGCCTTCTCCGGTGTTGCGTTTTCTTCAGCAAAGGTAATTTTATATATATTTAAAGAATATGCGATTTTCTTTATTCTATTCTATTATATGTTATGTTATTCTTTTATATATATATACATATAAATTCAAAATATAATACGTATATTTGTTATATTTTTGTGTATAAATATAAATAAATAAAAAATGTATATATATACATATATATATATATATGTATGTATGTATGTATATGTATATATAAAGGGCCTTGATTTGAATTGGTGTAAGCAGCCTGATGTTGGTTTATTGTCTCCTGATGTGGTGGTTTTCTTGGATCTCTCGATTGATGAAGCTGAAAAGAGAGGTGGCTATGGTGAGGAACGGTATGAAAGACGCGAATTACAGACCAAGGTCAGAAACCAGTTTATGAAATTGAAGGACGACACATGGAAGGTGGTCAATGCGGCCCAGTCTGCAGAGCAAGTCGAGAAGGGGATTTGGTCTATTGTTGAAGCTGCCCTGAGCACAAGCACAAATCAACGCAAATCACTTTTGTATAGTCTCTGGAAGGATTGAGCTTATATACGAATATATCGAATATTATATATATATATAAGAATAAGATAGAAAAGGAAATTCTTATTTTTTTGAATGTTATATTGCTGTTGATATAATTCAGACCATAAGGATCCATTACAAAATATATTTTTTTTAACAAAATCAATAAATGATAGCATATTAGCTTATGGGACCTTCTTTTAATAATAGTGCTAATCTTAACAATCATCAGGCAAAAATTGTAATTGTAGTAAAAACAAAAAACAAAAAAAAATAAAAACAGTGAATTAAATGAATATGATGCTCTTTGCTTTCTACTTGGTCGTGTAATGAGGCATCTTGTCCAATTCTTTGTAAACATCTTTTCGACTAACTTGAGGTGGACGTCCTTTACCATCTTCGCTGCGGTTGGACAAGGATTGGGCACCCAAAAGACTGCTTAGGGAAGAAGAAGAGGATCCCCCTTTGGGGGAACCGGCCAGGGGAGTCGCTCCGGTCAAGGGAGCCTTTTTGGATATCAAAGACTGGAAGAAATTGGCCAAAACTTCATGTGAAGGTCCACCTCCACTACTGCTGCTGTTACTACTACTAATGCTGCTGCTGCTGTTGATGCCACCGATACCACCATTTCCAGCACCGATACCTTCGCCCATCATACCGCCACCCAATGAGCCCGGAGATCCAAGGTGGGATTGGGATGTAGCACTAGACCCTGCGAAGCCATGTAGTCTGTCAATTGAACCATTACTACCACTTGAAGATAGCTATTTTCCACATATACATACGTGGGTGTGGGTGTGAATTTGTATTTAGTAAGCTTATTTTTTATTTTTATTTTTTAACTCGCATATATTACTATTACTATTATTACCTTTCCTAGGGTTAGTTTATCAAATGGTGATTCCTGTGGGTTTTCAAATGTTCGATTTATTTAATATTATTAGCCGTCTTGTTTTATATAATAATAATAATAATCAAGGCATTACCTTGCGTTGTCTTGGAAGATCATTTTCAAAATCTTCACTTTTGACTGTGTCAAGGACCAACGAGGAAATTCCCAGGGGTCCTACGACACTTGGACGGGTCAATGATGCATCAGCACCGGTTCCGCTTCTATTCTGGATTTCTGGGGCGCGCTGAAGAGTTTCAAAGTGTCTTTCCAAAAACACTTGTTCATCTTCACACACAACCACTGGAGGAATGTTAAGTGGCTAGAAATATAATTGTAAAAATAGATTTAAAAAATAAATAAAATAAAAATAAAAAAGTTTAAGTTATTTACCATGTCTCCTGTATCTGGATTAGGCGTAGCTTCTTCGTAAAGCCCTCTTGCGCCATGATCGCCTGGTTGTTGCCTGTCTGCAACAGCTTCTATATCTGCATCCCAGCCTGCACTCACACCTTCACAATCAAAACCTTCCTTGAGGATCCGGATCTTTCCCCATGAATCCCAGCCCGACGGCACAAATACCGAATCACGCTCAACCACCTGGGCCTTGAGAGAAAATGGAAAGGTTTTTGTGGATCTGGTCAATAGGCGATGTAGAATGTACTGACGCAGGTTGTGGAAGGTGTGAGGATAGAGAGTAGAAGTATATACAAGAGCAGCACCATCTATCATTAAACAATATATATATATATATATATATGACGGTTAATATTCTGTGTTTTGTGCTGTAGTGTGCTGTAGTGTGCTGTAGTATATATGTGTGCCTTTTTTTTTAATTTTTATTATCAGACTTACATTTCATACAAATGCAACGCAGTGTTTGTTGTATAAAATCAAACTGATCTTCATCATAATCCTGGGTTTGTTCCAATGTGTTTATCGCATCACTCTTTATGGTTTTTTTTATGTGTTTGTGTATAGATATGCATGTGTTTCAAAAAGAAAATGAAAATCAAAAGAAGAAGAAGAAGGTTAATATATATGTGAGTATGTTTACGGCTATGTTTATCAATGCTTCTTCTTCTTTTTTTTTTTTAGCTTTTGTATTGGTTTATTTACCTTGCAGCATACTACAGCCATCGGGACACCGAGATTGTTAGTTAAACATCCCTGCGTCAAAGGGAGTGTCACTTGATCTGCTGCAGTGGTTGTTGTGACCAGGGGAGTCAACACAAACCCTGTGGTGAGTGGAGTAGAAGGCACAGACGTTGTGGTTGGAGTTGATGCAGTGTTGGTAGATGATGATGGCACCGGTGGGGCTGCGTTGACGGTAGGTTCTGAATAAGTCTTTAAGAAATGCTCCACTTTATGCGTACGTGCGTGCGTGCGTACGTGCGTATATGTGTATGTAGATGTGAATGTAAGTGTAAGTGTAAATGTAAATTCAAATAAGTGTATGTAAATTATCATAAAACAAAGCAAATACTATTACTACTTCTTTAATTTAATTTAATTTAATTTTTAAAAAAGATAAATGCATTATATGGTGTATAGTATATAATTTTAGATTACCTTTCTCGCGAAGGTCATCCACAATTGCCTTTCCACGACTCCAGGATTCTCCTACACTCCCTTCTTTGCAGATCTCCTGTATTGATCGCTGCAAGACATCGATCCAACGCTCTAATGTCTCAAGAAACTTCCAAGGACGGGTCCAATCAAGACACAGAATTACAAACGAGTCTGCCAATGTGTCTGAATTCAATGCAAATTTCAACAGAGGTTGATATTCTGGGGACGACAAGCCCAATTGATAAAGACCAAGACGTGCCATGGCTTTTATGATAGTGATAGTGATTGTATTATTGTATTATTATTTTGGTATTGGTTTGATGACATTATTATTATTATTGTGATCGATTGTCATATATAATATATACATTCATATAAAAAAAATTGAATTATTATCATTATTCTTGTGATAATAATTGTCATGATTGTCATAATTATAATCCCAATTATTATGGTTACGATTATGATGAAAATAACACTCCAATAGATCAAGTTAAATCCAATTTTTTTTTAAAAAAAAAAAGCTCTACTCTGCCTTTCTCTCTCATCACCATCTTTATAACAATAATACCAAATATTTTCATAGTTTTCTTTAAAAGAATATAATTTACACACATGTAAAAATAGTGTAATCGAGAGAATAAAGAAATTCATCTCAAATACACACTTCTTTTTGGTTTGTTTTTTTTTTTTTTAAAAAAAAAAGAGAAAAAAGAAAGAAAGAAAGAAAGAAAGAAAGTTTAATTATTTTTTTAATTGATTTTGTCCTACCTTCATTTTCTTCATCTTGAACATCAACAAAGGTGTAGCCTAATGCAAGCGTGCTGATGGAACCTTTGTCTAGATTGTCTACTGTCATTGTGTATGGATGTGAAGACACACCAAAAGAAGTTCCAGGTTGGACGTCGTCTGATTCCAACTTTGGTGTCTGTGGTCCAGGATCGTGTTTAAGATAGTGAATCAAGGTAGATTTACCACATTTAGGATCACCTGAAATGATGATGATTATGGTGATTAAGAGATTATTACTTGTTATTATTTTTTATTTTATTTTTTACCAAGAATGAGGACATTCTTTGTAGGAACCATTTTAGATGATGCTACTCCTCTGAGGATTGTAGACCAGATCTCATCTTTGTCTGAGGCTGGTTGAGTATGTTGTGTTTGTGTTGATATTCCCAAGGTTGAGGAAGTAGATTGGCTCTGTGAAGGAGTGGTATTGTTGGTGCTTGGTCGTAGGAGAGTCATTGCAACTACCTGCGTTGCTTTTGTGTAGAGGTTCTGAAAAGTGTTTTATTATTTAAATTATTTAAATTGGTTCAGTAAAAGGAGTGATAATGAAAGTTAGGGAGGGTAGAAGGAAAAGGGGGAAAAGGGCATGGTGTATTATTATTATTTTTACTAACTGATAAGCGGTTTTTTTTTATTTGGTTATATTTCATCGTAATATAAAATGGAAAATATGTATAAAAGTAACCCCCTCTTTTATATATTTACATATGTATGTATGGATAACGCTTATTAGTATTATTTTATTAGGTGAAAAGATATTGATACTCTATTTGCACTCCAATATCTATCTATATATCAAATGTCTTTTTTAGATAAACTTGGTTAATTAGTCTTCTTTTATATTTATATATTTATATATTTGTTACAAAACAATTTCTTTAATTTTTTGTTATAGATGCATCCTTTGTAATGACGAGGAATCTCATATTATAATGTGCAATGACAACTAGACTTCTTTTATTTTTTTTACAAGTGACCATTGCAAATGAAGAAGCACAATTATAGCCCGAGGCTTAGATAATATGATTTATTCTGAAAAAAAGAAAGAAGAGAGAAAGAGAGAACAGTTTTGTATAGAGTGTAATGTACTACTAAAGTAAAGAGCAATGATAAGATGGATAGATTATATTACCTCATCATTATGAATCCAACTAATGATATACTAGAGGCTTAAAGACCAAATAATTTAAAGGATCAGATTATCAATTAGAGATTGTTATTAATAACATTAATGGTGATAAAAGAAAGCAAAGGGGATTATGCGAATTTGCTTGGATTGGAAAGCATGTGAGAAATGATTTATATTCTATTGCTACCAAATGGTATAAGCTAATGACTCACTCTATCTTGGTCTCATCTGCAGAGTAAATTTAGTGTAAATTATACAAATGACTACTTGTCTGTCTTTTTGAACAAAAGATCCTTTTTATTTATTTATTTATTTATTTATTTATTTGTTGATCAGATCAATGATCTACTGAATACTGAATACTAGATCGTGGTCTGGTCAATACTAATTGTAAAGGCCGTGAGAGAAAATCCAGACTATAGATTCTGTGGGTTTGTTTTGTTTGTTTCTTTGAGATTAGTCATTGATAATTATAGATATAGATACTTCTTTAATGAAATCCTCTTTTGTATGTGTTTGTTTATTTGATTCTTAGTTTGTTTCTTTGTTCAGCCTGGTCAGAAATAAAACTCGAATTGTGGATGGTGAGACACTTTACTGCATACAAAATAAACAGAATCAAATAAAGGGTTTTTTTTTCTTAACTTGCATTATTCTGCATATTGATTTTTTTAATTTTTTTTTTTAAAAAAAAGCTAGCCGCACAAATCTTTATTATTAATAATAATATTTATAAAAACCTAACTAACTAACTAACTCATCGAATCGAATCGAATCGAATCAACTTAAAAAATTATTTTTATTTGACTGAGCACAAGGCCAGGTCATAGTTAAAATTCTAGGCATCCTTTTAAATACACTCTTGCTTGGACTTGAATATATAGATAGATAGATATATAATCAATTTGATTTGATCTATCTGTTTAATGGCAATAGTAATAATAATAAAAGGTTCAAATTAAAGAAGAGCAATGTATATATATATTTCTATTTTTTGTTTGTATTCCATTTGCCCTGAATCAATCTCAAAACTGTCCAATAAGTGCATAATAAGGGATACAACAACAAATAAAATAAAATAAAATAAAATAAAATAAAAATATCAAGTAACTTCTCATTTTGTTTAATGTCCTTCTTTCTTAATTTTTTTTTTTCAATATTTCCAAATATATAAAATAAAATAAAATAAAATAAAATCTGAGCGGTCCGAACAGAGTGACACCAACAACAATCATTAAAAATAATATTTATATTTATACTATAAGGAAAATACAACCTAGTAATCTATTTAACAAGACTATAGCATACAAGGAATACGTTGTATGTCCTGTCAAATGTTAAATGAATAAATATAGAAAAAGAGAGAAATCTATGTCTGTACACAGACTATGCTACATACTACAGCACACACCTATACATATATGTATTTACATATGTACATATGTATGTATGTAATAAAAGAGAGAAAGAAAGACAAAGACAAAGACAAAGTTTACAAGGCACAAGGCACAAGGCACAAGGCACAATAGCACAATAGCACAAAACATAATATTTTATCTGTCGTCTGGATAGATGTGCTGCATTGTGCTTCTCACAGAAACAGGCAATTTCCAAATATGGTCATCAAATGATACATCCTTATTTTATTTATTTATTCATTTATTTTTGTGGGGTCTGTTCCGGTGTATCATTTGTCTACTTTGTATTAAACAATTTTCTTATTTGCTTGTCTACCAGCCAACCCAATCAATTAATTATACTATAGATTTTTGTTTTGGTTTGTTTTGGTTTGGCTTGGCTTGGCTTGGCTTAGTTTATTTTGTTAATCAAAAGCCTAACTAAAGCCAAGTCATTGTATAGTATAGTATAGTGTATTTTACTTTCATATTCTTTCCTTTTCCTACTCCTCCTCCTTCTTCTTTCTTCTTCTATTCAACACCCCCCGCTCCCAACCTTTGACCACCCCCTTGTGTCCTTTATTTTTTTTTCTTATTTTATCCCTTGTTTATTTCTTTATTTATTTATTTATTTATTTATTTTTTTAAAAAAAATAATTTAAAATGTAGATAGCTGTTTCCATTTAAGTATATAATAAAAATAAAATAAAGGCCAATGTTCAAATCATCGAAGCGCATTGATAGAAAATGAATATATTTCCCTGCAGTATATATATACAAATGTACAAATGTACAAATGTACAAATGTACAGATGTGGATTGCATTGCAACTCGAGAAAGATACAAAATAAAATTGTATTCTACATCTGTCACCATTTTTTTCCCCTTTTTATAAACAAGGGGTTTCTTTATTTTATATATATATATATATATATATATGTTCTTTCTATAATAATAATAATAATAATTATGATTATGGTTATGGTTGTAGTTGCTGATTATTCAATAGCAGTTGCTTTGTGAATAATCAGCTATTTACGTATTTAAGAAATATTTGGATGTTAATCCTAGATGCTCTTGTGGTCATATTCTTTATTTTCTAGACATCTTCTGACCACAACAAAAGAGGCACAAATTGTAGCAGAATAAATATAAATATAAATATAAATATTTATACTTTATATCCATAAACCAAACTATACTATCAATATTTGTTTATTCTCTTTACAATTCATTGGACAATACAGACAAATAGACATATAGCATAAAAGAGTGCAAAGTGAATTAAAGTGATTACTACAAGATGTGTAATATAGTCATAGATATCTATAAAAGGAAAGTATATAAAGTATAATTGCTAATTTCTATTTTAGATGCATTGTTATTGGCCAAACCAGATACTTTTACGATACTTTAGTATATTCAAGGATATCACACACTATATAAATAAATAAATAGCTATTTGTTTTGCTTGTGCAGTGAAATTTGACCACATTGCAGCAACCTTATGGATACAAACAAGTCAATCACTTACTATTACTATATAGTGTAAGAGAAAATAAATAAAGGAGGCACTTTATATATTCTATTCTATTTTATTTTATTTTATTTTATTTCCCCCCCTTTTATTTTTGTTTCCTCTCTCTCTCATACACATAACCCCTCAGTCTTTGCCTCTGTCTCTGTATCTCATACCCCCCTTTTCCTTCAATCACTCTAAATTATTATTATTATTTTTCTGTCTTTGTATTTCAGAGGATTGGGCTTGTTGAAGTCTAAGTTCCGCCACTTACTTCATCTTTTTATATATGTAATATAAAATTAACCTTTATTTTTATTATTTTTTAATATTTATTGTCTCTTTATTTACTTTGCTCTTTTTCTTTTTCTTTTCTTTCTTTCTTTCTTTCTTTCTTTCTCTTTATCTTTATTCCCCTTTTTATTATTATTATTATTGGAGTTCTTCTGACCACCCCCTTTTTAATTTTAATTTTATTGAATCAAATCACACTTCTTTATACCTATATACTTCATAATTTAATACCATTATTACTGTCATATTCTGTAAGTCAAAACAATAGTATCCTCTACTGGTAACCTGACTAATCTTATTACCAGGCATATTTCATTTCATTTTAATTTTTAACAAAAAAGAAAGAAAATTCAAATTAATAGCATCAAATACAAAAATCAAAAATCACAAAAAAAATGGAAGGACTTTACCAGAACAATCTCTATTCATCGGCTGCATCTTATGTCCTGCCATCTGCACACACCGACTCTTCATTTGGAAACAACTATCACTCACAGTATCGCGTCAGTGCCTTTTCGGATACCCGTTATCCAAACCCTTATACCTCTCTAGGTCCCCATTCAACCACCTCTTCTTCAGGCCAGTCTTCATCCCACTATACTCCTCCTCTTCTCTCCCACCACAATCCATCCGGTATCCACTCTCACCACTCTCAATCCCACGACCCTTACTCTGCATCCTCACCAGCATCAGCATCCTCATTATCACCCCCATCACTTACCGCTCATACCCACTCACACAACACCCCAAATACCCTCAACACACTTAGCACTCTAAACTCATTCAGCTCACTAAACTCATTCAACACAAATTCACTATCCCTTTCCCTATCAAACCACAACACAATCCAATCAGCATCACAATCACAATCACAAGCAACAACAGCATCATCATCAGCATTATCATTATCATTATCATTATCATCAGCACAACAACCTTCAATAGCAGCAGCAGGGTCAGTGGCACCATCGGCATTAACATTATCATCATCTACAGCACCAGCACCAGCACCAGCAACAACAACAACAACAACAACAACAACAACAACAAAAACAAAAAAATCATCATCAGCATTAGCACTATCAACACCAATATCATCCTCGGCACCAATAACCTCAACAGCAGCATCAGCATCAAATGGATTTGGATGGCCATCTTCATCTGCATTCTCTTGGAACTCAGGAGCTCCGCTAGGTCTGTCTTCATCCTCGCTCGCCAGACCTTTTTCATACGGATCGTCCTGCTACGGATCCTGCCCAGCCGCATCTTCGGGTATCAGCCACATCACCAGCCTGTCTGGTCCACCCCACAGACCCAAACTGACCACAACCATGTGGGAAGATGAGAACACGGCCTGTTACCAAGTTGACACAAAGAGTGTTTGTGTAGCCCGTAGACAAGGTAAAACCAAAAAAATTAAAAAATTAAAAAATTAAAAGAAAAACTAAATTATTGTTTGTTAGATAATGATATGGTCAATGGAACAAAACTCCTTAATGTTGTTGGCATGTCTCGAGGAAAACGTGACGGGATCCTAAAGAATGAAAAGGGCAGAGTTGTAGTCAAAGTTGGAGCCATGCATCTCAAAGGAGTCTGGTAAATTTGCTTGCAAAATAAAGAAATAAAAACAATAGATTATTTATTTATTTATTGACTTAAAAAAAAATAAATAAATTAGGATTACCTTTTCAAGAGCCAAAGACCTGGCCACAAAATTCAAGATCTTGGATCTGCTCTATCCTCTGTTTGTCGATGACCCGTCAGTTTTCTTGTACTCTTCAACTGCCCAGAATTCAAATGGAAATCTGCCACTGGGCGTGTCTTCTTCCTGCGACACAAGCCGGACCACAAATTCCCATCAGTTACACTCATACAAATCAGGGGCAACCACATCATATACCCAATTTCCTCTCCAATCCTGGGACAGAACCTACCAGTCACTTCCAAGCATCACAAACACAAACATGCAAACACAACAATCACAGAATCAACAATCTCAAACGCAAACGCAATCTCAAAATCAAAATCAATCGCAAAATCAATCACAACAGCAAGATAGTAAGTTTCTCTATTTATTTTTGCGGTCATGTACGTACATTTCTTTTCTTTTTTTGCTTTTATATATATATATATATATATATATATACATATTGAATTTCCATAGTGGCTGTGCATATATACTAATACTAATAATAATAATAATTTTCTTTTCTTTTCTTAAATAAATAAATAAATAAATAAATAAATAAATAAATAAATAGGCTTTCGGTCTCAGGCTAATGCAACAAGTGGTAGCTGCAGCCCTGTTCCTGGAACAACCAGCTCAATGCTCGCTGAAGATAATGATCTTTACCTGATGAACAATTCTTATGAATACAGAACATCTGGACACCGCAACAGCTATAGTAGTATTGGTTCATCTGGCCATGCCTATGGTTCCCATAACAACAACAACAATAATGGACTTGGTGTACCCGGAATCTATTCTTCCGCTTCAGGACATCATGACTCACATTCGTACTCTACTCAGCACTATGGAACATCTGGTTTTGGAAACCGTAAATCGCATTATTATAGCACCAAAAAGAGCAGACCAAACTCGCTGATAAACGATGGTGATAATGAGAGTGATAGTGGTGATTGCAATAGTGATTGCAATAATGAAAGCGATGAAAAGGACTATATGACCACGTGCCATCAGAGTACTACAAATGAACCTGCCGACGACACAAAATCACTAGGGTCTGGCCAGATTGATTTTCCCAGCAGTCCACCTCCAGAGTCATCTGGATCAGGTTCAGGTTCACAGGTCAAGCTTACGCCGTACAGTCACACATCCTCATCATCAACAACAGTCAACAACCCTGGCAATGGCAATAATGGCAATGTCAATGGGAGTGGCAGTACAACACCAACACCGCATATGTCAGGCAGCCATAATAGTGGATCTATTCAAACCACACCTTCGTTTTCATCTACCTGGTCAGCATCGTTTGGATCCCTTAACCCAACAGGTTCAGAAGTTGTAAATTCAAAAGCCACACTGTCTTCAAATTCTGTACAAGGTAATATATGACTTTAGTTATTTTAAAGTAATAATTCATATATTTAAATATCTGTTTGTTTATTAAATAGGTAGGGCAGAAGGAGTGTTGCCTTATAGACAGCCATTTGATGGTAAGATTGGTTCAGAAGGAGGGGTAGGAGAAAAGACGGCGGTGGCGGGGATGGTCAAAGCGAACCGAAAGCAATCGATGAAAACGGATGACCATTTCAAGCCCAGCAAATCGTCAGCCGGGCGCAAGAGATTCAAGGGAGAAAAGGGAGAAAGAGTATAAAAAGAAAAAAAAAATTAATTCCAAAATAAAAAATAAAAATATTTATCATTATTATTATTATATATTGTACCTTTTTCTTCTTCTTCTTCCTTTTGATTTTAATTTAATTTAATTTGATTTGATTTAATTTAATTTATTATGTACATTTTCTTTTCTTTTAGAATATTCATATTAATATGTGTATTCTTTCTTTATATAAAATATCATTTTTTCTCACTTTCAAACATGATGCACAGAAATGAACTGGTTCGAATTGGATTGGTGGAGAGTTTGATTTGGTGGCGTGCCCTTTTCTTTTTCTTTTACCGTGGCGTGGTGAGACAGAATATTAAAGTAAAATAATAATAAAAAAAAATAATAGAAAAAAAAAGCCACAGGGCTGGGCTTGGCAATACAAAAGCTAGATTTGGAGGAGAGAGGGGGGAGGGAGTAGAAACTCAAAGTGCCACAAAAAACAAAAAACAACAAAAAAAGGACATGGAGGCAATAACTGAAATTATTATTTAGATGCTAATAATAATAATAATAAAAGGTATTGGCTTCAATTTTGTTTCTTTCTTTCTTTCTCTTCTTTTAAAAAAACCCTTTTTCTCCTTTTCTCTCTTTCAAGCATAGTAGCAACAGAAACAAAACCTCGATTCTTTTGTTTCCCTCTTTCAAGTTTGGAAGCCCTTATTTTTTTATTTTATTTTTGGATATTAAAATCAACAGAAAAAAGAAGGAGTTTTTCTCTCTCTCTCTCTCTGTCCTTGGCCTTTTATTTTTATTTTCTGCAGGTAATTCCAATATTCATCTGCGTATCTATATTTATATAATATAAATATAAATATAAATATTCAGAAAAATAATCTTGGCTATTCCTTCTCTTCTTCTTCTCCTATCATCTCAATCTCTATAAAGCTATAAAAAATATACACACAAAATCTGTATGCCACATATATACATTTCACAATGGACCAATCACCTTGTATGAAGCCTCAGCTTGTTTACACCACCAGCCCCAAAGAATCCAATCTTCCTTCACCCAAACATGATTCCTCGATATCATCCCTTTTAAACAACCTAAACCCTAAGCAGGAAGAAGAACAGGACCATCACCACAATACCTTTCTACCAACCCCCGTCACCCCCGGAAGTGCTCAACCGCTAACAAAAGACCACTCAGAAGACGGAGGCCGAAATCCGTTTGGCTTCTTTTCCACCCAAAATTCCATGACAGCCCAATCAAAGCAATCAACACCCGAGAAGACGTTCACGTGTCCAGAGTGTAGCCAGACCTTCAGCCGCCCACACAATCTTAAATCACATCTCACCATCCACTCCGCCGAACGACCATACGAGGTAAATTTTTATTTACTTATTTATTTATTTGTTTATTTAATAATAATAAAAACGCGTGTAAAATCTATTGTGTAAAAACAGTGTAGTGTTTGTAGTCATCCATTCCGTAGACACCATGACCTCAAACGACATCAGAAACTACACACCGGAGAACGTCCACATGTTTGCCAAAACTGTAGGAGATCATTCGCTCGTCTCGATGCCTTGAATAGACATCAAAGAGCCGAAGGTGGCACAGCATGTGGGGCAGTACATCAGCGCCGAGAACCATATCAACACCAAACCCAAGCACAAGCACAAGCACAAGCACAAGCACAAGCACAGGCACAATCACAGGCAAAGGCTCAATCACAGGCACAGGCACAAGCACAAGCACAGGTCCACATCCATCAGCATCAACAACATCAGCAGCAGCAGCAGCAGCAACAACAACAACAACAACAACAACAACACCATCAACAGCAGCAACAGCAGCAACATCAACAACACCATCAACAACATCAACAGCAACATCAACAACACCATCAACAACATCAACAGCAACATCAACAACACCATCAACAAAGTCAACAACAATTAGACTCATCCCACTTACCACAGTTACCACAGTTACCACAACCACAACCACAACCAACATTGCAACGGTATGGAACAACAACAACAACAACAACAACAACAACAACAGCAGCAGCAGCAGCAGCAGCAGCAGAAGAAGCAAAGGGTAATCAGCGTCACACAAGCGCCACGCCTACTTTGTTTGCACCCGCCCGTGGCGTCGCACCTCGGCGACCCGTCATTCCCCAATTGAACATCCCACTTACATCATCCCAACCTTATCCAAACCAATCTTATCCTCACCCACCCTCATCCAAACCCAAAGCCATATCCATATCCTCCTCTAACACCGCCACCGCCGCTGTCTCCGTTGCCGCCACCACCACCGCCACCACTTCATCATCATCTTCATCTTCTTCCTCTTCATCAACAAAAACATCATCTTCTTCATCTTCATCTTCACCGTCATTACTACTATTATCAAATATCAATCACAACATCCCAAATCCAGGCACCACTCTAATCAATAACGGAAATAAAAGTACCGCTGCCAATAACAGCACCATCAATACAAATCACCACCTCTCATCAGTACAATCTCGGCTCAATAGTAATAGTAATAGTAATAGTAATAGTAGTAATAAGTTACCATCACCTGGTGCTTTGTCAAGTTTGCCAGTTTCCGAAAGCACAAATTTGGTGCCACTCTATTGCATGCGCAGCACAACGCCGACCCCGATACCTACACCAACCCAAACACCGACGTTAATACCAACATTAATACCAACCCAAACACAAAATACCACTATTCATTCATCATCCTTGGCATCCGCACCACCACCACAACCACAATCAGTAGCAGCAGCAGCAGTAGTAGAATCCTTGACGTCTCCATCTTCATCCTTTGTCACCATTAATAATAATAATAATAATAGCAACACTTTTAATAGTAGTATATCCCATCAATCATCTCCTCCCGGAACACCTGGAAATTCATCACCAGCAATATCATTATCATTATCATTATCATCATCATCACCACCACCAGCATTATCATTATCAACAACAACAACAACAACAGCAGCAGCAGCAACAAAGGTGGTGGCGGTATCTTCTGGGATCACGACTCCTGGACTATCTTCAACACCTAATAACAACAATCCGAATAATATACCACGACTGGACTCGCCTTACAGCTGGCCGTTTCCTCCTAGTCCTCATCGGCACCATCCTTCGAGTGGAAATTCTCCTTTACCGACAAACACACCCCAATGGGATCGACTTGAGCATGAGAATGCGATTCTCAAACAAGAGATTTCCCGCCAACAGAATGCTTCTGGGTCAGAAATTTCTACACTTAAACAGCGACTCTATGATCTCGAAGTCGAGGTAAGAAATATATATATATATATATATATTATAGATTGATATTAATATCAATCTCAATAGAACAAGGTACTTCGCTCCTTGATTGTGGGAAATCAAGAAAGTTTGACAGAAAAGCGATCGCATTGTCAGATCAGTAGCAGCAGTGATGGTATCAATAGCAATGGCTCACCAGATACTCCTATCAAGCATGAAGAAGAACACAAGAAAAAGAGATTTGCTTAATTATTTATTTATTTATTTTTACTTTTACCAATTAGAAACCAAAAAAGAAATTATATATACATATTACATTATACAACATATAATGGCATAATGCACGATAAATCACACTCATAAATTATAATGCACTACTGCACTACTGCACTTTTCTAAAATACAATACAATACAATATACACATTTCAAAATCACAAACAGAAAAATAACAAGAACAAGAAAGTATTGTTATTAGTAAGATACCTTTATATATAAAAATAAAAATAAAGAAAAAGAAAGAAAGACATATATAATTCCTTGGTTTGCTTCTAGACCTTTAGGTATTTATAATTGTACTCACTCACAAAACTTTTTTCTATTAAGAAATCAATCAGTCAATTATCAACCAAAAACTATATATATATATATATATATATAAATAAATAAATCTAAGGAGGTCCAAGGTAGGCAAGTGTATCAGAATAGATACAAAGGGGTAAAAAAATATTTATATAAAAGAGGGGTCAAGGGTCTGAAGGAAGAGGAGGGGATTTGGAAAGGAGATTTAGAACAAGGTTAATATGAATTGTGGCTGATATGATTCTATTGTAAAGACACGAACAAGCAACAAGAAACATTAATAGTGATATTTAAGGCATACAACTATAAATATAGCTATAATTTTATTTTTATTAATTAATTTTAATTAAATGTGGTGTATTACATGTTTTCTAATATCTGCAACAAAATGAAGAGCACATAGATAGATATAAAGATGTATCTATAGATCTATAGTTATTCAAAGATTGGACAGCGCCATACATCCATTATGTCTTCGTCATCCAGTGGGTGTTGTGCATGGGTGCGGGCTGCTAACAGTCCATCTTTCACATAGGCAGGATCCCGCATCCCTGTCATCACAGTTCCGACTCGCGAATGGGCTAACAGAAACTCGAGTGCCTTGACTGACAATGGGGAGTGCGCCTCTGGGTGCTTCTTAAAAGAGGGGCACAATGCATCAAGTACTCGATCGAGTTCATTGTTCTTACGAAGAGTGTCAATGTAAGCATATGACACAATATCTTCTACCAGTCGATCAATAGCCTATCCAAACACCAAAAGCATGAAAATATATATAAAAAAAAAAATAGAGCAAGGACGGTTATAATGGTGTTTATCGTTTCAAACCAAATTCAAAAATCTATCAAGAAATACTACTTTTACTTCTAATGCTTATAATGATAGTAATATTAATAATAGACCATTTGAGTTTTACCTGTCGATATTTGGCGGCCCACTCCTCAAATGCTGGCTGGAGAGATGCATCCTGGTCAGTTGCATATTCTTTGAGGGTGTCAAGATCCCTATCAACCGCAGGAGACACCTGAAGTTGAAGATAATGTTGGGTTGCAAAGTGGTTCTGGGCCAGGCGAGCAAGGTTCTCCGAAAGTACCTTTTTTTTTATATATGTATATCTGTTTAGATTATGCTTTGTGCATTTGTGCATAAATGATCTAAACATTTAATCTTACCTGTCCCCAGACAAACTTGGCTACAAGACTCTCTTCTTCTAATGGCACTGCAGTACAAAACATTATCAATCGATCAACCGATTCTATAAACACAACAGTTGACTTACATTCAGACATGAGTTCAGACTCAAGTTCAGATACTTGTTGGAACGAATTGGTCATCTTTTCCATCATGTCATGCTCAGCTTACAACAACAACAAAAAAAAAGATAATAGTTTTGAGTTTGGTTGCTTGTTTAAATAAGAAATATTAAATGTGCTTGTTTACCTGATCCTGAGCTAAAGGGGTCGTGGTTTACTAGTGTTCGAATGTGTCCATTTGAAATAGAATTCAATGGTCTGTTGGTCATCAGATGAATGCCATGTTCCTACAGTTCTATTTTAGATTATCAAAAAAAAGAAGAAGAAGATATTAATTAATACAAACATTTGCTATTTCAGCCACCGTGTGTTCTGGTGCGGACAGATGCTGAACTGAACTAGACACCACAGCCTCACGCTCATAGAGGTTAAATGGAACCTCAATCGCAACAAGATTGTCGGGGCGCTTGCATGCCTTTATGATATCGTCGAGTGATACATGGTCTACTGCAGACGGCAGGGCCATTGTATTCGAACACACGCCATATCCTCCAATCACACCTGCTGCAACCAAGCCATCTAGGTATTCAAAGCTATTTCCCAAATCTCTGTAGAGTTGTTTACGACCATAAGGCTACATACACACACAATGACAATGACAATGACAATAATAATAACAATTTTTAAATATACCGAATCTAAATAACATTTCTAGATCTTTCTTTTATTACCTTGTTCTTTGAAGACAACATACGTTCGGGTGCATTGATCATAAACACATCCAATCTGTCTGTCGAGAGTCTGTAAAGACTATTGGCCAACTGTTGTTCAAGCAACCGAGGCGATATACCGTGATAGCTTTTTTCGTTGATCTGCACATAATCGTCTGGTCCAAGCTCACTAGTGTCTGTCTTGTTCATATATCCAGCCTTACTAACCAACGTTATATCCTAAATACATACATACATATATACATATATATTTATTTACAAGTATGTAGCAGACCAACAATACAATATAATACAACACAATATAAGATTCATTTTCTTGTCTGTCTGTCTGTCTGTCTGTTTGTCTTTGCTCACTTTACGATCTAATTGGCCCTTCATTCCCTGTAAGGTGTCTCCCACCAATTTCTCAGCAGCACCTAGATTACAAAACAATAATAAAATACAAAATACAAAATACAAAAAATATAAAATAAAGGCAAAATAAAAGATGATTTTATTAGGATTATGTACAATATAAACAGTAATTTTAATTTTAATTCTACTTTTCTTTCGTCCACTAGCCCCAAGTAACCAAGTAACCAAGCAACCAAGTAACCAAGTAACCAACTGACTAATTGCTTGGTTAATTGATGATTTATAGTATTTATTGTATTCTTTGTATATATATATATATATGTGTGTGTGTCTATTGCTTTATATTTTCTCAATTTCTACCAAACTTTTATTTACCATTCTCAAAGTTAGATCCCATGTCAACAATCGACACACCGCCCTTCAATGCTGCCTCAAGTGCCTCTCTGTGTTTGGGCTGAGAGACACGGTAAGCACCAAAGCCAATGCGGGTAACATCTCGATTGAGTTTTGGGATCGTCGTTGTAGGAAGGCTAGTGGCATGGTAAGAACGACATGACTGAATCAAACCACGAGAGAAACGGAATGTCATTTGATCTAGGAACTTGTCAAAACACACAAAAAAAAAAAGAAAAAGTATATATATCTAATTTATATAGACAGAGAATAATAAAACAACAACAACAGCAATATAGATTTGAATTAAAGCAACTGAGTTTGTAATATCCGTATTGTAGGATTTCTAAAGGATTTGAGGGGGTAAAAAGTGAAATAGGCTTTTTGTGCCTTGTAAAAATAAAAGTAAAAGTAGTTCATTTTAGATATATATATTTAAAAACGGAATTAATGCAAACAGACACACACACACACACACATATATATATACTACAAAAGGCAATTACAAGAAGTTCTTTTTATATTCATATACACAAGAGAGAAACCCTTTTCCTCATCTTCTTTGACGTATATAGTTGACCCATTTATCCATTTATTGGCCTAATCTTTTGATATTTGAAATGCACAATAGCCCAATATATATGTATATACCCACACCTCATTAAACACTAGCAAAACCAAAGGGCGCAGAATAGTATCAAGCAACGTCCATTCTCCAACAATGATAGTTTTATTATGGTTAGTGTTTTGGTTATAATACCTGATTATGCTTGAATATCGGCCTTGTTGTCTTTCAAGTCATATTTGATTACTGATCAATCATTCACTCTGACTCACTGAATATACACACCTCCTTTCTTTCTTGGTCTCTTGTTGTGCGTGTGAGTGAGAGTGTGTTGATGGGCTTGTATCTATCAGAAAATCTATTAATCACCACAATTTTACCTCTTTTACTGCCATTACTGCCATTACTGCTTACAGGCTTATCAAAGAACTGAAATTCGATAATATTTGTTATATAAGTATCGATCAAGAGATATATAAAATGAGGTTTGGGGAAGAGGGCAAGGGTGAGAGGCTAAGTAAGTAGAGTTTTTGTCCATCCTTTTTTTTTTAAAAAAATAAATAAATAAATATGATGCCATTCAAATATATGGTGATAATGATAGTTGGATGGTTCGTGTTCGTGTTCGTGTTCGTGTTCGTGCTCTTACTATTACTGTTATTACTGTTATATGATATCAGCAGTCTATTTGTTGTTGTTGTTGTTGTTGCTTTTGTAAAACAGATGATTATGGGTTTGTGTACTTGTACCATCAATTTTCTCACGCGAGTGCTCGAACCCGCGCCTCCTTTGGTATTCTCTTTTAGGTAATATAATGTAACTTTCTTCTTTTCATCATATATATTAATACTTTTGAAAGGGTCTGCGCTGGTACCTCTTTATATACTTTTAATATTTTTTGATTAAATATAAATATACTAACCAACTAACCAACTAACCAACCAGCCAAACAGAAGAAGAATAAGCAGAGAGAAGTATTTGATAATATATATATATATATTAATTTATTTATTTAAAAATAAAACAAAAACAAAAAAAGTTAAACAAGTAGATAAAGAGATATGGGCCATACAGAGACATAGAGATTGATGGATTAAGAGATGATGCTGATTATTATTATTATTATTATTATTATTATCAATTTTTTTTTATTTATTTTTTGAAAAACCAAAAATCCCAAAAATTTAATTACCAAATAAAGAAGTATCTTGCCTTGTTATATACAAAATAATATATTTATATATAAAAAAAAATTGTGTTGTGAATCTCAACACATTTACCGTCATTTTTCAAGCTTTACCCGACTCTGATAAATCTTGAGCTTGTCTGGGCTTTGATTCCCCCCGCCCTTTATGTCTATATGGTTCTTATGTACAGAAAACATAGTAATCTATAGGTAATGCGAGTTCATTCATATTGGTGTTATGATATCTAGTTAGAGGTAGTACCTTATATGATAATATAAATGGCTTTTTGAAACTTATTACAATCCAACCCAACCCAAATAAATTCAAATTTGTTTCGTAATTTGGTTCATCAATTAAAACCTGTCTATAATACCTACAGAAATTCCAACAGGTTGATTGAGCCCTTTCGCCTTTCCTTTTGTATTTTAATACTAAATATTTGATTTCATTTGCTATAATATATATATATATTATATCTTATATATAAATTATATATTAAGAAAGAAGTGTACGCGGAGTCGTAATGAGATTATCGATAACATCCAAATAAAGGAGATGCAAACAAAAATATAAAATAAAGTCTAAACAGTACAAGCAGTACAAACAGGCAGACAGACAGACAGGCAGGCAGGCAGACAGACAGACAGGCAGGAAGACAGACAGACAGGCAGCTGTTCAGACACTATTACTATTACTATTAAAAATAAAAAATAAAATAAAAAGTGACTGACTATGCACCAGTTTTGTCGGAAAATAATCCATCTCTTTTGTTTGTATAATTAATTAAAGTACAATACGATACAATACAATACGATATAGTATAAAAATATATACAAAAGATATATTTGCTTTTGGCTATAAAAGGATTGACGCATTTACCGACTCTTCTTGTCTTTTTTTCTTTTCTTCTTTTCTCCTATTCATCTTTACTTTACTTAACTTTACTTACATCATGGCTGTCACAAAGGTTCACGCTCGCCAGATTTTCGATTCCCGTGGTAACCCCACCGTTGAGGTCGAGTTGACCACCGGCAAGGGTGTCTTCCGCGCCGCCGTTCCCTCTGGTGCCTCTACTGGCATCCACGAGGCTCTCGAGCTCCGTGACAATGTCAAGGCTGAGTACATGGGCAAGGGTAAGTTCATTAATGCAATTCAATTCAATTTACAAACAAAAAAAAAATGAAAAAAAAGACGCGTCAAATTTGTACATATTTTCTAAAAATAAAATAAAAATTAAAGGTGTCCTCCAGGCTGTTGAGAACGTCAACAAGATCATCGCCCCCGCTCTGATTGAGGCCAACATCGATGTCGTTGACCAAAAGGCCATCGATGACTTCCTTTTGGAGCTCGACGGTACCAAGAACAAGAGCAAGTTGGGAGCCAACGCCATCTTGGGTGTATCTCTTGCTGCTGCCAAGGCTGGTGCCGGAGAGAAGAACGTTCCTCTGTACGTCCACCTTGCCGACCTTGCTGGCTCCAAGAAGCCCTTTGTCTTGCCCGTCCCTGCCTTTAACGTTATCAACGGTGGTTCCCATGCCGGTAACAAACTGGCCATGCAGGAGTTCATGATCTTGCCCACCGGTGCCAAGTCTTTCTCCGAGGCCATGAAGATCGGTTCCGAGGTCTACCACCATCTCAAGAATGTCATCAAGGCCAAGTACGGCCAGGATGCCACCAACGTCGGTGATGAGGGTGGATTTGCTCCCAACATCCAGGACAACCAGGAAGGTCTCGATCTTTTGGTTGCTGCTATCGAGAAGGCTGGTTACACCGGCAAGGTCAAGATTGGCATGGACTGTGCTGCCTCTGAGTTCTACAAGGAGGGCAAGTACGACCTTGACTTCAAGAACCCCAACTCTGACCCTGCTGCCTACCTCACCGGCCACGAGTTGACTGACTTGTACAAGTCCTTTGCCGAGAAGTACCCCAGTAAGTATCGTTTTATTATTTTTTCTTCTGCTTAAAAAAAGAAGAAGAAGTATATTATATATTACTAGTGTGTGTGTGTGTAATATGGTGTGTGTGTATATATATGTACAATTTTATCTAACAAATTCTTTTTATCAGTCGTTTCCATTGAGGATGCTTTCGACCAGGATGACTGGGAGAACTGGTCCCACTTGGAGGCTTCATCCGACTACCAGTTGGTTGGCGATGACTTGACTGTCACCAACCCTGAGCGCATCAAGACCGCTGTCGAGAAGAAGGCCTGCAACGCTCTCTTGTTGAAGGTCAACCAGATCGGTACTCTTACCGAGTCCATCCAGGCTGCCAAGGACTCCCAGGCCGCTGGCTGGGGTGTCATGGTCTCCCATCGTTCGGGTGAGACTGAGGATACCTTCATTGCTGATCTCGTCGTCGGTCTCCGCACCGGTCAGATCAAGACTGGTGCTCCTTGCCGTTCCGAGCGTTTGGCCAAGTACAACCAGCTTCTTCGCATCGAGGAAGAGTTGGGTGACTCTGCCATCTACGCTGGTGAGAACTTCCGCAAGGCTCACGACTTGTAAATAAAATAAATATCTTCTTCTTTTTGTTTGTTGCTTTATATTTCTTTCTTTCTTTCTTTCTTTCTTTCTTTTCTATCTCTTTCACCCACAACCAACACAAACACAAACACAAACTTTTATTTTCTTTAAAAAACAACAACAACAACAACAACAATAATAATAATAATAATAATATTAATGATTTCATTTTTCTGTCTATTCTCTTTTCTTTATATCTTGTTCATTTCACTCTCTCTCTTTTTTATTTGCATAATTGACTTGAATATGTGTTTCAATTTTTATTATTTTTTATTATTTTAAAAAAAAAATGGTTTCATTTTTTTTTGTTTTTATATTTATTTATTTATTTTTCTTAATAAAATTAAATATTTATAAAATACTTCTTCTTATTGATCAATGATACGCTTTATTACTTGACTGAAAAGTAAGAGAAAAATGATATATTTTGTAGAATTTTCGCAAGATATATATATATATAAAACAAGGAAAGGAAAGGAAGGGAAAGGGGTATATTTGAAAGAAAAAGGGTTTTTCAACAGATGTGTAATTTTGTAATTTTGTAATTTTGTAATTTTGTAATTTTGTTAGATCTTTTCTCTCTTTGGTATTTGGTATTTGGTCTGACAAGATATCTAGAGGTTGTGCCTTTTGTTTTTTGTTTTTGTGAAAGCAAAGGTACGGTACGGTAAGGTAAGGTAAGACGGAGAATCGTGTGTGTGTATGGAAAAGAAAGAAAATAATTGGATTTGCTTGTTTGCTTGTTTGCTTTCTTTCTTTCTTTCGTTGACTGTGCGGTAGTGATTTATGTGTATATATATATGTGTGATTTCAATAGGTCGAGTATCTTGATCGGGTATCTTCTGTACAGTCATTACAGAACCATTTTCCTGCAGGTGGTTCTATAAGGCCAACACATGCATAATGAAACCATTCTTTCTCGCACTACAGATATTAGATTAACATATACACGCGCACGCATTAGATTGGTTTAAATTCTTTGTCTTTGTGTTCTGTACTTACGTTCTCCCCATCACAGGCCACCATGTCACCAAACGCTACTTGATTGCAGTAACAGTAAGTCGGTTCATTAGGATCAATGTGTTCTTGCCGTGGAGGCACAAGTGTGTGATGAAGAGATAGGCTTGGTCGGCGTACAGAGTTTGTTCTGACAGCAAATTTGAGTTTTTTTTTATATAAAAAAAAAGAAAGATCTATAAACATCCTATCCATATGTATACCTTTTTCTTTGGATACTTGGTCCAAGTGACCGTTTCCTTGAAACAACAACTATAGGTAAATGTATGTATGGATGGATGTCTTTATTCATTAGGACACCGTAATCCTTCAAGTGATCCTCTCTTTTACTTTCATAACAACTACTTTACCTTGTTGCCAATCATCATCCCACACAGCTGGTTTTGCATCCCTTGACCACCCTGAACTATCAATTCCATTTGCTACAATATGGGCATCCATGCGCTCTATGTGACGTGAGACAAGTTCGTACATCTGCAAAGCCAACTCTATCTTTTGATCCTGTTTGTGAAGTGCAGACTTGTAATCTCTCTCAAGCTGTAGTCGAGCAGCTACAAGATCAATCGATGATGATGCATTGATATTCGACTGTTTCAACTGCTTTGTGTACATTCGACGATGCTTGCTGTATGTTTCCGAATAACCTTTTTTTTTGTTGAAAAAAAAAAAGTATGTATTTGTATATATTTGTATATGTATGTGCGTACGTGCGTGTATAATGCATTTTTCGGACCAGATCAAGCTTCCAATTCTTTATTCATTATCATTATTATTATCATTATCATTTTTACCTTGAAAGTCTTCATCCATACCCCGCAAATCACGCATAGTCTGGTCCATCTCCGCAGGTAATGTCTGTAGACCTACAAAAAAGAAATAAATATATATGGATTGGATTATAATTAAGTATGTATGCTTAAATGTAGAAATAATAATAATAATTCAAATATGGTATTAATTGTAAACTTACTCTCTACAAAGTCTTCAAGTACTTCAGATGCAGAGAAATTCATCAGAACCAATGGACAACCAACGAAATTTAAAATGGAAAGAAGAAGAAGCAAAAAGGAAGAAGAAGGGGAAGGATTGGATGGTAACTGGATGTTCCGGTATTTATACGCCTCGCCTTCACGTGAGTACTGTTACGTCAGACAGCAAAAAAGGTGTCTGTGTGTTTGCGGTGTCTTAAAAGGTAAAATATAAAATATAAACCTTGAATTTAGGTGTGTACAAATGATAGTAGTTAAAAAGTATACAAGTGCAAGTGCAAGTGCAAGAGTTTGTTAATTAATATTATTTATGAAAATGATTGATACTTGTATCTTCTTTAATGATACATGGGAATTGTGACTTTTTTTTGGAATGTATTAAAGAAATATATATATATATATATGTGTGTAAAGATGTGTATGCAAAATAATGATTAACAAGACAAACAGTAAAGCTGTAAAAAGAAAAGAAAAGTCTTCCACTTTTATGTCCTTTTCTCCTTCTTCTTCTTCTCCTTCTTCTTTCTCTCTCCAGTTGAGTTCCATTAATCAGAATCAGAATCATCTTCTGAATCATCATCACTGTCAGATACCGGTTCTTCTTTAACAGTCTGCTTGATGGTTTCGGTCTCCTTTGTGACTTTAAGGGTACGGTTGCTCTCCTTGGCTGCCAATTTCTTCTGATTTGATACAGCACGCGAACCAAATGATTTCTCCCACTCATCCTTGACCTTTCTGTACAACAGCATTGTGAACCGAGCATCTTCAACCTAAGTATCGTATAAAAGTAAAATGAATTTAATAAATGATAATAATTCATAGAAAATTTTATATTTTTACCTATCTATCTATCTATCTATCTATCTATCTATATAGTTGTGGTAATTTACCGAAGAATGGCTTCCGGACTGAATGTTAAACTCGAGCACTTTTTGGACCAATGTCTTCAGACTAGGTGTACGACCAGATGCCAATTTACGGAACGGCTTATATCGAGATGTGTCACGTAAGAAAAGGGCTGGATGGTCCAGCATCAAAGCCTTTAGATCGTTGTTGACAGCATGACCAATAAGCACACGCCCTTTGATGATATCGGCCACCTCAGCTTGTGCCTCTTTGAATGTAATGGCTATTTTACATTGTGATGTTAATTGACGACTAATATAACTCTTTATGCCGTTCCGTCCCTCTTCTTATTATATAATACTTTACCTCCTTCTCCAAGATGCTTGGGCTCAATACCACTCACATGTGTACGATAATCCGTAACACGTTCCTGAGGCTGGACATATTTATCCATCAGGACCGCACCATTGTAGTTCACGATACTCACACGGGCCAGCGCAGAATCAACACCGTCGCGACCGACACCCACCATCTCACAATCGATGGCCACAAATTTGCCCAGCTGGGCACCTTTACCCTGAACAGCGTCCATGCTCTGGACCACTGCTTTTTTGCGCTCTTTTTCGTCAAGCTTTAGCTGTCTACTAGACCCATAGGCCAACTGAAGATCCTTTTCATCCAAATCGTCACCAAACCACAGGTTCTCCTTGTCCGGGATCGCAACAACGTTTGCCTCAACCTTGATTTTCTTTGTCTTCTTCAGAGCTTCGGGTGATGACGCTGTTGTTTCGAGAGCTTCTCCCTTTCGCTTTCGATGAATGTAGGGCTTTCTGTTGGCTACAGGTTGTGGTGGAGGAATAGTCTTTTTTTTTTTAAAAAAATAAAATAAAATAAAATTAAAAAAAGGTCATGTAAGTAAAAAAATAAATAAAAAAAAGTGATCTAGACAAGAATGTTTAATCAGTGACATTGAAACATACTGCTTGGATCTTCTTCCAGTTGGAAGAAGGAACTGGTTTGGATGTCTTCTTGATCGGGGCCTTCATGTTGATGAGAAGCAAAGAGAGACTGTGTGTAGGAGGGAGATTTCCAAAAAAAAAGTAAAAGTAGAAAAAAAATATATATATAAAAAAAAATAGAGTCAAGCAAATATGATTGATTAAGAGTCCGTATTTGGGGGGTGTGGATATTAACAAAAAAAAAGGGGGGGGGGTGATAGAGAGAGAGAGAGAGAGAGAGAAGGGGAATAAAGGGATAAGAAAAGTGGCTTTTTGATACGTGACCGGACTAACTGGCCAACTGCAACCAACTCTCTTATTCACTCTCTATAGATATGGATATTTGTGTGTATCTTACACACACACTGTAGATCGATGCCAAAAACAAATAAATAAAATAAAAAACAAATAAGGGGGGGGGGGGGGGGGGGGGGAGTGAGTGTTGTGAACAGAAACGTCATGCATGTAAGATGTGCGAAACTTGAACGAGATAAAAAAAAAAAAAAAAAGAGAGAAAGTACCTTAAATTTTTTTTTCTGTTTCTTTATATATATACATTATTTTATTATTTTGCTTCTTTATCTATCTAAATATCTTTATACCTACCTCTTTAAAGCCAAATTTATTTATTTATTTTTTTAATTCTTCTTGCTTATATTATTCAGTTCCAACGTATCCATATCTTGCTTTCATAGGCCAATTGAAACATAATTAAAAGCAAGAAGTACAAAATGCACATTAGTCGTTCACTAGTCTTCCTATCGCTCTGTATGAGCAGCGTACAGTCTGCAATTTGGCAGGGATGGTCCAAAGGAAGATCTGGTGAGTCAATTAAAAGACAATATATGAATACATGGCAATATATACAGACTTTATAGATCATTGGTGTGTTTATCTCATATTGTCCACTGATAAATATTATACATATTCTCGCGTGTGATAAATTTCACACACATACACACACACGCACACGCACACACACACACACACACATATATATATATATATATATATATATATGATATCAGCCGGTGTCCCACCCGGAAATACCGCATTGGATGATTGGGTTGAAAAGCAAGAGGCAATTAGTCTCAAGGTAATCCTGTCCAATATCAATCCACCTGGTACCCGCCGAGGTTTCTTTGCAGCCTCTCTATCGACCAGCGACCCAGACTACTTTTATACCTGGACGCGCGATGCTGCCAAGGTTGCCGGTGTCCTTGTGCATGCGTATGACACCTCTCGTCGGACTGACCTCCATGACGTCCTGATAGACTATGTCGAGTTTCAGATCGGTACTCAACAGACCACGACCCTCTGTCAGTGCCTCGGGGAGCCAAAGTTCAATCCTGATGGTACAGGGTTCAGCGGTGAGTGGGGACGCCCACAGAACGATGGTCCGGCAGTGCGAGCCTCGACGTTTCTACTGCTTTCACAGGCGCTCTCACAAAAGAAGTATGTCACCAATATCCTCCGGCCGGCCGTCTACCGAGACCTGGACTACATTGTCGACAACTGGGCGACCCCTAGTTTTGATCTCTGGGAAGAGGTCTTGGGCGTCCACTTCTATACTCTGATGGTCATGCGCCGTGCGCTTCTGCAGGGTGTTGCGTTCTCACGGTCGTACGAAGACGCAATCCACGCCGCAAACTACCAAGGCACGATTGGATCCATCGAAGAGCGCCTGGAATCCTTCTGGTCTCCATCACGCAACTACATCCTAGCGACCCAGGACCGCGTGCGGGGCTACGAAAAGCCATCTGGCCTAGACATCGCCATCATCCTGGCCGCCAATCAGCTCAGCGGTAGCATCGGCGGCAGCAGCTCTTCTATCAAAGACGGATTCTTTACTCCCGACTCGGACAAGGTTCTTGCGACTGCAGCTGCCCTCGAATACTCCTTTGGAACCATCTATCCGCTCAATCAAGATCTGCCTAGCCATTTGGGGATAGCCATAGGTCGGTATCCCGAGGACGTCTATGACGGCCACCGGTCATCCCAGGGCAACCCGTGGTTCATCACGACCAGCGCATTCACCGAACTTTACTACAACATCATCCTCGCCTTCAAGGCCAGACCGACCGACATCACCGTCAATCACATCAACCGGCCATTCTTTGTCAAGTTTGACTCCCAGGCCGTGCCAGGAAAAATCTATGTCAAGGCTAGCGACGAGTACAATCTGCTTCTGGCCGACATCGCTGCCTCTGCTGACCGGTTCCTGGCCACGGTCAAGTATCATGAACAGGCCAACGGATCACTTTCGGAACAGTTCAATCGTTGGACTGGATTCCAACAAGGCGCAAGAGATCTGACCTGGTCTCATGCAGCTCTCATTTCTGCCACACGTGCAAGAGCTGGAAGACCACTGGCTTGATAATAGCCATAACCATAATAACAATGACAATGACAATGATAATGATAATGGTAATAATAATAATAGTAATAGTAATAGTAATAGTAATAAAGTCTCATACGTGTATCTCTCTCTCTCTCTGTGTGTGTTTATGGAGAGAGAGAGAGAGAGAGGAGGGGATTTGAAACTATTTAAACGACATTGACCTTTATGTATATACACATGTATATACATAAGAAAAAGCATAAATGTTTGGTGTATATTTTATTTAGGATAAATTGAATTAATCCAACAACAACAATAAGTAGCTTGTATTTCAATATCTTTATGACCTTTTTTCGTTGTTGCTGTAAGAATGGATTTATAGATGAGTTTGTGTGTAAAGACTAAAGATATCTTTTGGAAGGGTAAATATACTCTTTCATTCACTTGATGTGGACAGACTAAAAGGTTCAAATATATGTTGGATAAAAATCAGTTCCAAAAGGTCTTTAAATGTAACTACTACAGACAATTTCCCTTGAAACTATCTCAAAATCCGCATTACAGACCCTATATTAAAATAAATAAATATATATAATGTAAACCTCTGCAGATGCTCTAAATGCAACCAATGAAACTCTAGAAATGTAACTTGAATTATTATTAATTTTTTTTTTATTAAAACAAAAAAAAAAAGAAAAGTGCCTTGAATTTTTCTAAAAATACTATTTTAAATCTCAAGATTCAGTTGTATGCGTCTATATGTTTTATGTTTTATGTGTGTTTCAACCTGCACTACTATATTTGTATATTTATTTATTTATCCTCTAGAGTCCTGAGCCAGCAGAAGTCTCTTTCATTGGTATCTTTTTACGTTTATCCAGTAATGTGGCATTTCCCATATTAAGTTCAAAGCTAAACGGTGGTTTGTGACCTTTGCGTGAAGATTTATCTTTGGACTCTTTTGACTTTGTGGCAGGAGTATTTGGAGTGACGGTTGAGATTGGAGGAGTATTTGGAGTAGTGGTAATAGAATTAGACGAATCATTTTTTACTCTTTGAATATGATGTTCAATACGTTCTCTTTGGAGCTGTTGGATCATCGTGTTGGGTTTATCAAACGTAGGTCCCAATTCAATATGGTCTTCACTTGCACTTGAGCTAACCGATGTTTCATCTGCGGTTAGATCATTTTCTGTTGACTCATCTTCCTCGGCCCCTCGTCTGGCTATCTCAATGGCTTCTCTAAACCCAACATTTTTCTTATAGTCCTCACTACTGGTATTTGGACCATAATTATCTGAACCCATTTGTTGTTGTTGTTGTTGTTGTTGTTGTTGTTGTTGACGTTCCTTTTGTCTATTTCGTGCAGTCTTTCGCCACTTCTTTTCTTCGGCCTGACGATGGACAGTATACGGCAAGTCAAAGACTTCTTTCATGGATGAGATTCCGGAAAAGAGATCTCTTCTTCGGTCTGGTGGTGCTTCGGTTTGGTCGGGAGTTGGTGGGCCACTGCTGTTAGTGGCCTGAAGAATCGACTGTTTGAATAGTTCGGCTTCTGACGGAGATTCTGACGGAGTATTGTCTTGTGAGGTTGGAGTGGTCAGACAGTCAGACAAGGACACTTCGGACTTGGCCTGTGGTGTGGTGGGAACAGAAGCCTGTTTAGAGTTTGGCTTGTGTGTAGGTTTGTTCTGATGTAAATAAACAAAAAAGAATAAGTTTATTTATCAAACGTATAGAAATAAGCTAATTTGTTTCTAACAATCTATTTTTTTATATATATTTTCTTTCTTTCTTTCTTACCTTTTGCATCCATGGGTCTTGTAAGAATTGATCGATAGTGTATCGTTTCTCGGGGTCAAAACAAAGAAGATGGCTGATGAGGTCCATGGCTTCTTTTGACACATGGTTCCACCAGGGACTCATGAATGTGTAGTGGCCTCTTGCGACCTTTTCTGTCAGCATTTGGATGCTTTCGTCATAAAAGGGTGGGAATCCACACAAAAGGGTGTAAAGCACACATCCAAGTGCCCACATGTCGACTGATTTCGAGTACCGTTCGTCCCTGACGATTTCGGGCGCCGTGTAGCCTACCGTGCCACAGGGAGTCATTGTGTGTGAGTTCCACACCACCTTTGACAGTCCAAAATCTGCAATCTTGACTCGACCGATTCCTCCACCACCAATGCCGGGTATGAATTCGCCTTCGTCTTCCTTTGGTTCTTCTTCTTCGCCTTCTTCGTATTCGGTTGGCTTTAGGGGTACTTGGCGAGGGCGAATAGGAATAGGTTCGAACAAAAGGTTCTCTGGTTTAATGTCCCTAAAAACATCACATTGTTAAAGGTTGCTAAAGGTTTGCTAATGGTTTGCTAAAAGTTGTCTATTTACCGATGGACGACACCTTTGGATTCATGAAGGTATCTGATAGCCTCTGCTACTTGTCCGATACAATGGCGGGCCAGATCTTCGCTTAGATAGGTTAATCTGACGATCTGGTGGAATAGCTCACCACCTTCGCATAATTCAAGAATCAAAAAGGAATGCTAGATTACAACCGTTAATATAGATATAGATATAGACAGATAAAACTTACGTCTTCTGTTTCAATAAAGCCTTTTAGTTGGACAATGGACGGATGACTTGCTGTTCGCATGATTTGGGCTTCTTTTAATACACTTGCTCTCTTGATTAAATATATATATATATATATATATATATATATATGTTATAGAATTTAGGTAATTAGTAATCGACCAGGATTTGTATATACAATATTTTGTTTTACCTGCTGCTTGTTTAGTTCAAACTTCCGAACTACCTTGACTGCCACATTCTCTTGGGTTTCTGTGTCTAGGGCTTTAAAGACATTGGAGAATGCGCCACTATAATAAATAAAGTAGTTTTGTTATTTAGTTATAAGAAAACAATTTATTTATTTTATTTTTTTTTTAAAAAAAATAAGAAAATCCAATTCTTCTTCTTTTTATAATTAATTATCTGACAGACTCACTCTCCCAATTTCTTTATCAGCTTGTAACGTTCGAGTCCTCTATAGATTGGCATGCGTTGTTTTGCAATATTTTCTTCTTCAACAATACGGGCCGCGGTTTCTAGTTTGCGTGCCTTTCGCTGGGAGATAAGTGATGAACCGTCCGTGCCATTTTTGTTACTTCGGAGGAAATTTTTGATTTGAGATAATAAGGACATTATGATGATAGATGATAAAGAAGTTGTCTCTCTCTTTTTTCTGCTTTGTATTTATCCTTATGTAGTTGTCTTTATATTTTTACATGTATATATGTATATATATATATATATTATATTATATTATATTATATACATATATAATTTGAGTATTAAAATACAGAAAAGTAGAAGAAGTAGAAGTAGAAGAAGAAGAAGTAAAGGGAGGGGAAGGTAAGGAGGTAGGAGATGAATTGAATTGAATTGAAATGAAATGAAGAGGAACTTGATTTTATTCTTTTATTGTGGGGTGGACACTTTACTGATAACCAAAGTGAGGTAAGGTGAGGTGAAGTGACTTCTTTGGATTTTACTAACCAAAAAATAAAACAAATAAATCAAAAAAAGAAAAAATTAACAAAAATAAGAAGAAGAATAGAGGTAAAAGGGGTAAGATATTAAAGAAGAGAAAGAAAGAGAAAGAAAGAGAGAAAATGAAAGATGTAAAGGAATGACTATTACAAGGCAGAAAATATCAATATAAAAAATATATAATAATAATATCACTTGTTGTACAAATCAACTTTAATTCCAAATGCTTATGGATTTTTTTAAATGCAGTACAGTTCACTGTATTTATGACATCACCAATATATGTCTCGGCCAATCATATCTCACAAGCCAGTCGATTACCAGTGACTGTGTATATTCTAGGGCAAAAGTCAATATACATATATACATATATACATATATACATATATACATATATACATATATACAGAGAGAGAGAGAGAGAGAAAGTGTTGCACCGTTTTATTCTTCAGACGGCTAGTAGATGAACCCTACACCATCAGCTGATGTGATATTTTATTTTATTTATTGTATTTTAATATTCGTCCTACATTCGATGCCATTAGCCAAAAATACTATTGAATTTAATTGATTTGGATTTGAAAGAAATATAAATATAAATGTTAATGTTAGAAAATTAAAAACAAATTAAAAGCAAAGGATACAAGATAATGGGATTTGGGTGACGTAGTAAATCCGAGTAACATAAAATGTGGGGGACAAAAGTAAGAACATAAAATAAAATAAAAGGGGGGGGGGGGGGGGAAGTAGGAGGAAAAGCAAAAAAAAAAAAAAAAAAAAGTGTGTGTATTAAAAGGTTCATTTTTATTTATTTTTCAGATTTCTGCCATTCTGTTAGTGTTTGGCCAAGACTAACCTCAGCTGGGTTCCCTTTCTTTTTTCACCTTCCTCTTTCTCCCTTTCCAACTTCTTGATGGCAGAAAACGAGGCGGATATTCATTGCAACGTGATACAATGCAGAAAATCACTGGGTTTTGATGCAAAGGTATCCAACCTTCTTTTTACCCTTTTGTATATATATATATATATTTATTTATTTATTTATATAAATGGGAGTATTGGACTTGGTCTCTTAACACTAATGAATTGTATGGGTCGGTTCTAGGCATGCGTCACATCTTGCTCTCGTGAGTCTCTTTCTTTGTTTTTGTAAAGATAACAACTGATTCACAAGGATCTCTGTCTTCATTATTCGAATAAATAGACATCTTTTGTCTGGAGTGTGCAAATCGGGCATTTCCTAGAGCATTGGTGTGCCCAGCGTGTGATACACAACTCAACCAAAGGCAAGGTTTTCTCTTATGTACTGATAAAAAACAAGCAAATAAAGTTCAAGAAGATTCTCAAAACAGGCGTTTTTTTTTTGAGGGACAAAATAGTGATGATATTGTAGTAACACAGCTGAATCCATCTGAAGAATACAAATCGGTACAGACAATAGAATATCATGTGTCCTTAAATAAATAAGTCTTAGTTTCATTTATAGTCTGTATTGGCTGGTCTGAGACCTGACATCGTCCTAGACATCTGCAGTCGAGCCATTGCCTTTTATCAATACCAGACCTCTCAAGAGCTCTGTTTTCGGTCCATGATACAGAAAAATCTTGAAATGAAATGCACTACATTGCAAGCTCAACTAAACGATCTCATTCAAGACGCTGCAAGGCATCTCAAAGGCAAGCTAGTCTTTTTGGATCATATTATATATAATTATTATTATTATTACAAAATCCGCTTAATTCTTTTTTTTTATGTATCTAATTATCTAGTGGAGAAGGAAAAGTCTGCAAGTAAGTCGGGTTTTATCATAAAAATATTCTAAGCTGACCTACCCAGATTGCATTAATGAATTTCTTATTGTTGACTAATCAAGTGATCCAAAGAGATCAAGAAGCAGACAAGGGAAGACTACATGATTTGCAAGCACAGTTACAAGAGAAGACAAAGCAATTCCACAAACTACAGGTAAATACTTCTTAAACAAACTGCGCAATCTTGTTCCTATTTAATTAACTATCATAAAGTCAATGTACGAGAAACTTAAAAGAAAGACAGCCATACCAAATCTTCAACAATCTATTCCACCCTCCCTTCAATTCCCTCCACACCCTCCCCATATCGGCCCAACACCCTATGTAGGCCATCCGATGCCGCCACCAACGAACCAGCCTTACCAGTACCCACATCCCTACCCGCAAAATGCATATTGGACCCCACCTCAAAACTTTCTATCAGTAAAAAATAAAATACATTCAAATTAAACAGCAAATAATTAATACTCTTGAATTCAACCCCCCCTTTTTTTTTTTATTATTCTTCTTTTTTTGGGGACTGTTATTAATGCAGGATCCTAGGGCAAGTCCATTGCAATCAATACACAACACTGCACAATCAACTCGCACATACACTACCCTTGGATCAACCGTGAGCCAACCCCCTTACAACTCAGCCTACCAGAATAAGCAACATCCCAATAAACCAAGGCAGAATTCACCTGTACATCCAACCAGCAACAACAACCCTGCATCAACCAGAGATCCAAAGCAAATCTAATATATTATTAAAATAATAATAATAAAAAATGTGCTAATGTTTCAGGGTGTATGTGCATATGTGTGTGCTGTGTACGTAGAGGGACAAAGACAATGTATACATATATACGCTTTGTGTGTATGATTTTTATTGATTTATTTATTGATTTATTTATTTATTGTGGATGTATAATGTAATGGAATTTTATTATGATTGTGTAAAAATAAAAGAAAATAAAATAAAATAAAATGCTCTAATGGAAAAAATAATCGGACCCCTTGACCTCATTGATATCAAACTCACCCTTCTCTGGAATAGGAAGGAATTTGAGCTCCTCCCATGTGTGAAGGAATCGTCTGTTTGCGCTCTTCTTTTTAGTCGACACACCATCTTCACCGTCTACTGCTGCATCTGCATCTGCATCTGCGTCTGCATCTGCGTCTTCGTCTAAATCTACATCAGTATCTGCCATACCAAACATTGCCTCCATCGCAGCCTTTTCAGAACTCTCTGCTTTGGATTCAATATTAAGACCTTCTTCCAGAGGATCTGCAACACCGCTACTACCACCACCACCACCACCACCACCAGCACGATCGGATGACGCCCGCTTCTTCATTTTACTCATCGCAGCCGCTGAAGCTTCACGCTTAGTACCCCCTCCGAGTTCATGTGCAACCGGCAGCATGTAGTCCTTGTATCGCTCCTGGAATTCCTTCAAGAGGTTTTCCATAATAGGCTGTGTGTGGAGTTCGATAAACTGATCACGAATGACCTTGTTCATATCATCAACGTCGCAGGCATGAGTCCAGTAACTGTCATGCACGGATGCAAATGACATGTCCTTTTCGTGGCACGCAACCGCAGACATAAGCATGTGGGTGGCATCCAGAGAATGGATAAAGTTTGGAGGGAAGGCTGTACTTTGCTTTACAGCATTGACAGGCCGGGCAGCATCGGGATCTTCGATAAACACAGTCTGGAGAAGGGTGGCAACTTGCTTCTTACCCGAGCGGCGGTAAGGCTGGACAATAGGCAGACCCAGAGGTGTAGTCCAGATCACAGAAGTCATCTGGTTGGCAGAAGGTGTACGGGCAGAGAATCCCTTGACACGCTTATTGCTTCGTTTGCGAGACTGGAGACGCTTGGCTCGCTCTTCCTGAACCTCAGGGCGCTCGTCTCCTGGGAACACGCCATGCTCCTGCAGTGTCTCAACAGGTACACTTCGTGCAATACGTTTTGCAGAGTCGGTCAACCAATCCTGAATCTTACGCGCACCGTTGAACATCTCTCCGAGCGAATTGAATACATGGGTTGCCAGATAGCCAGCAAGAACGTATGTCTTGTCGGCCGGGATATTTGGGTTCTCCTTGAGTCTGCTCTCAATCTGTGCACGCGCACCAATAAAAGTCACACCGTACACATTGGTCATGACAGTCTGCTTGACAACCTTGCGACTGATGTTTCCCTGCAAAAGCTTGGCATATTCATCACCATTGGCAGCAGCAATGTCGATCTGTTTGTTGACCATGTCAGCTACACCCGTGTACACATCTGCAGGGCGATCACTGGGAGCCAGGTTCACAGCCTTTGCACCAGCTAAATCACCTCCAAGTGCAGCATAATGCTGAAGACCGTTGCAAGTACCATCCTGATGAACAGGCAATTGTGACGGGAACTCTTCGGGAGTACCACTACGCTGAGCAGCCGCTACTTCGTAACAAGCTGCAAGACACTGCCATGGAGCCTCTGCCTTGAGCCACCATTTGTTTCCCTAAGCACCAATAAAGAAAAATAAATAAATAAATAAATTAGCCATCTTAAGCTACATGTGCTTATATACACTCTTATCCTCAAATAAGCTATATACATATTAGAAGAAAAAAAAACATACTGTGAGAGGGTTGTCAACAGAGTCATAGATATCTTTCATGTGTTCCTCTGTAAATTTCTCTCTGTCGGTAAAGGAATGTCTATAAATAAGAAAAACCAAATGAGCAATTAAATACATAATTCACAAAACATATATATATATCAAATCATCTTTGGGATACTTACTTGTCGAAACCGTACAAATTTGCCAAGTGAATCTTGAGCCACTTCCAACCTCTTTGACCCAATGGTTTTGCGACGTCAAAGTGAAGCAAACCACGGCAAAGATCATTACCAAGATGGTTCAATGTTGGGGGAATTGGATAAGCACGACCACGGAAGTCCATGTTGTGGGGGAAATACATTGGCAAGTTCAGGAACTGTGCACAAGAAAAAAGAAATATTATAAATCATTAGTTAAACGCTTGAGCAAATAACAACATCACACTGTATACTACTACAGTAATAATAGTAATAATAATACTTACAGCTCTTGCGGTTTCAACCTTATAGTTGACATCACAACGTAAGCCGTGGTTGTTCTTGTCTTCGGTTTGGATCTCCTTGACCTTGGTAACCCACAAAAACTTGGCTTTTGGATCGGTGTCATAGTTTTCTGGCTTTGGAGGTAAAGGAGTAGGGGCGTCTACAACCGGTGGGATATCTGCAATGGGCTCACCAGTATTCCAGGCTTCCAGGATCACATTAAAGACATTTTTGTTTACTCGCCAGCGTGTTTTACCCAAGACATCCAGGCCAGCTAGGACGGGGTTTAAACATTCTTGTTCGGATGCTTTGTGAAGGTAGGAGAGTTGCTCAGGTGAGTCTCGGATACGCATGCACGTCGACTTGGCCGAGAGATAACCACCGGAGTTGTAAGACAACCAAGGCAGAGGGTGGACAATCATGGGCATGAGGCGAGGGTGGAGTGTATCACGAACAGGCTCACGGGAGAGCATGGAAATAAGAGGTTCTGAAAACTTGATAATACCCACACGTTTACCACGGACGTATTGATAGGTGTGGAAGAAGGCAGGTATATTTTCTATACTGAAAGAATTTATCACAATTGTCAGTAAAAATAAATCAAGCAATTCATTTAGGTTCCTTTCTTTTTCTTCTATAGGATCTAAAGCACACGATATACGTACATTTTTTCTCCAGTCTCAGGATCTGAACTGGGGACAGGAATCTTGGAAGCTTCGATCAAGATACTTGTCAACACACTTCCAACCTTTGCACGGACAGTGCTAGGCCAGACAGGAGTCCAGTCTCCATTTCCGATAACACCTCCGGTATCACCCTCTGAGGCAGGTACAACACTCTTGCTAGACTCTTGCTCACGCGCCACCTTCATGTGGGCTGCACGAACTGCCATATTGAACAGCTTTCCGCTTGCGAAAAGAGAATGGACTTCCTGACTGCGCGAGAGTAGCTTGTTGGATGATTTCTTCATCAGGGTTGCATTGTACTCCATCTCTACTGCTTTTCCAATGTCGATAATGGTGCGTGCAGTCTTCATGCCGTCAACGATTCCAGATGAATTGTGTCCTCTGAGCAACTCGAGGATTGTGATGATCGACAACTTTTCGACTGGCAAGAGCTTCAAAAAGGGACCATACAGTTGTCTCTCGGCTTCTCGGTAGGTTGCATTGTCGCAGCGAGCAATCTCTTCTCTGATCAATGGGATCATCTTTTCATGCCAGTCCCACATAATCTTCTTCAGAGGTGTCAAGTTCATCGCACTAAGAGCGTCACCGCGCTCGATACTTGCTTCTTTCATATGGAGAAGCTTCTGCAATGCGACATCGTATCCCTGACGTTCCAACTGCAACTGAAGCTCATAAGGATCCATCTTCATAACCTTGCTTTGGTCCTGAAGAGCAGCCAGCTGATCTTGAAGAAACTGAACACCGATAGTTTTTGTTGCCATGGCTTCTGGTACGTTCTCGATCGGTTGTCCGGTTGCGAGGGGGCTCTGTAGGATTGGCTCAGCCAGAGGACCGAGTGAGTCTGATGTGGCAATTTCGAGTTCTTTCAAGAGTTCCTTGGTTTCTTCGGAATTTGCACCTTGACTTTTGGTAATAAGCTAGATATGAAACATTAACATTAGTCCGACCTGTCAAAATAAAAAATAAAAACAATAATTGTAATTCCGCCATGGACGAACTACATCCTACTCTTGTATCTATATCTAACACCCATAATCACACACACACATCATTTGTCTTTATGCATGGTAAATGCAGGCCCTTTAAATTTACCTTTCTAAATAAAATCATATCACTTTCTGTCAAGTATGTTGACTCCATCAAATCTTTCATTGTGAATTGGCTGGTATTTTGGACTTCCTGTAACAGGGCTCGTGCTGTGTGATAGCTCTCATTTCTAAAGAAAATAAAATAAAAAGTTGTGATATTTAATATCAAATCAAATGGTAGACTCGTACTCTCATTCTCACATTAATTCTATATATCAACAACACTAAAGAAAACTACCACAACCGCAACCAAATCCCAACACAATCCAAAGCACATACCTCAAGAAAGCTTTGACTACGATCGCATATGTGTCGATATTAGGTTTGAGACCTAGATTTTCTTCCATACTATCGAACCATTGCAGACAATGTCTTGTCATGACTCCCTGGCTGTCAGTAAATCCATTGAGGAAAGAGTTGAAGATGTGGTGGTCTGTGTAAAGCTTCATTTCCTCGGGTCTTGATCGGATTAGTTCTTTGAAGATACGGTCTGCTCTGACCATAGATCCTGTCTGGATACAAGCATTCAGGATAGCCAATTGTTCTGAGACAGAGGATGGGAGAATTCTAGCAGATACTTTGTAGGCTGTGGTGGAAGGGTTGGGTAGAATGATATGTTGGGAGTCAAAAAGGTCAGCAGCTGGAATCAAGGGTGTAGGTTCTTCGATTTTGCTGTGCTGTGCTGCTGTGCTATAGCGATGAACAAGGTTCAGATACCGAAGAGGTTGTGGTGGTGACTGTCTGAATAGTATGGCCTGGCTGACATGAGGAAGACGTGGTGAGTTTGTGTGAGTTCTCAAAAGGGAAGGTCTGCTGGATAGATTCAGTTGGCCTTTGCGGCAATTCGCTGCCTGTCTTGCTAATGACAATGACATGATCGGGCTTCCAACAAAGGTAAGTGTTGTGTGGGTAGTGAAGTACGTTGGAAGCTTTGAATGGCTAACTCAACAACTATGTATATATAAAAGAAGACAAAAAAAGATAAAGCAAAAAAATAAAATAAAAATAAAAATATAGACGAAGAAGGAAGAGGAAGAAGAGGTTTATTATATAATAAGAAAATAGATGACTGAAAATAAACAGGGCTATTTTTCCCCCTCCCCTCACAAGCGGTCAAACAACTTTTTTTTTTTCTTCCTTTCTTTCTGTCTGTCTGTCTGTCTGTCTTTTCATTTTTTTTTTTTTTTACTTGCAAGAACCAAGGAAAAATCTCTTTTTTGCAAGTCACAAGTAGTCCCGCTCACTTCTCTCTCTTTTTTCTTTTTATCCTCCTTTCCTAACTACTGCTTTCGTCTTCTGTATTTTATTTTATTAATTTATTGTTTCACATTCCAAAATAATATTTTTTAACCAATATACAAATGTCTTCTACCCCAACATCACATCTCTTGGAACTCCAGGTGCTCACCCAAGTAGTATTGCAGCATCAAGAAAAAAATGACATTCGAGGCTCGATACCTTATCTTGCCAAAATTGCACAAATTATTGACAATCAACGCATCGTCAAACCAACTGACGACATTGATGCCAGTCAGTCAACCTACGATAGTCAGATACGCGAACTCAACAAATTAAAAGCCGATGCTCATTCTCAGCTGGCCGATGCATACTTCAAGACAGCTAACCATGTCCAATGCGAGGCATCTCTCACTTGGTCAGTCAAGATATGGGAAAGACTTATTAAACAAGACAAGACCACGAAAACCACGGCCAATGATGATATAAAACCACTTCTTTTGAATGCCTACGATCAACTAAAAGAATGTTATGAAGCACTCGGAAAGCCCTCAATGGCTAAACACATGGAAACACGAAAAGCCAAACTTCTGGATCAGAAATAGTAGTCTGTCAATTTAATGCAGGAACATGGGGGGGGGGGGGGGGGGATAATTATTTTTTTATAGATACACATGAGTTTTCTTTCATGGATCGTTTTCGTGTATACCATGAATACTAATAATCGATATATATATATATATATATATTCATGCATGTGTATGTATGTATTTGTCTAATGTATAATAATATTTTAACAAAACTGTAATTATATACAATAACACTATGACCCAAAATAATTATTGTAATAGCAAGCAATTGGCATATTGTGCAACCGTCCCATCAAATTGGATTTCAAGTAAAACGTTTAGCCGGAAATATATATATATACATATTTATCGCAGTAACGAGAGAAACAAATCAAACCAAAAAAAAAGAAATGCTTCATGGCAATGAAACATTTGTTTTAAATAATGGCTTTATTATTTGCCCAGTCTAAGCTGCAAATGAAGTCTAGAATAAGGCATTGCAACAAACATATACTTACATGCATGCATACATATGTGGGCGCCTGTTTCAATTTTACTTTTATCTGTATTTAGGATTTCATAATTAAATTAATTAATTAAATAAATATATAACCTTAAAAATTATTGAAATGAGTTCAAGAGAATAATTTGGCACTTTTTTTTTTGTCATCTCAACACCAAAAATTCCATTCTGCTTTTGAAAAAGAAAAATAGAAAAAGAAAGAGAAGAAGCTAAAAAAAATAATAATATTTGATCTTTGGCTATGTTTCATTGAGATTCAAGTTTCAGAACGATTGGACCTGAGTAACAGCCAAAGTCTTACTTTTAAGACAGGACACAAAAGGATATAAAAAAAGGGGGGTTTCAATTAATTAACCACATCTTGTAAGCAGAGCATTGTGTATTGTATATGTTTAAAAGAATAGAAATAAGTAATATGGTATAGGATTTTTTCTTTGTTAGTAGTATGGGTTTCACTGCTATATTTAAATTCTTCTTCTTGGCTATGTGTGTATGTATGTATGTATGTTTTTGCTTGTTTATGCGTGCGTAGTATCTATAGTGCATATCAAATTTACTTCTGCAAATATGAAAAAAAAGCAATCTTATTGAGTGGTAGCTGTTATAAAAGTAGGTAGATATATCTATGTTCTTGTATTGCTACTTTGAAAAAAAACGAGAAAGAACAAGTGTTTAATGGGTAAAAAAAATTGGTATCTAGGGAATCGCTTGTTCGTCTGAAAAGAACTTCATGATTGATTCCCGGAAAGCTTGTCGGTTGGTCGCATCAATTGTACTGTAGATATATTTTGTCAGTTCAAGAAGACGATAGGAAGGAGTAAGGGGATCAACTGTGAGAGGTTCGACACGATTGATATCTAAAGTGGCTTCTGGTAGTAAGATGTCTGCCTGTGGTTCTGTTTGTGAAACTATTGCTTGATCTGTCGGTTGATCTATCGGAACTTCTGGTGACAAAGATGGAGATTTGGTTATTTCTGATGGACCACCACCACCATTACTACTTCTTCTGCTGCCACTGCTGCTCGGTAAGAGAGAGCGTTGATACCATATGTCCCGAGTGCTGATAAGAATATTAGGATTTCTGTCAAGAATGGTGGTGTAAATAGCCCGTGGAGAGGCACCAGCATTGGTCATATTGGCAATCAAAGATTTTTCGTCGCTTGTAAAAATTCGTGCTGCGGGGTGGCTCTTAAGATTACCGGAGGGCCCATGGTTGTGTACCATCGATCTTTCTTGGAGTGTCCACACGCCCTTTCGCAAAGAGGCAAATATATTAAAGTTACAGTCACCTCTTCTTGACGGGGGTTTCAATGGTCCACTACCCTTTACATAGGCGCGACAATTAGCTCTCCCCCGAGAGTGACCTCTATCGCATCCAAAATCGATGTTCTTGACAACTCCTTGTACCTTACGGCTACGTTTGACAACTATAACATAGCCATATTGGATTCCAAATGCCTTTAGCTCTTCTTTAAGTTCCTCGGCACTACTATATCTTTTGACTGGAACCGATGGCATCACATAGCTCTTTGTTTCAGGGCTAGAAACACTAGAAATGATGGTGCTAGTATCAGAGGTATCAGTGGTATTGTTGTCTGTGGAACTGGCTTCCATAAAGTGAAATATTAAAAGTTGTGAAAAAAATAAAATAAACAAAGCGTCCAAAAAAATATTAAAAAAAAAGAAAAGTCCTCTGTGATGGAATGTATTGTTATTTTTATTCCCCCCCCCCCCTTTTTTTTTTAAGATACAGCACAGCTATTAAGATGTTAAAATCATGGTTGTTTGCTTTTTCCCTTATTTACTTCTTTATTTTTACTACATGCACTTTTTATGATGTGTAATATATACTGCGCTGATGTATGTATTCTCTGTTTTTGATGGAGAGCTATTAAGGTTGACATATTCATAGAGTCTTCACATTATACTCGTTGCTAGATTACAAAGTTTAATATAAAAGCAGATCAACATTTCAAACAAATCTCTTTTGACATCCTGTATTAAAGTCAGAATCTATATAATCTTCAATGAAAAATACATTTGAACAATGCATGCAATTTCATCGTAATTACATGTACAAATATACCAAAAAACAAAAACAAAACAAGTAGAGCATTAAACCCGGAATCCCAAGCTAAAATAAGATTTACAGCCAATTTGGAATATGCCGTCTATATCGAGATGGTGTGTGTGATGGTTGGCGACCGCCTATCGTCGGAGTATGAAATTTGAGAAGAAAAGAGAACGAAATGTAGATGAGAGGAGCGAGAGGAAGAGGTAGAGGAGGTCAAATCAGACGAAGTTTAGTGAAGGTGAATAAAGGATTTCTTTTTGCCTTGTTAAAAAAACTTTTCTCATTTTATTATTTTGATAACTGATTCTAATACCCGTAAGCCTATTCAATTAAAATATTATATGACTCATCCTAACTATTGGAGTGCACATCTATTATCTCGACAACGTATCCTCTTGTAGGTTTTTGTCCCTTGTTATCACGCCTCCATTAAGGGTTATAGTATGTGTTAGCCAGTAAACACAGAAATAGAGACTATACAACTTGAACACTTCTCCCCGCAATAGTATAGTAATTGCTTACATTGCCCTCTTACAAGTACTCTACGTGTCAATATATTATATAGTGCTTCTACTTGAGAATGAGACAAAGTAGAAAATGTTTTAGGCGAATCAAAGTGTAAATATAGAAACCCTGTTTAGCTTTTGTGGGCAGAACGAGAATGAAATTTAGAAAGAGACATTAGTTTTTAAGGTAGACATTGATGCTTAGATATTTACCTGTAACTGTCAAAATATCGCAAAGAGACAAAATGTTTACATTACAGTAATGTGATTATTATTGTTGTTGCTTACTGCTGCTTATTTGCTTGATTTTATCAGATCTTTGTGAAGATATCGGTCAGTGGGTTCCTCTCCAAGTTGATAAAGCAACTGTCATCATATTCTTTGTAGCATTTACATCTCGTTGTCACATTGTATTGTAGGCTCTACAGTCCAGTAAAGAAAAGACAACTTTAGATCGTCGGAATTTTCAAATATTCTTTTATAAAATAACCACAACTTGAGCATCTCTTTTTGACCAGTATTCCACCCTCGTTGTGACTAATATACATTATATACAGTGTTTTCCAAAATGTAACCGCTGTAGATGATCTTAATGAATCTGAGTACTTGTGCGAAAATAAAAATACAAAATTCATAAGTCGAGCCGGTCTCTAAATTTCTGATAAAACCAAGCAAACAGCCAGCAATAATCACAGCAATAACAATAATAGTCTAGTTAGGGTAACGTAACCAGTTTGGCTCTTTGAGATGTTCAAACAATTACAGGTAAAGTGTCTAAATAATTATCTACTTTGTCTGAAAACTAACTTTTCTTTGTTGAAACATTCCCAAATTTGTCTCAATCTCGAGTAGAAGCACTGTATTATTTTCTTACTTATGCGAAACTTTCGAAATAGATTTCTGGCAGATGTATCATGTACTCATTATTATTATTAAGCAAATAGTATTAGATAATGTAAAGTAAGATGGAAGGGAGGGGAGGTCATAATGTTTGTCTCTTCAAACAATAGAAATATGTATTCGGCATGCGACCTCAACTAAAAGTCTTAAATATAGCAATATTTAGTAGCAATAAACTCGTCTATAAATATAAAAGGTAACCAATGTAAGAAGTGTGCATTTACTGAAAATGTGACAAGTTGTTTTATTACTAGCATATATATATATTCTTTTATAGCTTTATACGCATATCTATGTTTTGTAAATAGCCAAGTACAAGGATAATACGTGTTTAGAGAGAATGTTTATATATTTGTTTATTTATTTATTGAAGGTAAATATTAGGTATATATATAATTCCAGTCGGTAAATCCTAAATGCCTATCCAGGGAAGGCCCATCGGTGCTCCACATCTTGTTCTTGTGCTTCAAAATCTGCTGTAATAAAAAAGAAAGAAAGAAAGAAATATAAAAGTACGTACCTGCAAAAACAAACACGCAGAAAAAAACGGACCCAACGAGAAAAAAAAACTAACTAAAAACACAGTACGAAGTTGGGGACATCTCACTTATACGACATCCGGTGGATCAGCACAACACCGAGATGAAGGACGACTAAGCATCAAAAAAAGAAGTTGGCGCAATGCCTTGAAATCCTCGGCCTCGTACTCAGAATCCTGGACACCACCAGAGCTCAGTCAGGGTCCCGAAGGTTAACCTGTTGGCTTGAACCTCGTTATATACAAAATAAGAACAAGATAAAATGCTGAGATGTTTTGCTTTAGCTTATGTTTTAGAACGATTACTCACCGATTAAGGAGCTCACCAAAGTACTCGCGTACTCTAATGAACTCGCCCGCTGGACCGCTATTTTATTTTTGAAAAAAAAAATTATGCAGACAAAACACGTTAATATCTTTTCATGTCAAATTGGTAAGTAGTAAGCATGGAGATTAGCAGCAGATTTTTGCACACAAGAACAAGAACAGGAGTGTTTTCTAGGCTTCTGACTATTTCTTGCTGTCAGTCTATTGTAAATAACAAATAAAAAGTTAGATCTTGTTCAAGAGTAATGCGCATGAGGTTGGTAGCATTAGCCATTCACTCGGTTTCTTGAATCCGTCAAAGTTGAAAATATGGAGCGCCTCTTTAAAAAAGAAAAAGGCGAAAATATGTTCAGGTTAGCTTATGACACCGAATGGGACGTATTCGAGCTGGCTTTAACACGCTGGTGGTCTTTACATTCGTTACTTACCTGGTGTAAACGTAAACTGGCCTAAAGGAAGGGAAATACAAATAAACAGACGCGTATGCCCTTGAAATAATTTTTTCCTACGCCAATATAGATGACATCAGCATTTATTTGTGATGCAAGCATTCTTAGCCACTGTGAGAGAATTTATTAGACCAAAATAACCACTACGGTAAAAAGGGGGTGTTTCAGAGGGCGATTATGTAAAACGCATGTGATTTTTTTAAAATTACCCCCTGAAGCGCACCTTTTTTCTCATAGTGGCTAAGAATGCTTGCATCACAAATAGATGATGATGTCACCTGTATTGGCGTAGGAAAAAATTATTTCAAGGGCATACGCGTCTGTTTATTTGTATTTCCCTTCCTTTAGGCCAGTTTACGTTTACACCAGGTAAGTAACGAATGTAAAGACCACCAGCGTGTTAAAGCCAGCTCGAATACGTCCCATTCGGTGTCATAAGCTAACCTGAACATATTTTCGCCTTTTTCTTTTTTAAAGAGGCGCTCCATATTTTCAACTTTGACGGATTCAAGAAACCGAGTGAATGGCTAATGCTACCAACCTCATGCGCATTACTCTTGAACAAGATCTAACTTTTTATTTGTTATTTACAATAGACTGAAAGCAAGACATGGCCAGAAGCCTAGAAAACCACTCCTGTTCTTGTTCTTGTGTGCAAAAATCTGCTGCTAATCTCCATGCTTACTGCTTACCAATTTGACATGAAAAGATATTAACGTGTTGTCTGCATAATTTTTTTTTTCAAAAATAAAATAGCGGTCCAGCGGGCGAGTTCATTAGAGTACGCGAGTACTTTGGTGAGCTCCTTAATCGGTGAGTAATCGTTCTAAAACATAAGCTAAAGCAAAACATCTCAGCATTTTATCTTGTTCTTATTTTGTATATAACGAGGTTCAAGCCAACAGGTTAACCTTCGGGACCCTGACTGAGCTCTGGTGGTGTCCAGGATTCTGAGTACGAGGCCGAGGGTTTCAAGGCATTGTGCCAACTTCTTTTTTTGATGCTTAGTCGTCCTTCATCTCGGTGTTGTGCTGATCCACCGGATGTCGTATAAGTGAGATGTCCCCAACTTCGTACTGTGTTTTTAGTTAGTTTTTTTTTCTCGTTGGGTCCGTTTTTTTCTGCGTGTTTGTTTTTGCAGGTATGTACTTTTATATTTCTTTTCTTTCTTTCTTTTTTATTACAGCAGATTTTGAAGCACAAGAACAAGATGTGGAGCACCGATGGGCCTTCCCTGGATAGGCATTTAGGATTTATATACTAAAAACTTTTCTTCAATCAATAAACAAATAAATGTATACCATCTCTAAAATTATGCTGTTTTTATGTAGTATAGACTTATTAACTTTACATCTGCATATTTACAGAATATAAGTATTCTTATAAAGCTAGATAATAATGAATTGTGGTGCCTTATGTAGAAGTATTAGTTAAACTCATATAAAATCAAAGTAAAGTAAAGATATAGCAGAACATAGCCAATTTTGAATAAAGGTGGCTATTTCGAAATCAAATTACAAAAGTCTAACGCACTCATGGGAACTTTGATCAAGGGTACTATGATTGAGGCTCTCTTAGTAATAATATGTTCAAGAGTCTTTTACTAAAAGTAATTCACCAACCAATGCCTTGTTGGCATTTTGTTGGTATTTAAAGCCCAAATGACATATTATTCTAAATGTAGATAGCCAAGAGCTATTGTGATAGGTAAACATCATGGGAAAACTGTATTATATTTATCACATTGATAACTATCTCTTGCTATATTTATATATTTATACATAACTATAGATATTTTTATAGATATATCGGCTGTATTATCAATAATTTTTATTCAAAAACTTATATAAAAAGAAAGAAGTTAAGATGTGCAAAGAATACAAAGCAGGAAAAGTAGGCCTAGTGGAGACATGATACTAAAACACAGTAACTTGATTTTTGTAAGTTCTTAACACTGCATTTTGAGAGTTAATTCGAGCCAAGAATAATAATGATACAAGACGAAAGTGCATGTATAAAGATCACTCGAGACCGTGTACCTATTACTTAAAAATAAGACTTGGTTTCCCAGTAATTACACACGAAAACTCACATAAAATTAATAAATAAAATAAAAGAAAAGAAATCATGCAATATATGACCAGCGTTTAATTTCCTAATTTAGAGTAAATCTTAGGTGCTGTTACATTAATATTTTTTTAGAGAAAATAATCTCTAGAATAGAAATAAACGTGAGTCTATGTATGTATAAAACCAATTGAATTAATAATAAGAATAACTTTCTCTTCTTTTAATATCCTCAAGCATACATATACATTTACATATATACACAGAGATAGAGAGAATCTATTTTAAGCTATAAATCTCCACATTATAGACTTGGTCAGGATTGGCTAACTCAAGCTGCTTGGCCAAGAGTTAATGTGGGTACAAAACGCACGGTTTTTCCTAGCACCAACAGCGATGTCTGTTTGAACTCTTGGTGAGATCACTATTACGTTTGGATACAAGCTTTTTTTTATGTTTACAAATGTAGATATTGCCTTGAAGCTTACACGCTTCAATTTAAAGAATGTAAGTTACCCAAAGAGCAAAGCCAAAAGGATATCGTATGATTAAATGGCAGAATAAGGCCGTGCTTTGATACATACATATACATAGAAAACTAACATCACAAAGTTTAAGCTATCTTATTTTATGTCCGTGCGTGGGTCTTGATTTATTTTTAACAAACTATAGACAAGACTAGCTGATACAATTAAAATGTCTTTCTTACAAATAGTTTCTTGTCTTTATATATATATCTTTTTATTACAAGCCGTGTTTTTCTACAACCAGACACAAGAAGAAATAAAGCGTATATATATATATATATTATTCTAATTTCCTTCATAAACTTCTCAATTGATATTCCCAAATGGTTCTTAGTTGCATGAGTGTGCGTGAGTGAGTGTGTGTGTGTGTGTGTGTGAGTGTGCTCGGTGACAGATTTGGTTCAAGAGTAGTTATCCTATACCTTCATTTGTAACGATTTCTCTCTTGTCTTTTTATATATATAAAAAAATGGAAACCTACACCTGTTTACTTTCCTTCTAATAATGTTGCATGCGTGTGGTGGGGGGGATTATGGATAATATTCGAGTGACCCTTTTATTCTTGGTGCATAAAAAATCAAAATAAAAACTATTTTTCAAGGAGTGTTTGTAATATTAAAGAAGACCATTTGTAGTTTGTTTTTTTTTAAAAAAGAAATATTTAAATTATAATTACACACATGTACTCTACAAAGCCTTGAGTTCCTATGAATATAAAGAGTTCTCCCCTTCGCATATATTTTCCTTGAGAAGATTACACTTTTGTTATATATAAATCTGCTACTGTCTACAAGTGTATATTCAGTATATTTGTATCCGTAGTGTGTGTGTGTGTGTGTACAGAGAGATATTAATATATTTGGTGCATCTTGCCTGTCCCAAGTTTTTAGTATTGATAATAAAAATAAGAAAGCGACCTTTATGAATCTGAGAATCTAAAGATCTCACAACCTGTATAATTATGATGCTTTTATTTTTGTAATGTCAAATCAAGACGATGATTAAGATGAAGAACGTGATCATGGTTTACAAGAAGATATTTGTAGGACAAGGAATAATCATAATAATCATAATAATCATAATAATTACAATAATTACAATAATTACAATATATACTATATAATACAATATATGGAACCCGAATCTGTCTCTGTTTCTCTCTCTCTGTGTGTGGGGAGGGGTTAGCGACTCTTCAACCTTATCAATCTACCTCTCTCTCTTTGTACATTTATATCTCTGTGTATGTGTGTGCTTATTATTTTTAAATCTCAGTGTTACCCAGGTAGAGTTACCCAATCGCTTTGAAATCTCCCATTCTCTTATTTTCTTCGCTTCCTTTTTCTTTTCCTTTTTTTTATACTTTATTTTATTTTGGCCTGCTCTTATTCTTACTATACTCCTTCTCTCATTAGTCAAATAAACGGGTATGTCGAAACTATCACCAATTTCCTATACACACATTTATCACTATCACTATCACTATTTTCTTGCTTGCTTCTTTTATATATATATCTGTATATGTTTAAATAGTAGTAACAATGATAATAATAAGAGAAAGAATAAAATAAACAAAAAAGAAAGGAAAGAACAAGAACAAGAACAAGAAAGGTCACATACATATATCTTTGACCCATCTTATATGGACGGATAATAAAGCAATGTCAACATTGACATTGTCTGGTCATTGCACACATAGTCATCTCGGCAGTTGATAGGATTTCTGGGGATGATTATTGCTGCGTATCCATTGTTCTTTTTCTCTCTCTTATTGAACTTTCGAGAAAACATCATTTCCCCCTTTTATACATACATACTTATACATACATACTTATACAAATGCATATACATACATACCTATATATATACATTTATTTATTTAAATATCATTTGAAAATAATAATAATAATCAAAAAGAATCTCAACTAACATGTGGTCTCTCTTTGTCTTTCTTTCTTTCTCGCTCTCTTTATCTCTATCTCTATATATATATATATATCGCTACCTCGCTCTAATTACTCTGCTCATTACACTCATTCTGGAAACCCATCTGCTTTACAATCGTTGCCATATCAACAATACTCACCTATTTTTTTTTCCTCATAAAAAAAAACTCGTGTCGACTTGGCAAAACAACGTGCTTTTTCTGTCCGCTCGGTGTTGTCACACCCTGTTCATTAATATGTGGATTGACTCGATTGAATTCTTTCCCACTGTTACTCTTACTCACTCACTCACTAAATCACTAAATCACTAAATCACTAAATCAAAACTTATATTTCTCGAACCTTGTGTTTGCACTATGTTTTCTCGGCCTTGAAAAATAATAATCATAATAGAATAATCTCTAAAAGATGATGCTCTACAAGCTGGTCGTTTTGGGCGATGGTGGTGTGGGAAAGGTATGGCATATTAGTAGTAGACATGACAATAAGAACCTCTCAGGTCACACAGATATTGGATTGGACGGGTTATTTTGTATTGAACTTCTTTTTTTTATAATTCTTCCCCTTCTATAGACTGCCTTGACTATACAGGTATGACAAAAATAAAAGTGAATGTGTGAATACGATTCAACTTTTTATACCGGCCATTAACTATCAAGGGCATCAGCTGTGTCTTAACCATTTCGTTGGTAAGTTATAAAAAATAAATTCAATTGTCAACTTTGATCTTTCTTTCTTTTTTTTTTTTTAAAAAAAAAGTAAGGCTTACTAAGCTAATTGTATTTATTATTATAGAGGTATGTTCCCGATTAAATAGATCTTTGGCTCTTTGATTTCTTTTATCAAGGTCTAAATAGATCCTTGGTTTTGCTCGTTATTTATTCAATTGTATTCCAGACGTATGATCCCACAATCGAAGATTCTTATCGCAAGCAGGTCGTTATTGAAGACCAGCCTTGTGTTTTGGAAGTCTTGGATACAGCCGGACAAGGTAATTATAATAAAAACCTTAAAAATTATTTTTACTCGATCACATATATTAAAAAATAACAATACTGTTTTATTGTATTCAGAGGAATACACTGCCTTGAGAGACCAATGGATCAGGTAAGAATAAGTAACAGTAATAATAATGCTGGACCTAAACACTACTATCAATATAACTTATTTTTTTCCTTTATTTTTCTAAATCAACTTATCTATATAAACTGTACATACAATATATGCTTTGATCATCTTATAGAGACGGAGAAGGGTTTTTGCTAGTATACTCCATAACATCTCATTCGACCTTTGATCGTGTCGAACGTTTCCGTGACCAGATCTTCAGAGTCAAGGATGTTGACAATGTTCCCTTGATGCTTGTCGGAAACAAGTGCGATAAGGTTACCGAGCGTGAAGTGACACGCGAGGAAGGTTACGCGATGGCAAAACGACTTGCCTGCGAATTCATTGAGACCTCTGCAAAAACCTGCGTCAATGTCGAACGTTCTTTCTACCAAGTCGTCAAAATCATTCGTGCCCAGAGAGATGGCATGCGCTCCGGCGTCAAGAAAAATGGAAAGGGAAAGGGAAAAGACAAAAAACCACCCTGCGTTGTGCTTTAGAGAATAATATAACATCTTTAAATCATTATTATTATTACTACTATTACTACTACTACTACTACTACTACTACTACTACTACTATTCTTATTACCCTATTTACCTTATTTACTTTCCTTTTCTTTCTGTCTGATCCATCTCTTTATTTTCTTACTCGCATTATCGCTCACTCCTCACAATCCTTTCTCCATTCTTATTTTTTAAATTTTTCATTTTTCTTTCCCTTTTCTTTATTTCTTATAGTGCGCAAAGGAGTGACAATATAGAGATCTCATTAATATCTGTGGCTTGCTGTGCAATGCCATCTTGTGCTTTTGATTATTTCTCTTGGCTTGTCATTTCCTCATTTTTATAGACCAAGAAGACGAAAACACACTTAATTACAAACCTGTCTTATTATTCCCCTTTCTTTCCCCTCTTTAAGAAAATATAAAGAAGTAATGGTAGTAGTACTTGATAATACAAACACACACAAACACACACAAACACACATAGCTACATAATTAAATCTATACTTTATTGCTTCTCTATATTTACTCATCTTCATCTTCATTTTCTTTCTATTAATTGAACCACATTGGCTTCGGTCAATTAGAAAACCCTATAAAAAATAACTGTTCATTTATTTTATTTGATTTACTATTGAAACGATTGTGAATCTCCATGCGTATCTATACATATATATATAAAGAAACCAAGCTGGGAGAGAAGCCGGGGTAATTTTAAAAGGAAAAATACAAATTACAATAGAGGATCCAGTCAAATCCGGATAATTGTTCTGCTTGTTGTTGCTGTTGTTGTTGTGTTTATTTGACAATCAACAGAGCAAAATTTATGTCTCATTCCCATCTTTGGTGGCTGTTTCTCTCTCTCTCTCTCTCTTCCTTCCTTTCCTTGTGTTATCTTGGAGTACATTGCTAATTTGAATTCAGAGCAATATTCTATTTGCGGTAATATTCAAAAAGCACTCTTGATGTGTGTTACCAGGCTTCTGGTGCAATAATTACAAGAATAATAGTTAGTATTTGATCCTGTTTCAAAGAACAATGTACATATGTGTTTGATTCATTTATATAGAATTGCTTGAAACAAAGAAAGACATTTATACTAACACTACACTACACTACACTACACTACACTACACTATTACTTTTCTTTTTATATTTTAAATACATAAATGAACAACATTTCTCTATCTCTGTCTTTGTAAAACATAGGCGAGTACACTCACGCCAATATATTGTTACTGTACATCAGCGGAGGTTTACGTAGAATATTTAGACTTTGGGTTACGCCGATGGGCCATGAAAAAGATACCAAAAAAAAGAAGGGAATTTTATTACATATATATATATGTATGTATAGCAAAGAAAATCATATGCTGAAGTATCCGCTCACAGGATTTTACTGCGCACATGAAAGCAGAATCCGTTAACGTAATATAGTCATAATTTTCTTACAGAAAGGAAAATAAACTTATTTTTACTTTCTTCTTCTCTCACAAACAATTGATGAAAAACTTAAGTGATGACATAGACACAAGACACAGACACAGACACAGACACAAGCACAAGCGTAAATAAAATAAAATAAAATAAAATAAAATAAAATAAAATAAAATAAAATAAAATAAAATAAAATAAAATAAAATAATATATTATGGGTAAAACTATTAATTCAGCTGTCATTACATATATTACTTTTTATTTTATTTTATATTACTTTTCTTTTCTTGAATATATATGTATAATATATGAGCTTATATTATCTCCTTGGAAACTATCGGTTACACCAGATCTTCCAGGAAAATTTTGCAGACTTCTTGTGCGTGTCATCCGTACTTGTGCTCCCGGAGGATAGACCGTCGTAGTCTACTTGTTGAGAGAAAACTTGGAACTTATCGATTATATTAAAAGTAATATTTATACACATATATACATACACACATATTACATATTACATATGTTGGAGTATAGCTTGAGGATTTACATGTGATTACTCCAAAAATTTACTAGTTACAAGCATTGAACAATATATAATTATGTAATTCGCTTGTACAAACTTCATTTATTTAGACTTTTTTAAATTTTGTCTTTTAAAAGAGTAATGGTTATTTAATTATGAATAGCGTAAACGTTTAAGACAGGCTTGGTAAATTAAGTCAAAGCATAATGATAATAATAGTCAGAAGATACATCCTCTTGAAATACCTATTAGGAAACAAGGATGCTGTGTGAAGAGACAAACCCAGTATTGAATCTACACAAAGGATGATGTTACTCTTTCGGCAATAAATGAAGTAAAAGATCATTCTCACTCTCCGTCCAAAGTATTCTAAACAAGGAATGTAACACGGAGCGCAATATCAATTATAAAGAGAGAGAGAGAGAAAGAGAGAAAAGAGGAAGAAGAAAAAGGATCGTCAGAACGAGAAAGACTAGATTTTGTGATTCTCCATTTTTCTTAATAAGGACACAAGTGTCATATATTCTCTCGTTCACCAAGAAAAAAAAACAAGAGAAAATTAAGTGAAAAAGCGCACAAATGAGAGAAAATAATAATATCACACTTTTATTGTTATTGTTATAATAAGCTGAGAATATTAAGGCTTGACCTCCAATCGACTTTCTTACGATTTTTATATAAAAAGCAACGAAGATAGATCCGTTGATAAGAACTTTAAGCTAAAATGAAAGTCTAAACGAGAAGTTTAAAGAGCAATGAATTACACGTAACATGTAGATAAATTACAATTTCAATTTCAATTGCAATTTCAATTACAAGTATATATAGTGCTTGCGGTAGAAAGAAGCGAGAAAAGAAAAGAAAAAACTATACATGTGCTTTTTTGACTCGATTACTTTAAATGTCTTGGTTTATTTGTATCCAGAATATCATGTTACAGATATCAATCTACTGTTCATCTTGTAATTTGTTCAGATAATACAACCACTGCAACGGAGTACCTACCTTTATCTTTGGCTTCTAATAATTCAATAGATAATTGAGCAACAGTGAATTACATTAATTTTAAATTAATTAATTAATTAATTAATTAGTTAATTAAAGGTTTTCTCTCTCTTTTGAATAAACACAACAGTTCATTTCTTTCTTTGAATTTCTTCTTCTTCTTCTTCTTTATTATTTTTGCAGATGTTCAATTGAGGTTATATGTTTGAATTGAATCTCACTTTGAAAGATTTTTAATGCAGATCAGTTTAAGTTATTTCGTATGGAAGTAACATCATAAAAAATTGAGATTCATACGCATATTCCCATATATTTTTTTAAGGATGCCGATAAAAATGATAATGCTATACATGGGTATTTATATAAGCATATACATCATGTGCTCTATTATATACATATATCTATACTGCTTTATACTTTTGATAAAGAAGATATGCTTGTAGACATATGGAGTGCTTTCTTAGACCAACCGAAATATGCTAGTGTAATCAAGTGGTTTACGAATCCATTCTCCTAGTCTGGTATTAGACGAGTTTGTTTCCCGTAAGCTTAGGGCTCTATACGTATTAAAAATGCTTGAATAGATATTTTGCTTTTATTTTTATTCTTACTTTTTTAAAGTATTATACGAATAATTAATCAGGGTTCATTTGTACTTTATTTCTCTTATAACAGAAAAAGATAAAATAAGGCTATATAACTATATTATATTTTTTTGATGGTATAAAAGAAAATAAATGTGTTCCTTTTTCTCATACACATACTTTGCTCTAAAGATATAAAATAAAAAGCTCACCCTTTACCATCCCCATGATAATCGAAGAAGAAATCGAGTCCACGCTAAAAACGTGGAAAACTCACAATATTATCAAGAACCTTGGTGAAAAGCAAGGGTAAAATAACCTTACCTTTGTTATATACAACCCAATTCTTTTTAACCATTCTTTTGGGGGATTTTTTTGCTACTACTGTTTTTGTAGAAAACAGAAATCCAAGATATCTCTATTGATATGTATACATTGAATCCAATACAGAGATTATTATAATAATAGCTTTATGTTTCTCACAAAGGCGCGTCTTTTATTACTATTATTACTATTATTATTATTATTACTATTATCTTCTTGGAAAATAGCACCTGGAGATGAACTCAACAGTATAAATAAGTTTATATTGACAAAGCGCACCGAAGCAAGAAATATAAAGTCTAGTACCCAACGTACATTAGCTCTAGACTCACTTGACTCTACCAAAACAAGTCTACAAGAATATTCAAAGAGTAAGAGATTAACATACACAATACGTATAAAAGCAAAAAAGAAAAGGGAAGACTAATACTATTCTTTTGACAATTTTCCAAACTTTTACTTTACTTTGCTTGGCTTTATTTTAATTCCTTTATTTTTCTTCTTCTCTAAACTATAAAATGCTGTCGGTACAGTCCCGCCAAATGGTTTGGTTGTATATGCAGATGCTACACCAAGGAAAAGAGAGAAAAATGGAGACACAAAGATTTCTTTTGAGCCATCTAAACCTATATCAAAAACCATGTATATTCGTAGCAATCACTTCCACATAGAAACCTTGAAAAAACAACTCGAGGTTGATGTTGAATTTGGGGTCATTATTATGGATGGGAATAGTACGCTCTTTGGCATACTTTCCGGAAACGACAGGAGAGTGCTACGAGAGGTACGCTCAGAAGTTCCTAGCCAAAAGAGTCGTAGAGGAAACAGCTCAAATCATGTATCAAAAATATGCAATGAGATTCGCCATAAACACATCAAGCAAATCTGCGAACTTGCAGTTAATTATTTCATTAAAGATAACAAGGTATGATATAATAGCCAGATACCCAATACCCAAAGAAAAAAAAGGTTATTGTGAATTGCAAGCAAATATACTTATGTTTGGGTATAGTGTATTGTAGAAGGAATTATTCTGGCCGGCTCGGCGGGATTGAAGTCTGAACTCTACAAGTCAAGCCTTTTAGACTGTCGCCTTCGAGAAAGAGTGTTCAGTGTGGTGACCACAGACCACTGTGGAAAAACAGGTTTTTATCAAGCTGTGAACCTGGCTTCAAATGATATAAGGGGAAGAAAAATCCTCAAAGAAAGACACTTGCTCCAAAACCATCACGAAGAGACGTTGAAAAATGCCAGTAAATCATGTTATGGTGTAATAGATACCGTAAATGCACTCAAGAACGGCTTGATCCGTCATTTAATTATCTGGCGCGGCTTAAATTACGTGCGTTATGACTTGAATGACAGCCAACAGAACAGACGTGTTTTTAACATAAGTGAAGAACAAGCGGAGGAGCTTGGGCCGTGTTCTGTTCAAGAATTTCTCGAGGAATACACTCAAATGGAACTTTATAGCACTACATCTTTGGTTGAATGGATACTTGAAACTTGCGCACAGTTTGGGACAATGGTTAATATGGTGTCTGAGTGTTCTGAGGAAGGTCTTCGCTTTGTTAAACAATACGAAGGATTAGGTGGAATTTTTTACTACAAGGTAAACAGACAGCTACATATATTGTGTACTGAAATGTTTTGATAGTAATTCTTCTTTAATTGTCACCATTTCATCCACTAGAACAAGCATATAAACCTCCAAAAGAACAAGAAGACAGTTTAGGGTACATTAAACAGGTGCGTTTAGCTCATAGTATCAAATATTATTCTTACTATTATTGTTTTAAAAAAATATGTGCTTAATTTTGCAATGAATCTATGCAAAATTCGAATAAAGAAACGGTTACAAGTACATTGATTGAGTAAATTGAGACATTACCCATATATCACTATATATATATCTATATTAGACTTGATATACTCGAAGAGTCTATAATGAATCATTTATAAATATATCAGCTAGATATTCTCACGGCATATAAAAGGAGAATTTGGGAGTCTTTAACAGAACTCACTATAAAATAGTATAAATTAATAAAGATATATTATGTTGTCACTTTCTTTCTTCAATGCGTTCTTTTCTCAATAATAAAACGATGGCTCAAAGAAAATCTTTTTTCACGGTGTTAACGTAAGAAATAACGAAGAATCCTAGCCATGGCTCAGAAACCAGCACGCCTAATTCATACTTCATTTTGTATATCCACAAAGGGAGATGTATCCATCCTGTTATCAATCGACAGAAATAAGTGATATCAAGCCACGAATAACAATCGTCAATACAGGCAAGCTATATATGATGCCTCTGATCAACCATATAATCAAGGGAGATAAACATCCTGATGCTCTTCTTATTTCTTTATTCTTTGCTTACAATTTATCTACAACTTTTATTAGACAATCTCTACTTTGACATTACGCAAACCATTCATCTCTGCTTTGAAAAGATAGAGCTTACAAATATTGATCCAAAGACATTTAAAGATGAAGTTATGGAAGCAGTGTTTTCAAAGATAGAGGAGGCAGTTGATCACATTCACCCAAGAAGGTTGATTTTTATTGCATTTGACGGCATACCTCCAGCCATAAAACTACAAAAACAGATATATACCAGAACATCAAAAAATAGACTTTTTGAGAGACCGTCTGACAAAGAGTATAGTAAAAAATATGACAAAAATCTTATTACACCTGGTAATATACATATAAATAATTATGATAAGAACAATATAGGGAGAGTAGAAATCACTACTAACACTATCTAATAAATACACCATGAATATCAAAGGAACTAGTTTTATGGAAAAGCTAGGAGATTACATTCGTTATCGATTGTCTGAAAAACTGACATATAACGACCACTGGGAAGATATCAGGATCTTGCTTTCTGATACACACATGCCTGGTACAGGTGAATGGAAGATCATGTCGTATATCCGATCGCTTGAAGTTCCACCCCCAGGATCGCCTGAGCTGCGACACATGATATGGGGAAGCGACAGAAATCTTATTCTGATGGGACTATTATGCGAAGACAGCAATATATTATTTACTGAGGGTATTACTTATACAGAGGAAGAGTAAGTTTCTCTCTCTCTCTCTCTTTTGTAATATTTAGCAAAAGGCTATACATAGATTCACGTCTTCCCTGTCAGAACTCCTAGGAATATCTTTAAGGTAGTGCACGCGGGTACCTTGCGAGAAGCAATCGAAAAAGAATACGCCTTCTTGAAGGCACAAGACGGGTTCGAATACGACACTTACTCTCTTATAAGAGACTATGTTTTGCTAAACGTAATTATGGGAACTTCTTTTTTACGGTACCCACGAAGTTTGAATCGTTTATCTGAATCAATGAAAGTTGTCCTGGATGCCTACAAAAACTTTTTATTGGAATCTAACGGTCATTTGTATGAAAACCAAACTATCAACCACAATCGGCTTGGATTTTTTTTTGAAAAGTTACTTATACCTATGAGAGATCTTTATTCTGCTGAAAAAGCCAATGATATAATTCAAGAATTTAAAAAATTCAATATAAATAGTATAAGTACAGGTACCATTTCCAGAACTGAACAGGTAATTTTTAAAAAATAATAATAATAGTAATAATAATATTTAAACCAACTTTACAAGCTAGCACTCACAAAATGCTTTAAACCATACGAATAGATTAAAAGCTCACAAAAGACCAGAGAGCGTAAAATTATGGCAGAAGAGTATATAAGAGGAATTCACTGGACTATGGAATACTTTCAATCCAATATCGTTTCATGGACTTGGTATTATCCTTTCTACCGTTTGACTCCTGCAATTTTTGAGCTGATCGAAATACAAGACCTTGAAGTTCCGATATTTGATCTGGGAGAACCAATGAATATATACGTCTACATTCAAAAAGTTTTTCCTGATTTCAACGTACTTGTTGATCAACTTGCCTCTGAGGTACTTTAAAGAGGGAAATAAAGCCGCTTTTCTATTTTGGAAAGAAGTCTAGATTACTTATATTTATCTTGTACCCTTATCTATAAAATAGTCCAAACTAAAAGGTCAATCTCCTTCAGAAACCGTTCAGCAGTACACTCTGCAAAATTCTACAATGGATTCCGCCTCAATCCCCTCTCGGGATCCAAGTAATCATCATTTATTCTCTTCGGGTGAGCAGAGAATAATATCCAATGAAGGCTACGAAAGTATCATGCTGTTTCCAAAAAACAATTTTATGGTCAAAGACATTATACTGAAAGGCAGAAATAATAACATCAATGAGACCTCGAGTACAAGTACTACAATTACTGCGCCTACTATCAGTATCAAGTATGCATTTGTGTACGGATCAACCCTACACGGAAATTGGGTGTACGATACTCTGTCTCACGAAGTTGACGACGGTCTGACAGTCAGAATGAATACCTACCTCGATAAATATGCTTTGAAGGAGCCTGTACTTATATTTGATGAATCAAGCGTAAAAGAATGCAACATTCCTTTAATAAGTAGTACCGCCCTTGCAAATTCCCTGAGGGTTCATGAAGAAGTGGTAAAACACCTTTCGACAGACTTTTACATTACCCAGTCTCAGAATATTGTGCTTAACATTGGACTCCAATTCGGGGATAACGACGGATACACATTTATGGCAAACCAAGAACTATGCCTTTACTTTCAAGAGGCAGCGGATCTGCTTGAAAGTTATCTTAAACAGTTTCCTCGCTTGGCATTCTTTGTACAAAAACTGATATTTAGTGGTAAAGTTTTCAGTTGAATAATAGATTATCTTGAAAACTAACAGAACATACACACGCACATTATAATCATCAAATTTTTATTATAAGAGGTCACTCCTATGCCTACATACACCTGGGATGATAGTACCCCGTACTCTGTCAAAACTGTATATGATTGGGTTAATTCAAAAAGATATTATAAGAAGAGAAGTCCAACGCCTTTCGAAAATGCAAGTAATAGATTAGTATTGTTTTTACTGTTATTTTGATATACGTACAGTCTAGTTTGTCTTGTAACATACATACGCAAAACAAACTAACCTGTGAATATTCTTAGCTCACATTAAAGATTAATGAAAAGGCAATCGAGCGCACAAAAAAAATTAACAGTGAAGTTTCCTTGGAAACAGTAGTCTACAATATTCCTCAATCGGCAATTGTCTCTCTTAAGAAATTTAAAGAGATCCACGGTACCAAAGAACTTATGATCGGGGACAGATGTGTTTGTGTTGACAGACGTGAGAAAAACATCTTCCTTTTTGGTAAGAAAGGAACAGTTGTTGGAATGCGCAACACCAAAAAGGTCAGGGTCAAGTTTGATGAAGACCTTTTCAAAGCAAGGTATGGCAAGAATATTTGATCCAAAAAAAAAAGAAGGAAAGAAGAAGCTAAAAGTTTGGAACAAAACATAAAAAAAAACTGTTTTGTGTATTGTATAAATAGAGAGGATCAGATAGGAGCTATAATAGACATTCGAAATTTGTTGAATCTTTCCTAGTCGTATATCCTCCTTTTATTGCTACCGTGGTACGGCATTATGAATTTGCTACTACAATATATACATCTTTATGTATTCTTTGCTTATATTTATAAAACTAGCATACAATCTCAACGTCTACACTTTGCTGGTAAATCAATCTTACTGATGGTAATAATTAGGCTATAAACGTAAAATAACTCCAATGCAAAGGTGAGTACAATAGGTCAAAAGTATCATCATGTAACCTGTGGTGTATGCACCACAATTTAGTGAAATACAAGCTCAATACTTTAGAGACGAATGTGAGATATATAGCCATATTCATCTTCTTGAATGATCCAAAAAAAAAATCCATAAATATGAGCTAAAAAGTGATGTTGCCATAAAATATCTATGTGTTTTTTTCTTTCTTTAAAAAACCAGATGGAAAACCGTAGCATAGATCATTTTTGTTGAAGTAGTGTTTTATACACTAAGAAGACAAGGGAGGGATACAATATTCAAAACAATATTTTGTGTGCGTATGGGTTAATTTTTAAGGTTATTTAGCTTATACAAATCATCACCAATGGGTTGTAAGAAATGGTCACCATAGCAACTTGTGCATTTGTTTCAATGGCCTCATAATATTCTCTATCATTTATTTCTCCTCGCCCTCGTCCACTTTATTCTTTCTTTCTATTGGTCAACCTATATAATATCCAATAAGCGATACTTTATGCTCTCACTATATCTAAAAAAGAAATCCCATAATTGATGACAGAGACAACTTTGCTTGGCAAAAAGATTCCTTTATTCATGTATTTATTTACTTGTCTGTATGTCTGGCTATTTGTTTGTTGATATCCCACTGTTGGAATTGAGTTTAATAATAAATAAATATAAAAGGATCACATTGGTATCAAGATATACAAAGTACTTTTTTTTTAAGTGCAGGCAAATGTATTAAATACCTTGCCATGTTTTATAGAGAGCTAAATGTTACTAAAAAGAAGGACTGTTATGGTAGATTCATTTCGTAAGGAGCCATTCGTATCAATTGCAATCCAGCATCATTGATTAATAGATGTGAGGATCTCAATTTCTTTAACCACATTTCATAAGAATATAAAACTCTTTTTTTTTTTGGTTTTGGTTTCACTCCTTATCTCGTAAGCTAGGTTTAAGAGATAGATAGATAGACATAAAAACAATGAAATACGACTGAGGGGTAGTCTTGACAAGGCGAATTTGACAGTTGAGCAGTGAAAATTAGTTGTCTTGGTCAGTTTAGTCCGAAATTCAACTAGTTAGTAACAATGGGATAGTCAGGGTAATCAGAAAGAAATGGATTAGAGTTGTAAAAAACAAAAAGCCTCTTAAAATTGTCAGTACAAACAGGCTTGGCAAGGTTTCTGGGTGGGGAGTAAGGATTTTGTCCGTTTAGTGAGATTTTTAAAATAGAACATTGACCTAGGCAAGTACTCTGATTGTTTGACCGGCGATACACTTCCTTCTTTGATCAAATGAACTATCCACAGAGAAAAAGTCAGTCTTTGCTCGAAAAGCAAGGCGTTTCATACAATATGGTAGTAAGAAAAAGAGGTGTCTCCCATGAAGATATCTGATTTTTTGGTATGTCTAAAGAGCCCAGGATCTCAATTATACTGAGCACATTTGAGTACATCCTTGGTAGCTAGTACATCAAATAAAGTTCAAGAGATAATATCCAACAAAGGCGACACAACCAAACATTAATTAGACTTTTACATCTTCTTTTATTAACAAACATACCCATATGTATATATGCATTGGACTGTGGCTAGTTTTTTGTTATACTAAGCACTTTATTATCTTTGAATATTACTGAAAAATCAAAGGTATAATCATTCGAAAATGGACCACTTTAGCTTTTTGTATTTGAATATGTTTTTGGCTCTTTCTGGGAGACTTCTCGCTGAAAATTGGCCATTGTTTTTGACGCCGATCCAGGTTGTCATTTTCATAAAACCGATTTGATATCTATTCATTTATTGATTGTCTTGGATCATTAAAATAAATTTGAATTAAATAAGGGCTGTCTGTGATATTAAAGCAATATATTGATTGCATACATAATGAAAATAAGGATAGCTATCTATCTATTTACTTTGGATATGTATATGTATATATAGCATCAAGAAAATTTATAACAATGAATATCTTTTATGATAATTACAGCTACTTCTCCTACTGAAACTAATAATAATAGTAATAATAATTGAATTATGATTGCTTGACCTTAAAAGCCTGAATGTCTTTAAGATGTGTGGTTTTGGCATCAATATTAAAGTCAAATATAAGATAAGTGAGTTGAAACATAGTATCTTATCAGCCAATCTTGTGAAGGGCAAAAAGCAGAAAAGCTTAAAATTAAAATAATATCCACGACAGGACAGTGTGGGTTTTGATTCAATAAATAAACCAACCAGTCGGAATAGATTTTATTTATTTATTTTCTTTCTTCCTTCTTTTTTTCTTCTTCTTTTAAACGCACATCATGAGTCGTCAAGGTCCTGCAGGAAAATTCCGCATTCAACCGGCTTTCCAGGATGGATATGGCACTCAGGGTGCTAATGGTACGCACTTATATTCGCTGTTTTGTCTTTTGTGATATTAAACACTCATTTCATTCTTATTTATGCATAGATCAATCGCCCAAGTTGAAATCATTAAGATGTGTCTTTTGTAGCATTGTACGATTGAATGATCTAGAATATTAATAATAAAAGCTTTAATTACTGATCACTGATTACTGATTACTGACTCTGGACTCTGAATCTAGGACAAGCCTCTAGATGCCTTTTCCCAGACACAGATCCAAAAGGCAACATTCAATCGTAAGTAATATCAAGAATCTAATTCAAAGCTCGCGTCTAATACGAATCTAAATGAAACCAAACAACACTTGCGCGTTTTCTTCTTTGGTTTATTGTAGCCTATGCCCCTCCTAGTTACAACAAGGGAACAAAGGCAAAACAGATCTCATGCAAACAGTGCACTGCATCAGTCAATAGCACATTGACTTGCATGACCTGCACAAAGACAAAACCTCTTGAATCGTTTGCCAAGGTAAATATAGATTCTTCTTTTTATAAAATAATAATAATAAGTAGTTAATAAATACATTTTTGTTCCTTTGTAAAAAAAAAAATAGGTTCAGAGAAAGCATGCTGAAAAGGCCCGTTGCTTAAAGTGTATGAAGAAGCGTGAAGAAGAAGATCTCGATGACTCTGAGTATGATTCTGATGACGACTCAGATCCTTATGGCCCAATGTAACCTGCTGAAATCTTCCAAAGGACCGTATAAATATTTATTGGGCTTTCTCAAAATAAATTTAAAGAAAAAAAAACAAGGAAAAAGTAGTAATAGTGATAGTAATAGTAGTACTTTTTCTTCTTCTTTATGATGCAGTCAAATATAATGAGGCAAGTCAAGATATTGACTTTACTGATATATATATATTATGTAAATATAAAATAAACTAATAATAGTTCATATAACATATCATATCAGTTTTACTTGCTTTACTTGACTTTGTTGATATAGATCCCTTTTGTTTGTTTGTTTGTTTTTAAAAGGAACAACACATAAGGAATCATTAATGGACCATTATAAACCCTAGTCAGTCAATCAATAAGAGTAGGACTTGATTTTTACACCTGTTTTTCAGAAGAATCTTATGGGGACTAAGAAAAGAAATATAGAGATAATCTACATGAATGAAATATTACCCATGATCCTAACCCAATTAATCCTCACTATTTTGAATAGCTTTGAAGTAACACCTAAATCAAGTCAAATCGAAACGTAAAAAACAATTATAAAATATAAATACGTGGTTCTGAAATATTATTACATTCAGGAGATGATTTTGAAACAAAATAATAATAATTTTTTTTTTTAATTGGTTCAATCGATACATCTTGAAAGTTACTTATTGGAATTTCGTCATCTGTTACATGAGTTTAACTTGTACAAAATAATAAAAATAAAAATAAATTCTACATAAAGGAGGAACATCAGAGAGTTTAATTTTAAAAGATTGGACTGACCTGTAATTAAATACCAAACATCACAGCATATTTTCAAAGACAAATATAAATATAAATATATTTTAGTTTATATCAAGCAACCACTTGTGCCTTTAGTATACTATATATGTATGTGTGTATGTGTACCTTTTAGATTATTATGTAAAAGTACTTGCTTACATATCTATAATAGGGTCTTTTTTGCCCTGCTGCTACTGCTATTACTACTACTATTGTTGTTGTTACTGACAAAGACAAAAAGGAAATTCCTTTTACACTTATAAACCACTATTTTCATTTATGCTTATTTAATATAGTTGCCTAATTTTTAGAACTTTTTACTTTCCCATAGTCATCAAAAAACTGCATGACTTTAAAGAAGTAATGTTTCTCTATTATTCTTAACCCCATTATTAGATAATGAGCAAATGAGCAAAAACAAAAAACGAAAACCAAAAATGGACATTCGTCATAATGAAATAATATATATATATATATTACTTTATGTATATAGGTTTATATGTATATATGTATATTGACAGTAATTCTAGTATATTAGCTTGTGAGCTTAATTACTACCTAGCCAGCTAGTTGAAAAATGTCCGCCAACTTTCCAATCACTTGCTCGTTCAGATGCCGAGGTCTGTGGTACAGTTCCATCGTAATTGATCGCAGAAGCCCCAGATGGAGTCAATCTCAAAGGGCTCTTCTGTCGTTGTCCCGATTCTCGTCCCAAGGAAGGAACCTGCCTTACCTTTGCCTTTCGGTCTGTACCAGTGCTTTGAGATGCCCTGATGACAGGGTAGGGAACTCGGTGAGAGAGCTTTTCTGCTGTTAGTGGCGACGATCGTGGATAACTCGACGCCGGTCCATAGCGACTCGTACTGCTCTTGACTCGTCTAATGTCCATTCCCTGTCGCTCCTTCTCCATCGTAGATGACGGCCTAGAATGATAACCGTCATTATGATCGTCTTGCAATGATGCATATGTAGCAGACAATCCATATGGTTTTCCCATAAATGTACTCTGTTCATGTGGATATTGAGGAGGTATGGATTCACAAGATATTGACCTTGAAATCGATTTAGATACCATTCTATCTGTCGGGTGGTGGGTTGCTTTTTGAAACACCTGAGCGAACCATGCTAGAGGGCCAGAGGGTGACTGGGCCATATTCGTTGTGGGTGTGCTTGCGGTCTTCTTCAACTTTTCACGCTTCTGGACAATCTCTTCCTCAACCTTTTGTCCATATTGCTCTACTTTTTTTACGTATTCTACCTGAAGCTCATTCATAGTCGAACGCAGCTGTCCCATTTCCTGGAGCAAGTCTTGAAAGAGCTGTAATATCGGAAAGAAGGCATTCAATGACTCGTTGTGGGTATTGTAGCTGATCTCGTCCTGAACCCAAATAAATCGACTTGAAAGAGCACCCACGTCGGTCAGAATATTTTCAATAATCGAATTGCTCATACTGCTCAATTCAAATATATCAAACGTCCGTCGTAAATTTCTGTTCAGAGCACGTATATCGGTGGCAATCAATCTTTGAAGTGTTTGGGATACATGCTCTTGTAGTTGGCTATATGGGGATTTAGGTTCAGAGTCTTCTAATGACCGTCGTGGTGCCAATAGCTCAGTTGTAGTGAGTTGATCCATATCTTGTATACTCTATATTTTTTTTTATAAAAGAAGAATAGAAGAACAGTAAATCGTTTGCATTCTTGATTTGTTCTTTTCAAGTGCTTTATAACTACCTTTCTTTTTGGATTTTCTTCAAGACTCGGTGTGTCACTCTGGCTGTTGTCAGTGTCATTAGCTGCTCTAAGTGATACAGCCTTTTCTTTACCCAAGATTTCCTTCTTGTTGCGACGTTCATGATAATGGTAATGGTGATGAATAATGGATCCAGCAGGAGAGGATGCCGAGGGTTTTGGAATAGGTCCTGTTTTTGTTCGAGCCACGTCTTTACCCTTTTTTGAAGGCGGGCAACGTTCTTTGGCTGACATTGCATGGAAAGGATGTTGCTTAAGGTCTTTTTTAGGTTGGTTTTGTATGTCTGTTATCGGCGGCTGCTCTGCCAATCTTACTTCTCTGAGAGGTTTTGTCATTCGGCCTCCGTTTGTACGACCAAGAGCATGTAGAGAAGGTGCGCTTCTGGAAAGTAAAGCGAGATTGTCCGTATATATTGAACTGGCCGTTACCTCCATAAATCTCGGTACACCATTACCACAATTCTCTCTTTGCTCTTCTCCTTCTTCGTCTCTATCAATACCATATATCTTGTTGTTGTATGCTGCTGCTTCAATATGCGCTTCATTTAGTTGACCTCTACAATCCATAAGATCGGTCTTGAATTTGCTATTTGCAGAAGCCAGTTCTTTGACAAGGTCCAAAAGATGGTTCATATTTGACTGCTGCATCTCTGGAGTAATTGAGTTTATCACTGGTGCAATCTGTAATATAAGAATGTTGCAGATCATTTGGCCATAATCATGATTATTATGGGAAAACATCAAAGCTTGTATGGTTACCTACCTTTACATCTTTATATGTGTCTTTCATGTCTTCTCTTCCTCTCATACGGTCATATGCAATTGACATAGCCTCTTTTATACATTATATCGTGCGCATTAGACAAATATATTCATTACACCGATCAAACGAACCAACCAACCCATTAGCCAATAGGCTTACCAAATTTTATCATCAGTTTCTTCTGTTTTGACTCTAGCATCAGTTCACTCTTGCGTGTCACTGCAAGTTCCTGGTTGATGTCCTCTAACTAAGTACAACAAAGACATATTATTATTGATATTGTTATTATTTCCTTTTTTTTAAAGCATAAAAAAAACTTTAATTTTATTAGTTACCTTGGCTCTTAATGATTCTTCTCTAATGTCGGATTGCCTGACCATGAATTTGAACACACGCAACTTCTCTACCTCGTTGCACTTCATCTCTAAATCTTTGGCCAACTGAGCGCATTTTGCATTAGAGATCTCAAGATCAGACATTGTTTCCTTTAGTATCTGATTACACAAATTGTCATTAGTTAGTTTGTTAGTTAGTTTTCTTCATTTGACTGACGATAATTATGACAAATAAAAATAAAGTAAAAATTCACCTTTTGTGATTTTTGGTGTTCCCATACTGTTTTTTTACATTCATGTAAAAGTTCTTGCTTTGAATTTTCGGATTCTTCAAGAGACTGCTCTAACCGTGCTACCTTTTCATGGGACACATCCAACTACAAAGTTGCATGATCGGTTACACAACGACCCTTTTTGTAAGACAGTTTTTCTCTTTTCTATTTCTCTTTTGTTTTATTTTACGAAACGTTTTTCTCGCACCTGACTTTGCAATGATTCTGTGACATGTGTAGCTTCGATAACATAAGTCTCATGTTTCTCTAATAAGCTTTGACCGATTTCTTTTATATGTATATGTTTATATTTATATTTAATAACAAGAGGTCAATAATAGTAATCACATCATACAGCACAGCACAGCACAGCACAGCACAGCACAGCACAATACAATACAATACAATACAATACAATACAATACAATACAATACAATACAATACAATACAATACAAAATAGAAATATTTAAAAACAACTGACCCCTTTCTTTATTTTTTTTAAAAGAAGTACACCCACCCACCCACCCACACACACACACAAATAAAATAAAAGAAATAATTGCCGGAAGTTAAAGAATGTTTTTGATTACCTGCTGCAAGTCTAGTGTCAGACTCAAGTTTCTTTATTGTTTTGTTCAAAATATCAAGACTATCACAGTCGTTCCGTCCACAACAATTGCATGTCTCGAGAAGATAAGAGACTGGAGAATTAGTATTGCCTAGACTACTTTTGTACAGCCATTCCTCAAGAGATTCTTTAATGGATGGTGGAAGTGGGTAATTGGCAGGAGTTGGATTAGAGATTTCAGTGTAAAGCATATCGTCTGAATTGTTCATAAAAGAAGGAGGTAAGGTTCTCGATCGGCTATTCACATGAGCGCGTGGCTTGTGGTTGTTTGTGAAGGACATGAGCGCAATAAGCTCACTTTAATGGTTAGATAATTAATAGCAACTTTGAAAGTTGGAATGGTTGGAATGATCGCATACAAGGGGGTGAAGTCTGCGTACAAGCTTTAAATGGAGAAGAAAGAAAAAATAACGGTTGTTCAAGAGAGTAAGAGAGAGAAAATCATAAAAAAAAAATTAAAAATTAAAAATTTAAAATAAAATAAAAATAAAATAAAATAAATTGGGATGTGTTGTCTGGGTGACGCACGTCTTTGCACGACTGTTCAAGCTAAAGCACACTCGACATCGCAGCCATAATTGTTATGTTGTTTTTAGGGGGCCAGAATGTTGCTGACCTAATCACGAGGTATATGCCCCGATCTAGTGTAAATTGGAGCCAAGCTAGACATTACACATTGAACGCGTTTGATTTTTTATTGTATTGTATTGTATTGTATTGAATTCTTTATTTTTATTTTTATTTTTATTAGTCTACACAGTTGATATATCTCTACCCCATATGGCACGCTTTGTCCAGTCTATACTAAGATTCACTCGTGTGCGTGCACTGACTTGCTCACTCCAATAAACACTTCTCCACAAGTAAAGCGCCCACAGACCTCCAATCATCTTGAACCCCTTATTAAATTCGCCCACAGCTGTGTTTCCTAGGTAGGCCAATGCACCCATATGGCTGTAGTGAAAAGGTCCAACGATCTGACTGGCCAACGCACTATCCTTTTCAGCCAGTGCACTAAGGTATCTTCCAAGGTATCTTCCTTGTTGGTTTGCCACTTGTGCAGTCTAATAGTCAATCACACACATAGATATAATGTCAGCCCACGTACAAGATACAAGATATACAAGATATACAATTTAAATTAACATTATTAATGAATGTTTAATTAAAGCTTAAAGTTTAAAAAGAATTATAGAAAGAAAGAAAAAACTTACAGCAGGTAAATTGGTCATCTTGCTATCCACAGAAGTCAACATGTTTCTCATTTCCTCTATTTCCAAGGTACCGTTCTTGTCTGTATCATACACATCAAACAATTCCTTTACGTTTTCCAGGTGCTGCTCTGTCAGAGGAAACTTCTTGCGCATGTGGTCGATACATAATCCAAACTCACTTTTTGTCAATGAACCATCCCTATTCCTATTAATTGGGCAATCGTTTATTTATGTGTATCAAATATGGTACTACCCTTTTTCTTTCTTTCTTTCTATCTATCTATCTCTCTATCTCAGTAGAGATGTTTTATTTTGTCTTCTCACTTACTGGTCTGCCATTTCAAAGATTTCCATCAGGTGCTCAATGAGTTTAGGGTTTTCGATGCTAGCGCAATCACCCAGAGCAAAGATATTGTCTGTGCCACGAAGACGGAGGTAGCCGTCCGTTGTGAGGGCTCGCTGGTGGGCCTGCTCAGGTAACTTGTCGGTGATCTTCTTAGCAAAGGGAGTCATGGCTTTGTTTTATTAAACAAAATCAAATGAATAAATAAATGAATAAATAAATAACAGTAATACGAGATGAGCAAACCCTAAATAAAATAAAGTAACATAAAAACTTGAGGTTAGGCAAATTAGCTTACCAATACCAGTAGACCACAGACACAGTCCAAATGGAATTTCCACGTCCTCTGTGGTGTTATCGCTTGATTTTTGTTTGTAGATAACCTTGCCGTCTTCAATCCGCTGCACTCGAGCATTTGTGATCACTTTGATATGCTTACGATTAAATCTCTTTTCGGCGTAATTACTGATTTGGACATCAAATGTGTTTAGAATATGATCTCTAGATTGAATAATTGAAACGTTGATCTCTTCTCGGATAAGCTTAGGGAACTATAGATATATGAATTAGATACAAACACACACACTATATATATATATACTCTAAATATCTTACCCATTTGACAAAATCTTCGCTGACCCAGTCCAAAAGCTCGGCCGCAAACTCGACACCAGTGGGACCACCTCCACAAATCACAAAGCTAAGAAGCCGCTTGCGCTCTTCAGGACTAGTTGTGGGTAAGCACGCCTTTTCTACATTAGTAGTGACCCTGCGTCTGATATCAATCGCATCCTGGATGGTCTTTAAGCTCACGGTATTATCTAACCCTTCGACACCGTGCGTAATGCTTGTGGCTCCAACCGCCACCACAAGTTTGTCGTACGGAATATAGAAAGTCTCGTCTGAGCCTCTACCCTTGACTTCCAACAGATTGTTTTCTACATCCACATCCACAGCCTGGCCTTCAAAGAAATGGGCGTGTATACGACTGGCAATCTTTCGTAATGGTTCCACAAGAGATCTTCATATACATTTTTTGTAACAATTAGACTCATCAGTTTTTCTTATTTTCTTTATTTTTAATATTAACCGTTTTCAATTACTATTCTTATCATTATTATTATTTTGTGTTCTATTAAAAAGAGAAATCTTACCTCATCTCCAGTGTTCCCACTGTTGCGCTCGGAAGCAAGGGCGTGAATAGAAAATAGTTGTTTTCGCTCACTACCGTTACATTATACTTGTCTTTTTCTAAACTTTTCATGATCGAAACTGCTCCCCATCCTCCTCCCACGATCACAAGTCTTGGCTTATTGACCATATCTTCTGTCTCATCCAAGTAATGACTAGCAACCGGGAGATCCTTTGGCCCACCAGTGGGAGGGTATATGGCCGAGTCTGGCACAATGGTATGACTCTCAAACTCTTCGTCGTCGTCATCCTGAAGTAGATAGTAGGCCAGTCCGCCAGTAGATCCTAGTACACCTGCCGCAATAGTAGCCCGAGTAAGATTATCCTTTGACTTTAGAATATGTTTTGGTTTTGGTACAAGGTTGGGATTGGGATTAGGATTGGGATTGGCGCTTGAGGTTAAGTGCCGAGAGTTGAAGTGACCAACACTCCGCGGTAAATTGTATTTTGAGCCTAGTCTTTGGGAGAACACTCTGGAGAGACGACTTGCAGCCATTATTTCAAACGCGCTTAATGGAAACAGTAGTGTAAAAAGGCGAAGAAGAAAGAAAGAAAGATAAAGAGAGAGAGAAAGCTACAAAAAAGGAACTGTGCCTCCTTTGAAATTGATATACTTTCTTGATATGGGAAAAATGTTCTAAGCACTGTGTTTTTTGTACATATATATATACCCCTAAATGTTCCATCACAATAGGGATAAACAGTAGCCGCTCTATACTTTACTTCACTATCCGGAAGATATTAGATCCATGCTCGGGGAAAAAAGTATGAATGCTTTATGCCAACGCCTGTAAAGTCATTTATCGATCAATTGAACTTCTTTGGGTGTACCAATCTACGAAAAGAAAAAGAAAAATTTAAGAATATAACTTGTACACTCTTCTTTAATTGTGATGTCACTGTGAAAAAGAATGAAATCATGATATTCAAAACGAAAACCCTACAATGTTTGTTAGTACAGTATTCGCTAATAGTTTCAGTGATTCAAACATAAATAAATGAATTAGAACTTCTATGAATTACAAGCCAAGAACTCAAGAACAACCTTGTCCTTTACGACGACAAAATTAATCTGCAAAAGGGTAAAATATTATGCATTTCTTTCCAGAAATTATACAAGTGCTGCTGTTATTTTTCATTTTTGAAAAGAAAAAAAGAAAATATTTTGACATCATTAATTTAATATCCTATTTCTACTTTAAATTCAGACAATGTTAGTTTTTTTTTATGGCCGAATCAAAATTAATTTTTAGACATTTCGTTTACCTTTTTTAGACAGGGACAAAAGAAAATAGTTAGTTTTGAGACATGTTGAGATGAATGATCAGACCTTTTTTACCTGTAAAAAATCTAAATCTCAAAAAGGGAAACCGTGTACGAGACGGCTATTTGCGAATCGAATCTATTAGCATCTGGAATAAGCTTCAGGTCTACCCAAGCCTTTCAGAATTGCAAATGTCATTTTTAACATATTCTTTGCAGCGTTGACATGGCCGTTACTATAGTGTATTACATGATTTACAGACCAGCACACTATCACTCTTGAAACTACTCGCACTACCAAAAGAATCTGCCCCACACAAACTCTGTAAAATCTTGTCCACCTTTTCTCACTTTCAGACCTTTTACAGCAGTCCTTCATTAATTTCACGGCATAAAAATCCTCCATTAGCCGTTAAATTATCGAGGGAGCTCTGTAAATATGCCGTAGAGCCTGTCAAGTGGTAACACTCTTTGATTTTACAGTATCCCCCATTTTTCTATCAGGGTCAAGGAAACTTGGTCTAAATGAGTCTTCCACTTCTTTCATGTTGCTATTGTCGTTTTTATCAGATCTTTTATAAAAAAGATCGACCCAAAAACCATCTGCTTGAACAATATTCCCAAGCAGGATATTATTTTCTCCATCATGAAACAGACTCTTCAATACTATGCATGTTTGGAATTATTTCAGTATTGTATGCCTTCACTTTCCTAGCGAACTATATATATATCAAAATATATCATTGATACATGCTTGAGATATATTGCATAAAATACTAAACATCCCTTTTAAATAAATATCTTATCTAGTATGAATCGTGACTGTAATTCTTTTCTCTTTCTTTTTCTGACAAGTGTAATAGCCTATTTTAATTAATTGATTAATTATATATATATATATCTCCTTATCAGATTAAGAGCAATGATATTACTAAAAGTACAAATTTAATTTGAGCATTTCCAAGTCTGTCAAGCTTGATTTTTCGACCCAAAAATACTTCTTTTGAACTCAAGTTTAAAACTAAAATATATATTGCTTCTTTTATGACGTCTTTTTTTTTGTAGCAATATAATCCACAAAACTTAATTAACTGTTAAGTTTATGGGTAAAGCAGAATCATTAGTTTAAAATCTTTACATAGCATATTAATTTTTATTAAATAAAAGATTAAGGATTTACGATAATAAGTTGCAATTACACCATGCAAAGCAGTTTGCCACTTTACATAGGTCATCTTTAACTATATATATATATATATACATATACGTACTAACAGTATAAGCAATGTTATAAGTGTCTGCTAGTATAGTCGAAGGGCTATATGATAATATTTAGAAGAAAAAGAAAATGCTTTTGATATATATATAATATGCTTTATAATAACTAAAGATGGAAACGGCTGATGCTCACCGCTTAAAGTTTTGTATTACAAAAATATTCTGACATATATTCCTTCCAGTTGCGTGTCCTTATCCCATTCTATCCCTACCTTTAATCGATTCTGAGCACAAAGGTTTGTAAAATGAGCAATTTTGCCCAATGGGTTTATTGGGTGAAGCAAAAAATACTACATAAATAAAGAAGAAGGCTTGCAAAAGGTCATTCTTACAGTAAGCAGCACCAAATATGTGTATGTATAGCTTATACAGCCCTACGATCTTGTTTTCATGATATCCCCTTACCCGCATCTGCATTATTGAGGTTCGTTTTTACTTTTACTTGACCGCAAAATTAAAAAACCATATTTTGACTGAATATGGGAGTGTAATATTGTTAGATTGACGTATAATTCTTAAAAGTTAATAATAGTAAGAAAGTTCGTATGGTTACACATTTTAATTCATTACAAAATAATAATAATAATCATATGAATGTTTCTCCTTTAGCTTTTTGTTAGTAAAGAATGAGGCAATACATTTAATAGTGGAATAAAACAAAAGTCAAAGTTCATTTGGCTTATTTCTTTTCTCAGACTAGATCTTACGGTGTAACTGTAAATTTTTCTTACTCAGTGTACCCTATATTTTTGTGGTGTCCACTTTATGAAGGTTTACCTAAATACCACAAAGAAGTCAAAAATATATAAGAAATTGAGCTGATGTACAAACATGAAGGGAAACGGTGTACCTTGAGTTGTTTCATATTAAACAAATGACAAAACAAATTCAAACAAATATATATATATATATAAAATAGCCAAAAATAACTTGGTAATTGAGAGCTAGTCTCGGAGTTCCTTGTACGGGCTGGTTATTTTATTTTTTATTTTTTATTTTTTTTTAAATATTTTATGCATGGATATTTTCTGGGTTGGGTATTATAGAAGACTATAAACCTTGTCTCAAAAATACTTGTATCTAGTGTTTAAAGTACCATTAATCATTTCAAGCTCTCTGATGATTATTATCAAGAGAAGAAGACGTCTTGGTCCTTTATAAGGCACAAGGGAAACAGAGCTTCATTTGTCTGGCCCAAACTCAGAATCCGAGGTCACAACGGCTTAGATGCCCGCCCTGACACTTCTTTTTCTCGGTTGTTCACCAAGAATTTTTTATAATTTTTTAAAATACTCAACATCATGGCATCCATCGAAGCAACCAAGAAACGATCGCGTGGTGAAGATAACGAAGAAACTATGGATAAACCTGCATTGAAAAAGCAATTGCTCGAAGGAAAATCTGCGCTCGATTTGATCTTACCAATTTCATCGATCACCAAAGAACTGTCTGATGAGGACTTTCGCATTATTACCGGCACTTATGAGCGCATTCTTTACGGAATCAATGCCTATTGGGAAAACGCAGACGATGATTCATCTGTGAGTCTGAGATCGATTGATTGGAGTGGAGGATCTGTTGAATTTAATTTATGTAGTAGTACTAATTGTCTTTCTTTTGTGTTTGTTTGTTTATTTGTTGCTGATCTGACATGACATGCCAGTCTAAACCCTCTCTTAAACTCGAGCCTATCTTTATCGTACCTGCACACACTGGCTGTATTCGTACTGTTGCTATAGGTGGACATTTCTTGGCCTCTGGAAGTGCAGACGAAATTATTCGATTGTATGATGTGAAGAAGCGCAAGGAATACGGTTCGCTTGGTGGGCATCATCAGGGTGATGTGACAGATATCAAATTTCACGGAAAATACATGTTCTCTACAAGTGACGACGGCACAATTTGCTTGTGGCGGACAAAGGATTGGGAATTTTTGAAGACACTCAAGGGTCACAAGTAAGAGCGCAGGATGATAATGGTTTAGTGGTATTTTGTTATTGACAAGCTTATTAATTAGGGGACGTATCAATTCACTTGCTATTCATCCTTCAGGTAGAATTGCACTTTCAGTATCGAGTGACAGAACCGTCATTTTATGGAACTTGATGTCAGCAAAGAAGGCCAGTATGACTAAGCTTTATAGAGGTAAAGTATATGTAAAAGGAATAGATGTAAATATAAGATGACTAACGTGATTATTAGATGAAGGACTTGTGGTTCTTTGGAATACAGATGGAACAAAATATGCTATTATGTTTGACCGTAAGATCAATGTTTACAATGTCTCGGTAAGTGAAGTGTGGTACACACAAAAGCGGTATAGCGTGATATTCACACCATGATGAATTAGGACGCACAAGTTATGACTACTATTGAGCACAAATCAAAATTCCTGTGTATGCGATACTTTGAATCAAGCGATAAGAAGGAATATATTATCAGTGGCCACGAGGATAAGACTATTCGTATCTGGGAAGCAGAAACTGGAAAATGTGTTGTTGAAATTGTTGGACATAAGTTCCGTATTAAGACAATGGAGACAGTCAAGTCAAAACCTTCATCTGAGAGTGAGCCAGTCACTGTCCTGATCACTGCTTCTTCAGATGGTGTTATCAAGTGCTGGGATGTAGAGGCGGCGATTGCAGCAGCAGAGAGTCCGGAAGACATTACTCCTCTGGGGGAATACAACACCAAGAGTCGAATTACGTGCTGTACTGTGCATTCTGGATACGCAAAGACAACTGGAGAGGTTACCGTGTCAGAAAAATAATTAACTTTGTAGAAATAATAATAACAATAATAATAATAAATACACATACGCACATATATATAAATACTATTTTCAGAAACAGGGGAGAGGGGGGGGGGGGTTTCCAGAACTGTCAAAAATCAACAACAAATTTATGATTTAAATAAGACAGTTTTGTAAATAGGGGTGGGTTAATATGAGCTGTTTTGCATATTATTAGTTTTGTAGTTCATTTATAAATCCTAAAAAAAGAAAAGAAAAATTGGCAGTTTGAATCAAGATTTTAACCTTGAAATTTATATTTATATTTATATATAATGTTTATAGATGTTAAACTTTGATTATTATATTTGTTTTTTATTATGTTAATGAGGTAGTTTATACTAAGCTTATGTGTACCAAAGTCAATATTTGTATGATATGTAATTAACTAATATCATACTCGTAATTATGATTATTTCTTAAATATTTTTCTTATCTGTGCTAGATCAAAGCTTCTTCTTGTCGCCTAGCAACAATCACAATCACAATCACAATAATATTAATGTACGTTTCAAAATGATCCGAGTCTAATGTATTATCTTTTTCTGTTGTGATTATAGCCATGGTTATCTGGTAACTGTACAACCCATCTGGAAGACGTGCTTGTCTTTAATAGCCTATTCTCTTTCTCGCTCATAATCTCTCTTTCTCCCTTTTATCCTTATTTATTTTCATTAGCGGGGAGGAGGCCCAAGTCGCACTATATTTTTTCTTGGTGTTTGTATATAGTATATACATACATACAAATACACACACACACTTATATATAAATTTATATTTACTTCCTTTCTCTTCCTCTCTTTCTCTCTTTCTCTCTCTCTCTCAACTTTTTATACTCAGATTTGGAGTACACAAAGCGGTTGATAAACAGGAACCCTTTCCCAGTCTGCCTTTTCCTATCTCAGTACCTAACCCCCCTTTCTCCCCCTCTCCCTCCTCCTCTTATAACCTATTTTTGGCTCAAAAAAAGAGACCTCTTGTTTGTATACGGATAAGCCACCACAATATGCTAAGATGGAACAAGATTCATTACACATCTCAGGACCACCAGTAAAATCAAGGTCTACATTAAAAAAAAGACGATCGAGCATCACCGAAGCAACTAAAAAGAATAAAGCATCTCAAGCATGTAGTGCATGCCGCAAACGCAAGGTAACATAACCTTTGCCGCGTACAGACGGAGTTGGCCCATGTTCAGTTGGGTACTTGTCAAGTTTCACTGCGGCACAACTCAAAAGACGCGGGTGCCACTCCGCATAATAACTCCAACTTTTTTTTTAACCTTTATGTTACTCATTCATAGGTTAAATGTGATGGCGATCAACCGTGCACTCGTTGTCAAAAGACAGCCTCAGAATGTATATTTGACTATGTGAAGAAAACAGATCCACCAAAGCGGTAATAATGTGGCGTGTTATAGAGATAGATTAAATCAAGCCTAAAATAATAATAATAATATAATAATAATAATAAAAGCATAACCAAAAAGTCGACTGACTGACGGACTGACTGACTGACTGGATCTGTTATTTATGCCTGGTCCCCCCCACGCACCCTCCAATTTATATTATTATTCCTCTTATTAGCAGAGGAAGCCGAGCATCTCTTTCACTCAACAGTCCTCCGACAGCCTCAGAAATCATAGCAAAATCAGACATAATGATTGAACCAAGTACAGGTAAGACTGTCGGAAGAGGAACAGGCGTTTGATATGTGCTCGCTATAGACGCCGCATTGACAGAACTGAAGATCAAGTTTGCGGATGTCCAGATATTTGACACCATATCCGTCAGCACTACCGGTCAAGGACTATATATGCGGGACTGGCTCGCAAGGACGGATCGCATACCCTCTGCCTATGATAACAATACGTCTATAATGTCTGAACTGGACCCAGAACCAAAACAACCCAACCTTCACATAAACAACACAATCATCCAGATGGAGCTTATTCAGGTCTACTTCAAGCATGTCCACCCATACCTTCCTATAATACATCGTGCATCATTTTATGAGCAACTTCGACAGAACAAACACTGTATCATATTACTCAACGCAATGTACGCCGTCGCTGCTAGATGGCTCGCCACCGACGATGAACGCACTAGCATAATGTGCGGAGAGCCACTAGGCTGGCGATACTACCAGACTACGTTAGGCTTATTGGATATATATACCGACGCCCCCAGACTATCTACCGTTCAGGCCCTTCTCCTTATTGTAAAATATCACGAATATGTTAGACGACCAGGCTTCTTCTGGCGCACTCGCTTCTATTTTCAAATGATTATCCGAATGAGCAAAGATTTAGGTCTTCCAAGAGGCATACCCCGCGGCTGTTACGTTAATCCTATTAACCATGAGCAGCGAAAACGTGTATTTTGGGCAATATATGCTTACGACGTTCTTATGAGGTTTTTATGATTAAATCTATATGTTAAGAGAGAGAGAGAGAGAGAGAGAAAGAGTGAGATCTTATAAGTAACTAACTATCATTGCTCCTTCTTTTGCTAATTATTATCTATCAGTACCGAGCAAGGCACCCAGGCCAATTTCAATCTCGAGACCTATCCAGTAGACTACCCGAATATTTTCACAGAAGAAGCTCAAACCGAGGACCAGGATATTCTCCTTCAATTCCATTGGATTTCTAAGCTGATGTACATGCATGGCAGCATCCTACGGTTTATGCGTCAAAAGTACTCTGGGAATGAGCAATCCATGTCTACAACTGACGCTGGTGGTGAGGCGGCTAGATTTGGGATGCTGAGTAACCAACTAGACAGCTTGTCAAAACGCATGGCAAGTGTTGTTCAGCCTCCTGCGGCTGGGGACAACAACACCGCATTCCTTTTTGCAACTCTACACTTTATAACGATTCTTCTGCACAGACCTTATGCTTTTCCGTGCAATACGGAAGACAAGGAGTACATATCCCATCAGGAACAGTGTTTAACAGCAGCAAGGGCTATAGTTGAGCTAACAGATAATCTCCTGAAAGCCAATGGGGTTGGAGCATTATATTACCCTTTGCGGGGTGTACAACAGAGAATTCATTACCTCTCGGCTGCCGTTACCGTATTCCGACTGGTGGCAGATTCTTATCCTTCCGAAAATACATTGGCAATTTACGATCGGGCATTGAGTATGGTAGAAGGCCTGGTAAAGATATCGCCAGCAACAGAGATCGACATTGATTATGATATGAAGCCCTTGGCTCGTCTGTCAGATATGCTGACCAGAGAACAGCAAAACGATGCTCATCTCCTGTCATCAAATCCTCCTTCCGTTCAATCTTCTCCGATAAACCCTTCCGCCGAATTGTCTCCAAATCTGTCACCAATGAAAAACCGCAAACGAGGTAGCACTACATTGACAACCGGAAGCCGACCACGTCATGCCAGAACAGAATCATATTCGAGTGCAGCCGGGGGAGAACTTGGAAAGAAGAGTTCAAGAAGTAGCCTATCGATGGATTATATGTCACAAACACCTCCTGCTAGAAAGCAGGCCACCTCTTCGTATGCCCACCATCGAATTTCTGCTCCTTTGTTGGGAAATAGTTCATTCCAACAACAACATCAAATACAACAACAACAAGTACAATTACAAGTACATCAACAGCAACAGCAACATATCCAACAACAGCGTAATGGTTATTCACAGCCATCATCACCTACTGTAGGGTGCTTACCACCATCATATAATGGTGTTAGTATGAATTTTTATGATCCGAATATTAGTATGCTGGATACTGCGCCTGTGATTCCAATTCACCAGCATGTGCAAGTGCAAGTACAGCAGCAGCAGCAAGTACAACAGCAGCAGCAAGTACAGCAGCAGCAGCAAGTACAGCAGCAACAAGCTCAGCAACAACAGGTTCAGCAACAACAGGCTCAGCAACAAGCTCAGCAGCAGCAACAGCAGCAAATACAGCAACAACAGCAAGTACAGCAAGTACAGCAAGTACAACAACAACAACAAGCCATGTTGATGAACCGCACACAATCAGCTTCTTCTTCATTAGCGAGTGAATCGACTTTATTATCAGTTCAACAAGATACTGGCTATCAGATATATGGGGATCCTAGTCAGGGGAACTATCGTAGGAACAATGTTTCAGGTGTTTTCCAGCAAGATCCTATGGGTTACTCACATCTCCATGTTATGGCTATGGGAAATAGTGGTATTCCAGGAGATGGAACTTATGAACACCTGGATCATTCTCAAGTTACTGACCCTCCATCTTATACCCCTTATCAACAATTTATGCCATTATCAGCCGAGCAACGGCAGATTATGCTAAACGAATCACTTTTGGAAAGATCCGTGGTTGCAAACATACTTCCTGGACAGTCTATGATGGGACTATTGATGGAAGAGCCTGATACTTCTTGGAACTATGCCGTTCAGCGTGATGGATAAAGACCAAGATCAAGATCCCCCCCCCCCCCCCCCCCCCTTCCCTTTACCTTGCCTGATTTTCTTATTTTCTTCTCTTTATTTCTTTAAGAAAGAGAAGTCTTTTTTTTCGTATTATTATTATTATTATTATTATTATTATTATTATTATTATTATTTTAAATTCTTTATATTCATTGTCTTGATTTACTTTACATAGTCGCTTTATTCTTGTGCCTGTAGTCTCATCTTGAAAGTGCTTCTTCTTCTTCTTCTTCTTCTTCTTCTTCTTCTTCTTCTTTATTTTATTCTTATTATTCTGTCGTACATTGTTTTTTCTTTTTCTTTTTCTTTTTCTTTTTCTTCTGTTTATTTTATTTTTTGTTGTTGTTGTAAATCAGTGTTAGTTCCATTTCAATCAAACAAATGCAAGGTCTTTGCAAGATGAATATTTATTTAACAAAAACAAAAAACAAAAACTCGGATGCTACTACAGAATTTTTTATTGTATTTTTTGAGCAAAAAAAAAGGGGCTTGATGCTGAGGCTACTTTCTAAGAATACTCGAAAAATGAAATCTTTTTTCTTCTTATGTTTAGACACATAAGATTTTATTTAAATTGATCAAATTACATTTTCTCTTTATGCTTGAATATGTGACAATTGATCCCTGTGAAGGTATTTCACAATTGACAATGTATTTTGTGTGCTTAAAGTACAGATACCTCAGGATATCTACAGAAAATACTATTATTGATATTCAACGGTTTTGATCTGTGTACTTACATGTGATATACAGTGATAAACTTGTTTGTGCTGTATATAAATATAAATAGTTTATGGACTTGAAAAGAATAAAATAAAATAAGGTTCTTCTTTCTCTTTCTATGCAAAATATGTATATGTTACCTAATGTCATCTGGTAAAGCAAAAGATTCTTTCTTGTTAAAACAAACGTTATAAATTTCTCACCTTTCATTTGTCAAATTCCAGATAACATTGGGACACATCAAAGTATCTACCAGTATAGTTTTCTTGGTATTATATGGTTGGACTGATAACAGGCAAATAATAATTATAGCAATAATAAGACTACAAACAACACACTATTTCCAAGCATTAGTTTTTTTCTTTTGTTGAGCTTTCCCAACAATACCCTACTGTCTTATGTAGATGGAATTAGGACATCTCTAAACCATTCACTGATAATATTTTGCCGCAATAATTTATTCAGATTAAAAATGCATTTTCATATTTGAAATTTGCGTTGTTAGCCTTCTAGTTATATTCCGTTAACCTGCCATTAGGCACACTGGGCATGCTTTGCAGGCAAGCAATCTTTACTTACTAGAGATACAGATGCCAAGACACATTTGGTGATAAACTATTTCTGAACATAAGCCATGTAATCTTCAGTTCTCATTCTCCTCAATCCTCAATCCTCTTTTTTTGTAACACCACGGCTCTTTCTTCTGTTTCCCAGGCATAAAGTCAATCTATCAATGCTTTGCATTGAAGCCAACCAACAAATACAAAAAAAAAAGATGTATTCCTAACCATAGAAATGCATTATTTTTTATGTTCATTTTTTTTCGCTTGTACTCGACACAAACTATATTGCTCTCCAATAAACAATACCAATAAGAAGAAGTCAAAACATGTAAATTGGATATTCTGTAATACAAACATCAATAAAGCAATCAATCAATCAATCAAATAAATAATCAGGCTTCTCAAGATGAGATATAATTACTTGTCTTGAACATTATTTTTAAATACTACTTGGAACTAAACAATAAACAGCTGGGAAGGTTGGTTTCCTAGGAGACAATCACTACTTATATCAAGTTCCTCTCATACTTTTTTCTTTCTTTCTTTTATTTTAATATACAATTTTTTGAAGTTTTATTCAAAATTAAGCGATATAATTTCTGATTCCAATATTTGGGCTATCTTTCATTATTATGCTTTAAGATTTTTAATGGCTGTGGTGGTAATATATGTTGCGTGATTTTTTTAAATATTTATTTTACAAATGGAGGTTTGTCAAAAACAGAAACAAAAGCGTGGCTTTTGTGTATACTATGAGGGTATAACCAATAATTAGCAAATTGTTGGTTGATTGTGATTCCAAGGGCTTTGGCTAAACATACATAAGATGGAGAGCCGAATAGCTAATATTATAAATAAAAACATAGCCTCCTAAAGTCTAGAACTAATTTAATGTTAAATGATTCTCTTAAAGTAGCATACCCCAAAAAAAGCGAATGAATAAGTATCGTCCTCAAGGTTGCAGAAATATAAGTAATTTCAACAACTGGTTTGTACCAAGTTTTTTTTTCAGGCCTTTTAAACCAACCAATTTTATTATATTTTCTTACAGATTTATTGATCTAGTAGTATATAGTGCTATTTTGTGGCTCTATTTAATTTTTACTTATAGTAATAATAAAAATATCAATACTTCATTTGCCTTACTGGATAATCTGCACTTGTACAAAGAATGACACTCAACAACGACATTTTTTTTTACGTTTCAATTACGCAAAAAAGGTGTATTTCATATCGCCAAGTAAAGATATATGGAGAACCAACCAAAGTGCTACTATACACAAACTGATATTACCAGTTACCCGTCGCCCCCCCCCTTTTTTTTCTTTTTTTTTCTTTTTTTTTCTCAGCCTACAACTTCTTTAGGAAGATTCCTGTTTATACTTTTGCCATAACTCAAAGTCCTGCATATAGGCTTCTACGAGTTGTTTTTGGATCTATTATGCATAAAGCATCAATATATAAAATACTTGGCTCTCTCGCGTATTTTTTTTTTGTATCAAGGTAAAAAAAATCAAAAAAGAAGTGAAAAGAAAGAAAGAAAGAGAGAGAGAGAGAGAAAGAGAGACAGACAGAGTCTGTGAAAGGTACCTGAGTGGGAGTTCTTTGTGTCAAGCTAACCCGGTAAGCCTTTGGTCTCCGCCTATAATCTCTATTTTCTGCAAACTGGGATGTGGATACTTCATTTGCCTGTACCTCTTTTTGGGCTATTGCATATAAACGAGAGGCAAATTAATTAATTAATTAAATGTGCTCAAAGACCTGTCAAATTCTTTTCGCGCCTTAAATACGGCTAATAATAAGAATAAGAACAAGAATAATTCACAATCACCTTGGAGCTGTTTTGCTTTTTCAACTACTTGCTCGAATCCCGCTCGATCAAGGTCTAGGTGTTTCACCTGATTCCGTTGCCGAATCTCCTGGGCCTTTAGAACGCATTCGACATATTCTCGATCGCGTGCTTGAACGGACATCGGTGTTGGTTCCAAGGCTTCAAAGGCAGTCGGGGGCCGCGAACCTGACACAGGGAGAGGGTACACAGCATAACCGTTTCCGGCCGTATCCGAAAATTGTGTGTTCTTGTCAACGAAAGACACTACAAAAGGTGCCTTTTGGTAATAGAAGAGTGAGCTAGGAGGCTCCTATATACAAATAACACAACAGCCACAGGTTTCATCATATTAGTCCTTTGTCTTTTCCCCCTTTTTTTCCCATTTTTATTACTCTATCTATCTATCTATTTATTTATTTATTTATTTGCACTTCTTGTTTTCATATCTTTTTATTTTTATTATATATATATATATATACCGGCTCATTTGAGATGCCGCGTATGCCACGACTCTTCAAAAGACAAGAGCGACTGTGCGCTTTAAAGGAGGCTGCAGGGACACGGTGCCGACGGTTAAAGGGGCAGGTTTTGAGTTTTGCTTGTGTCTATCGAAACAAATAAACATAAGGAAAATAAATGGGATCTTTCTTTTAAGTCTTTTATAAATATTTTTATATTTATATATGCATTCTTTTGGTATTTTTTTTTGCAAGATGAATGCATTTTTTTTGTTGTTATGACCAAACCTCTTGCCATTGCTTAACATTCTCACGATTCCAACCTAATGACCCAAGAATTTTGTCTAATGATTCGTCTTTTTTAAGAAATCTTTGTTTTGCATCTTCAAGTTGTTTTAATCGTTGTTCTCTGGACATGTTGAGGAATGAATGACCAAAAAGACGCCTTCAATTGTATGGATTTACATTGACAGGTGACGTACTTTTTTTTTGACATTCCGCCTATTTAAACATTTGCTAGATCATCAAAGAAATGCGCCTCGTTTATGATCAAACGTTTGGTACCATATCAAGTGTTCAGGGCATTTCCTACTCGCCTACTCTCCTGCTCTCCTCCTGAAGGTTTATTTTGTCTATAAACTGTAGGAAGTCTGGAATGAATATTAGCGGAAAACACTAACCAGGCGAGCATGTAACACAGATAGTGAGATTCCAGTTACACATTTAAAGAATTCTTTGTGGCCATGGAATAACTACCCTATTGTATAAAGGTTACGGTTGTCGTATATGTATATATACATAATTAGTACACTCTTATTAGTATTACTATATAATTACTATATTATTTTTATTTTTATTTTAGATTTAACTAACAAAGTATAGTATACTTTTATATTTATATATTAAAGTTGTATAAATGAGATTTATTGAAGAAGCTTAAATTTAAGCAGGTCCTTGTAACTTGTAACTTGTTTCTTGAAATCTCTTCTTATATGAGGATTATTATTACTATTAATATTATTGGTAGATTAAATCATCCGGAAGAATGGCCAGGAAAAGAAAAATGGTCAGATTTAATAGTCAATTATTAAGTGAAAGGAAGTATGCCGATGTCTGAGTGTGGTCTGTCGGTCTTCAAGCTACTTTGTTGTTTCGTGTGCTCGAATATAGTAGGATTATTGGCTTGTATAACAGTCGTTATACGTTCAAATACCTTTGCGCCATTTGCATTTACCCAATGGCGGAGGGGATGTAATTCCACTTCACTTGAACCAGCCCATTTGACTGGACATTTATTTTGTGTGTGTGTGTGCGTATTTGTGGCGAATACATGACACAGTATGTTTAGGATTCAAGTAAATTATAGGATTGAATGCGAATGTCATAGATTTGTATATATGCATGTATCTATCTTTGGTACCTATCCCGGTCTTTCTTAAATATAAAGGTATATAAAAACATTTATAGTACTTTAATAAGACTAAGAATATAGCGTGTGACGGTAAAGAGAAGTCCTGGAAGAAGTGTGCCACTGAAATTGTGTATCCATCCCTTCATCCTCAGAGGATTCTAAAAATACCTTTTACAAAGTGAATACACAAAAGAAGCTTTGTCCAAAAGCAAAGAAACTGCCGATTAGAGAGATGAAATTTGGTGGCGATGCAGATCGAGGTTTACTTTATCGCTTCTTTTGGAAGAATTGTACGCATCTACACCAAGCCAAAATGCCCAACCCGCTTCGGGGCGCTCGGGGATAGAGCAAAAAACTGGAGGGAAGCCCATTCAGGCTCAGAATATGGCGAATTGTAGAACCTTCGTTATTCGAATTGCTTGTACGAAAAATCTATTCAGGGCCATTTTTTTGGAAATCTGATAGCCGAGAACACAGCATGGATCACAAACAGTAAAGTTCTGTATTATTTTGGACGACTCGACCAAAGACAAATAGACAGACCAATTGTATAAATACTCATTGTCTTTTCCCTCCAATTTTCCACCCCTCATCACAGCAAGTCTTTTTTCCGTTTATTTTCTTTAATAAATATAAACGTACTTAATCATGAAGATTGCCCTCAGCTTGTCTTTCGTTGCATTTGCCACGGCCGCCTCTGCAGCCTTCATTCCTCGCCAGGAAGCAGAGTCGAGAGTTTATCCTGCTGATACTGATATTAGCCTTTTGGGCGGCAACTGGTACATCACTGCCCTCTCAAAGAACGTCTACAGCTCCACACACTCGGAACTCGATGCAAAGAACCTTGCTCTCAGCTGCCCTCAGACATACTTCAATGTCCCTACTTCTTCCCAGATTGAGGGCACTGGATCTAGCATTGTCAAGACCGTCGGCACTGGAAACATCTCTGGCGGAAACACCACCTCTTCTGAAATCTTTGTACTCCAACCTCCTAGCGACTATATTGACACCGAAGACCACCAACTCTCTTTCTCCTTCTACTCATGTAAGAATTGCTATATAGCTTACTACTATATAGACTATGCTCTTAACTCATCACATTAATTTTCTTTAGCTCAATGGTTTATTGATGGTGCAAAGTGGAACAGTCTCACTGGCGAACAGGAACAGCAAGGCTCAGTTGCCGTTCCAGGTCTCAATGGCGTGTCAGGAAACGTCAACATCAAGTTAATCTCATCCCAGAACAACGCTGATTTCGACACCCTTTTCCTCTGGCTCGATCCCGTCTCCTCGACCATCTCTGACGTTCAGACCTCTACTTCAAGCTCGTCTTCTACCACTCCCGCTAAGAGACATACCCATACCAAGCGTTGCGGTCACCCTAAACCCCCTGTTCAGCCTCCTGTCGAGTCTGAATCATCTTCCAGCTGCTCTGGTGAGGACTGTGAAACCTCCAGCAGCAGCCCATCTGGCTCTACCTCCACTTGTACAAGCGCTGGTGGTGCCGGTTGCGAGTCATCTAGCCATGGACCATCTGGATCTACCTCCGCTTGCACTGGCTCTGGTGCTGGTGGTGCTGGATGTGAGACCTCTAGCCACGGATCTAGCTCTTCTACTGAGTCTGGCTCTTCCAGCCATGGTTCCAGCTCCTCTTCCACTGAGTCCGGTTCCACCGAGCACAGCTCCAGCTCTTCTTCTACTGAGTCTGGCTCTTCTAGCCATGGTTCCAGTTCCTCTTCCACTGAGTCCGGTTCCACCGAGCACAGCTCCAGCTCTTCTTCTACTGAACACAGCTCCGGTTCTTCTACCACCGAGTCTGGTTCTACTGAGCACGGTTCCAGCTCCTCTACCACCGAGTCTGGTTCTACTGAGCACGGTTCCAGCTCTTCCACCACTGAGTCCGGCTCTACTGAACACGGTTCCAGCTCTTCTTCTACTGAGCACAGCTCTAGCTCCTCTACCACTGAGTCCGGTTCTTCTAGCCATGGTTCCAGCTCTTCCACCACTGAGTCCGGCTCTTCTACCGAGTCCGGCTCTACTGAGCATGGTTCCAGCTCTTCTACCACAGAGTCTGGTTCTACCACTGAGTCTGGCTCAACTGAGCATGGTTCCAGCTCTTCCACCACTGAGTCCGGTTCCACCACTGAGTCCGGCTCTTCTACCGAGTCCGGCTCTACTGAGCATGGTTCCAGCTCTTCTACCACAGAGTCTGGTTCTACCACTGAGTCTGGCTCAACTGAGCATGGTTCCAGCTCTTCCACCACTGAGTCCGGTTCCACCACTGAGTCCGGATCTACCGAACATGGCTCCAGCTCTGGTTCTACCGAGTCTTCCGGCTCCAGCTCTTCCACCACTGAGTCTGGCTCTTCCTCTGGCTCCTCTGAGTCCAGCTCCTCCACCACCGAGTCTGGATCTTCCTCTGGCTCCTCTGAGTCCAGCTCTTCTACCACTGAGTCCGGCTCTTCTACCACTGAGTCCGGCTCTTCTACCACTGAGTCCGGCTCTTCTACCACTGAGTCCGGCTCTTCTTCTGGTTCCTCTGAGTCTAGCTCTTCCACCACTGAGTCCGGCTCTTCCTCTGGTTCCTCTGAGTCTAGCTCTTCCACCATTGAGTCCGGCTCTTCTTCTGGCTCCTCTGAGTCTAGCTCTTCCACCACTGAGTCCGGCTCTTCCTCTGGTTCCTCTGAGTCTAGCTCTTCCACCACTGAGTCCGGCTCTTCCTCTGGTTCCTCTGAGTCTAGCTCTTCCACCACTGAGTCCGGCTCTTCCTCTGGTTCCTCTGAGTCTAGCTCTTCCTCTGGCTCCATCGAGTCCGGCTCTTCCACCACTGAGTCCGGCTCTTCCTCTGGTTCCTCCGAATCTAGCTCTTCCACCATTGAGTCCGGCTCTGCTTCTGGCTCGTCTGAGTCTAGCTCTACTGAATCTGGATCCAGCTCTACCTCTAGCTCTACTTCTAGCTCTTCCAGCTCCTCTTCTACTACCACTACAACCACTACCACAACTACCACTTTCTCTTATACCCTGTACGCCGCCATCCTTACTCGCGGCTCTTCCATCGATGACGTTACCTTCAACAACATTTTGAGCGAAATTCCCCTCAAGGGTGTTGACTCTACTGTCTCTGCCGGCTGGTTCACTAGAATCGCTGACACTTGCAACGAGTAAATAGTAATAACCATAGCAATAATAATAATTGTAATATTCTAGTCTTAGTTCTCTCTCAGTGTTACTACTATATATCTATCTGTATATCCAAATGCGCAGCCAATGTGCAAAACATTAGTATTTTTTCTTTTCTTCTTCTCAATTCTTCTGCTTTGGTCTAAATTTACTATAGACAAAGCTTATTGTATGTATAATACCTTGAATAAAAATGTCATCATTTTTTTTCCTCATCACCAAAAACAAAACAAATTTAACAATTCTCTCAAAGTATTGTTTGCTTATTTTATTTTCTGAAGATTTGTATATATATATATATATTATGTTTGAAATAATTTATATATTTTGTATCCATGACATTGACTAATATTTTATTACTATTACGTTTGATATATTCCAAGTAGTAGCAGTTGGTTACAATTTATTTTGCTTACAATTCATTCCCATCCCTTTTGATCAAATAGACACACACAAACATATATATAATTTATCTTTTGCTTTACTTTGCATTCCAATTGTTCCACAAGTCAGGAACATGGGGCATATCATTGGCGCTCTATAAATGGAACCTAACTGGTACAAACATAACCTACCGGAATCTTTTTTTTTTTGAAATCTGAAAATTGTGGGGTGACTTGAATTATCGATATATGTCTTTTTCCAAACCGGAAACTGTTTTAAGAAAAATGTTGGTTAAATAACTTCCTTATCTATTGTGACAAAAAATACAGAGCGTGGGGAAGAGGAACATTGCTCTTGCCTTTTTTAATTTATTATTTTTTAAATTACATGCGTTTTATATTACAAATTACTTCCTGTTAATACTTATTTCACAAAAAGAAAAGAAAAAGAATGACAAGAAGTTGAATGAGAAAAAGAGAGAAAGAAAGAAAAAGGGAGATAGGGAATGAAGAAATGAGAGGAGGAGGAGAAAAGTGAGATGAGATAAGAAAGTAAGAGAAAGAAGTTTTTTTTTGAGTTAAAGAAGTTCTCTGTAATGTTGAAAGAAAAAGAAGAAGAAGAAAGTTAAACACACACGAGAGGAATGATGGAAAGTCAAATTTTTGCTTTTCGATGTATAAATTCTTACAAGGGCGGAGGGGAGAGAGAGGAAGGAATGAGTAAATAAAGGAATGAAGTAGGAATGAGCAGGATGAGGAGCAGTAGGAGGAGGAAGAATAAGAAGAAGATGATGAGATTGTCTAAAGTGTCCTTCTCCCCACAGATTCACCAAGACCACTAGTATAGACATCATTTCCCATGATAGAAGGTATGAATGCTCTAGCGGGTGTTTCCATGGTGTAGTCAGATGAAGATAAGGTTTTTTCGGGTTGAATAGGGATCTGAGGTCTCTGGCGTGTTTGGAGTACAGCGAATAGATCGTCCAATACTCTGCCACTATTCGCATGGGTTACAAAATCTGGCTGGTCGTCTCCATTGGCACCTGTAGACAGTGGATCTAACTCGTCTTCGAAGAATGGATCAAAGTCAAAGTCAAGCTCGAGGGTTTGTGAAGGATCGAATGCCCAAAAATCATGACCTGGTTGTACCATCTGCTGCGGATGTGACAAGGCGATAGGGTGTCCAAGTCCTTGTCGCATCGTATCACTCGAGTCCAATCCTGGGGTATTGTATATTGTTTTTTGGGTATCCCCTTGTTGTTGCTGTTGTTGCTTTTGTTGCTGTTGTTGTGCAGAAGAAGAAGCAGAAGCAGAAGAAGATGACGCAGAAGAAGAAGAAGAATAACCAGGGTGAGAAAGAGTGATGGGATATGAGCGTAAAGGAATCGGGGAAGTTTGGGAGAATGGAGGTGTGTGAGGTGTGTGAGGTGTATGAGGTGTATGAGGTGTATGAGGCGTGTGGGGAGTGTGGGGAGAAGACAGATGATGGTTATGGTTCAAAGGTTCGATTTTCCTTCTCTTGGTTAATTCTTGGTCGTGTAAGGTAGGGTTTCCGATCGTGCACTGTCCTTCCTTTGACTGTCGTTCCGTTGGAGACATAAAGGTAGTTTGATTAGGAGCACGCAATGGGACAGGTAGAAATGAGCCTGCTCCTGATGTCGATGAACGTTTGAGATCCGGACGATTACTATTACTATTACTATTACTATTATTATCAACAGGAATATGGCCCAAGGATTTTTCGTCAGACGCAATTGATGATCGTTTAGATTTGGAAGGAATTATAATTGTGGTGGTGGTAGTCATAGTTCCCGGAGAATACGGTGTTTCCCCACACTCTTCGTTGTCTGAATTGTCCTGTGCGATTTCGGTAGATTGCTGAGTAAGTAGTTCGTTGTCATGGGAATCCTGCCCTGTCCGCGAATTCCCGGGCATTATTGTACTCTGTGTATTAGATGCGGGGGATGGCATAGATTCGCCAGCTACCTCTGCCAATCGTCGTTCTAGATTGTTGACTGTTTCGCGAAGCCTTTTGTTTTCTTGTCGAAGTTGGTCCATTTCCTCCTTCCAATGTTCCATTTCGCCGGATCTCTTTTCGAGATCTTTTACATATTGCTCCCGTCGTTGTCGAAATGCTTTTTGAGCCGCTCTGTTCTGAGCCGCTCTTTTGGAAGGAATAACGGCTCGATTCATTTTAGATGATGGGAGAGGGGGGGTGTTGTAGACACGCGGGAGGGGGGGATGCGCTTGGTGGGGGTTTGAGAGCGAAGACTCGGTGTGTCGAGGCATGATATAGTTACGAGACTCTGGTGAGGGCTGGTCTGTATTGATAGATAAGACATATTGTACAAAAAAGCAAACAAACAAACAAACAAACAAACAAACAAAAGACAGGGAGAAAGGGACGAAGGAAGGGAGGAGGTCAATTGTTACTGCCTTTTACCTTGCATCATTGGGTTTATCCAAGGTGTGCTTTCTACATGAATTTGGGAGGATCGCCTGCGGTCTAATGGGAATAATAAATAAGTCAGGATGAGTTGATTCTTGTTTAATTGAGACTCTAAAAAAAAGCTAATGTGGAATTGCTGCATGTATATATATATATATATATATATATGTTTGTGTGTGCATATGTATTTTTTTTTACCAAATGTATAATGAAAATGAATGGAGGGGTCTTTAAAGACTTACCCTGGGATGAGTTGTGTAATGAATCGATTGATTGAGATTGTGATGGTCTTGCTTGAAGAGGCATAGAGTACATTATCTAAACCCAAGGTGATCTATACCAGTGCAAGCCGTATTCTTTTGTGAATTTAGGACAGCACAAGAGAATCAAGCAATGTGAAATTGGGTGATGATAAAGATAAAGGACAAAGGTTGAGATTATTAAGTAACAAGAAATATATATATAAATATAAATATAAAATATATATAAAAAAATAAAAAGGAAGTACCCCACTGTTTTTTAACAATTTTAGACGATTATAGGACCGTCGCTTGACCCTTTTTGGGGGGTGCCTACAAAAAAATGTACTGAAAGAAAAACAAGTGCTATTGGACAAGCGCTGGCTGAAACTCGTTTCTTTTCTTTTTCTTTTTTTTTTGTCTTGTGATAAAGATGCGCCTGGTGAGTATCTGGCTGGCTAACCTGTTGGTTGACTGACTAACTGACTGACTGACTATCTGCCTTTATATGGCTGAATATCTTGGCTGGCTGTGTTTTTCTAATTGTCTGCATGTTTGCCTTTGTCCGCCTTACTTACTTACTTACTTACTTACTTACTTACTTACTTACTTTCCTACCTACCTACTTACTTCTCTCCACCCCCCACACACACACTTAAATTGGGTTGCTTTTATTTAACGCTTGAATAAAAGCAAGTCATAATATAAAAAAGATGAATTACAAAAATAAAGGTACTAGTTATTATGTATTTTATATGTGTATATATAAAAAATATAATATTTGACCTGGGAAAAAGATAAAAGACCAAAAAAAATTGGATTCAATTGAATATAAGAAATTACATTTATTCCTCGGAATTACACTTTAGTGATCTTGTACGGCCTTGATAACATAAGCAAATCCAAAGTCACTTTTTTTGTATTTCAGGACCAGTCAGCCCTTACCAGTTCTATTGGATTTTATTTTATTTTAGTTTTTTTTTTCTTATAAAGTCTAAAAGACCAACTAGCAAAAAAAAATATCAGATATATATATATATATATACGCACATTTATCGCAGTTCTTTATTCATTAACCTCTTCTTCTTTTATCATTACAATGTCGGTTACTGTCCCTGTCTACGATACCCTCGAAAGCATCTATGACATTTCTTCTGTTGCAAAACAAGGGTAAGCAAAAATATCACAAGCTTCTTCTTTTTCCCTTCCTTCTTTTCTTTTCTTTTCTTCTTCTTTATCTTCCTTGTATACACTCATACATTATTCTTGTTATGATTCTGTAATAACCTAAACTTCTCTCACTTTATTCTCCAGTGTTCGCTACAACCGACTAATCGACCAGTTTACCGAGACTTATGGCCGTAAACCCGAATTCATCGTTCGCTCCCCGGGTCGTGTCAATCTCATTGGAGAACATATTGACTACTGTGGTTTTGGTGTACTCCCAATGGCCATCGAACGTGATGTAGTCATCGTTGGCGCTACAACAGACGCAGATTCAAAGACCCGCCTTACCAATGCGGATCCCAAATACCCTCCCAGAGAGTTTGATTATGAAGGAAAGGAAAAGGTGGTTACAATTGATGCCAGTGAGCTCGAATGGTCCAACTATTTCAAGTGTGGCTACAAGGTAAAGCAATATATCCATTTATCAATTGCATTGAATCGCAATGGCTTGCATCTTGACAATTCAAAAGATATCCAAGGAGCTAATAGAAAAAAAAACAAGATATTATTATTATTATTATTATTATTATTATTATATTTTATTTATTATTATTCCTATTTTTAGGGTATGTTGGAGCGTGCCAATCTTGACAAGCCCAAGGGTCTTTCTCTTTTGGTTGATGGAAATGTACCAGCCGGTGGTGGACTGTCTTCTTCTGCTGCATTTGTTTGTGCATCTGCCCTGGCCGTTATTGTTGCTAACAAGTTGCCATCTACCAAGCAAGAGCTGACCGAGATTGCGATCGTGGCCGAGCGTAATGTGGGTGTGAACTCTGGAGGAATGGACCAAAGCGCTTCCGTATTTTCCGAAAAGGACTATGCGCTCCGTGTTGAGTTCGTTCCTCGACTTTCAGCCCAGCGTGTCAAACTTCCCCAGACAAAGCCTGCTCTGGCTTTTGTTATTGCCAACACTCTCGTAAAGGCCGACAAGTTTGTTACCGCGCCCCGCCACTACAATTTGCGTGTCGTCGAGACCAAGATGGCCGGACTCTTTCTTTCAAAGGCGCTCGGATTGCCAAAGACAGTCGATACTCTCAAGGAAGTCTTGGATCTCTACTTTGCCTCGTCTAGCCTGACCGAAGAACAGAAGCTCACTCAGCTGCTCGAACGTGCCGAAGAACTTTTCCCCGAGGAAGTTGCCAGCGGAGGAAACGGTTATACTCTCGATGAAGTTTCTGCTATGGTTGGCTGGTCCAAGGATGAGCTTCATGAAAAGTACATGTCTAGATTCCCAGTCCAGACAGACTTCTTTAGAGTTCGCCAGCGTACACATCACGTACTTACCGAGGCTCGCCGTGTTTACCAGTTCTCTGATGCGTGTGAAGATCAATCGAGTGACAACACCGTCAAGGTTCTGGGTGAATTGATGAACGAATCCCAGGACTCATGCAAGAACATGTTTGATTGCTCGTGCCCGGAAATTGAGCAGATTTGCGAAATTGCTCGTCGTCACGGTGCCTATGGTGCACGCTTGACCGGTGCTGGCTGGGGAGGATCTACTGTGATGTTGACAGATGTAACTAACGTGGATAAGCTGATCAATGCTATCAAGGATGAGTATTATCGCCCAACCTTCCCAACCATGTCAGAAGAAGAGTTGGATGACGCCATCCTGTCCACAAAACCATGCAGTGGCTCTGCTGTGTTTGATGGATTTAAGCAATAAGGTGTTAAATTTGATATTTTGTGTGTGTGTATATATATATGTATGTGTGTATAAAAGGCAAATAATAATAATAATAATAAAAATAAAAATAAAAATAATATTAAAATAAAAATAAGATACAGTATGAAATAAGAGTCATGTATATTGACATTGGCCTTGATTTTGACCTTGATTTTGACAATTGTCTTAACAAGGGTCTTGGATTTTGTGTACAGCACATTTACCTTTACTCCCCCACCTTACTTTATTCTGTGTTACTAAAGCCACAGGTAAAAATATATAGACTTTAATGCTATTTACACCATAAAGAATAAAAAAGAAAAAGAGAGAAAAGCTTAATGTTTATCAGTAAGTATCTATTGGTAAAAAAGGGCCTATAATTCAACTCTTTTGAGATATGTATCTAAAAGAAGAGAGTAAGAGATATTTTGGGTAATTGGATCTTGTATTCAATTTGTACATATTACCACTAATTTATTTATTTATGTTAAGGTTTTCTTTTTTCTTTTTCCTTCCCCACCACCATCATTACTACTACTACTACTATTCATAGCCATGACTCCATTTGCTTACACAATAAATTCAACATAATTGAAACTAATTAACTATCAATGACATCTTATCTTTTGGCAAATATATATAAAAGCTGCCCATAACTCCTTCAATACTTTATTATAATAGACTCAATTGATACAATTACCTGACTGAACCCAAGCCTGGAAAATATCTAGTTTCCTTTACCTTACCTTTAGACTATTTGAAAAATCAAGTCAAATCAGATCAAATCAGATTATTATAACTATATGGAATCTACAAATAAAAATGTAGCATTAGATAACTATACTTTAAATAAGATAAGATACATTAATCTTGTATATCCATGCAGATACAACTCTATCACTTTATCACTCTCCTTGTATTTTCCCTTTCTTCTTCTTCTTCTTCTTCTTCTTATTTTTGACAATGACCATGATATACAGTAAATGATATCATAGTATGTACAAAATAAATAAGCGAATAAATGCGGGCAACAGGGCAAGTTAAGTTACACTGTATGAAAAAAAATGTATTACAAGAACATCACTTTCTTTCTTCGCAATAGGATACACAAAATTATGGATTTCAGTCCAATTAGACTCTGTGTGGTATTATATATACACTCACAATCAAAAACGTTTCGACCCCCGCAAAAAATGCCTAAAAAAAAATCGAAAAAATAAAAATAAAAACATTGTTTTCTCCCAATATTATTAATCAAATCCAACATGCAAGACGCAAATTCATCAGAAAACACCCACGGATCATATGAAAAGGCCGATCCCTATAAATACGGATGCATCATATACATGCATTTAGCAAATTACGGGGCGACCCAGATTTCATTGGTGGTTGGCATGAGTCTGTCAACTGTCAAGTACATCATTAAGAGAGTGGACGAGACAGGATCGCCCGAGCCAAGAAAAGGGTCCGGACGACCTAGAAAGATTGACGAGAGGACAGAAAGACACCTTGTTCAAATAGTTCGTAAGGACCCCTTTGCCTCATTTCCTAGGCTAAGGGCTTCCTTAAAGAACATGGAGGTATTTGTCTGCAGAAAGACAATAATCAGTTGTCTGAAGCGTTTGGGCTTCGGATCATATATCGCAGCTCACAAGCCAGCTTTAACCGAAAGCCACAAGAAAGGAAGGCTGGAATGGGCCCGTGAGCATGTGAATTGGACAGATGACCAGTGGAGAGGTGTAGTGTGGTCAGATGAATCACGGTTCACAGTTGAGCGTAATGATGGAGGAGCTAGAGCTATCAGGAAAGTCGGTGAAAGGTTCAAGGAAGAAAATATCATCGAAGGAACCAAGTGGGGGAAGGGTAGTGTGATGATCTGGAGCTGTTTCTGTGCCGGTGGTTTTGGCCCTTTGGTGTTCCTAGATGGTAACGTAAACCAAGACCAATACGTGAACACTTTGGCTCAGAACTTCCTCCCTTGGTTCCAAAATCTTTCGCGGGAACAAACCAGGAGCTTCGTGTTCCAAGAGGACAACGCCAGCTGTCATACTGGGTCGTACTCGAGGTGGTGGAAAGATAGCCATGAGATCCGAGGTTTTGACTACTGGCCCGCTCAAAGCCCGGATCTCAACCCCATCGAGCATCTCTGGTGGGCTCTCGAGAGGCGCATGAGTGACGAGAGGGCCAGTATTAACAATTTTGAAGATCTGAAGGTTGTAATGCAACGAGAGTGGCGAAGGATAGGTCTCGAACTTTCGTCAACTTTGGCCGGAAGCATGCAGCATCGATGCCAGGCTGTAATTGAGGCCAAAGAAGGTCATACAAAATATTGATCTTTTATTTTTTTCTATATTTCAATAATAAACATATATAATCTTTTATTTGAAGTTTGAATGCTTTAGCTTTTATTACTGAGGAGCAGTTGCATGTTGAATACATGCCATGATTTCTCTCATGCATTTTTTGGGCTCAGAGGTCGAAACGTTTTTGATTGTGACTGTATATAAAAAAGAATGGAACGCTATCAGTAAAATCAGTTGGTACATAATATTTTATATTATATTGTGATTTTAAAACAAAAAATAAAAAAGGGCAAAAAGAATTTTGAGACGTGTGTACTCCCACAACTCAAAAGAAGTAACAAGAGAGAAAAGTCTTTTGATACATGTAATGGAAATAAATATAAATAACAATGATTGTTACTGGGAACAAGAAATTACTGGATTTCACGGTAAATCGATCTCAAAAAAGGAATAAGCAAGCGTTGTGCTGGCCACTAAATCTCTTATTTTGTCATTTTGAGAATTTTCACTAGGTGTACCACATAATATCTCTCTCTCTCTTTCTTTCTTCAAATAACAATAATATAATAAAATAGTATACTTCTTCTATTACAAGAAAAAACAAAATTCCCAAAGAACCCTTAAAAGCATATAATAAAAGTGGGATTCATCTTGCCCTGTATAGTGTAACCTTGAAAAGTCAGTCTAAAGATATATTGATTTTGCATTACATTTCTTTTTTCTTTTCTATTGAAATTTTGACTCCCTCGTTATTTTCTATGTAATGCAAATTTACATTGCATAATAGCCTCTCTAGCTCTAATACTATAGTTTGCCAAATTTCACTTGACAGCATCACCACTGAAAGCATACTTAATTTAAGCAGACTATTATCATTATTTGAAGATTGTTGAATACACCCGTGAAATGAGAAATTAAAAGACAAAAAATCAACTATATGTCCAAACAAGTTAAGCAAAGTGTCTCTGCATGTCTAAGTAGTCTGTTAGGGCACATTAAGATCCACCATTTAAAAGCTTTTTTTTATAACTATTGCTCAAATATTGATCAAAATGGCATTTTTTTTTCACTTAAAAAAACACTCATTAATATTGAAGATTGGGGAATGACCACCCTTCAACAATGTTTTTATATATATTTTTTCGGCGGGAAAATGCTTGACTCAAGAATTAATATCCCTGTGAATGGCAGTAGATTTTTCTGAGCAAAAGAGTAATAGAGTATTTTGTATGATAGAGCAGTGCATCATATTTATAGACTCAATGATATCTTTGTATTTCTGGAACACGGCACTAGTGTTATTTCCTATATATCCACACACAGGTGCTATTAATGATCCGGAGCTTTAAGTAGCAACTACCATAGGATTCCACCCTTTTATTTCAATCAATTTACAAGGCAGATCGGTGCCCCCAACAGAACTGCATTAAAAAGAAATAAACCATACTATGAAAAGAAAGAAAACCCCGTTTGTCTAAATCCAAATTCTATATAGTATGACATTTGATCCCTAACTTTACCTACTTCTCTATTATTTCTTTCAATTGGACACAAAATTACCATTAGCTACAATATGCGAGAGATTCGGATATTCCCTTCAAAGTTAAATGTTTACTTATCCCTTTTGTTTATCTCAAATAGAAACACAATTACAATGTGAGTTATCTGTGAAAGGGTAATTCATAAACTTACTTTAAAAATATAGAGACCAAATTTAAGTCATTTTTAGAGCATCTCCCTTTCTTTTTGAAGATATATAAGAATATTGGGCCAAATGTGTATATTTCTATTATACAATTCTCATACTTTTGTGTCCTCGATGCACAGAGTGTATAGTTTTTTTCCGATAGAAACTGCCACATATTTCTTTCTTTCTTTTAAGAATCGTTATAAATATTTTGTTTCTCTTGAGCTTTCTAACTTTATAAGAGATTGTTAAAACTTCAGTAAAATCATGCTGTACTTTGGTCAAACTCAAACTCATTCCAAAAAAGAAAAAGAAAGATTACAGATGAGTGTGGTAGTACCTAAAACACACACTTTTTTTTGAAAGAACGTCAATCGTCAATTCAACTACTTTAACAAGTTCCTTTTCAGTGAAGAGGACCAAAGTGAATGAAGAGTCTTCCATCTACTTTACACATCTCTTGTATCCTTCCATCGCTGACGTGTACACCTCCAAAAAAAACCAATGGGAGAAATGTGTGACTATTTTCATATGCATGTGACTACTAGAGCTAAAGACTATGAAAAAAAAGCAAAAAGTAAACAAAAAAGGGCGCAAAAAAACAGAAAAAGATGAGCGACAACAATGCGAAACCTTATTTACCATCAAGAACTGCAATTCTGCTCATGCGAATAGCTCATTAACTTATATATAACTCTCATCATGTTCTTGAAGAAATGAGTTTGCCAGAACAATGCGCATTAAAGATCAATTCTCTAGTTTTCTCATTCAACCTGACGCCCGATGTTGATTCGCGCATCCTTTTAACAGCCACTCATGATAGAAAACAAGGGTTTTTAGGGTAAAAAACAGAAAGCACACGCGTTTAAAATTTGTTAAACTCTTGAACAAACTTGGTATATATATTTAAAGTCGATGCCTGATTGATTCTCTTAGAAATATAATAGAGTTTTGACTATTACAAGAATAATATCTAAGTGTTTATATATGATACCAATAATTGTGTATAATTCTTAATAATGACCAATATAAGATATAGCAAAACACTAGAGAAAGGTCTTTTAAAAAAGCTTGATTTTATTTCATAGGATTTAATAACGACTTCCAGAAGGAATCACTGTTTCAAGATACCTACTTTACACGCTTGATAGTTATTTCCTTCTTTTAGCTTCGATCTTTCCAAGCTGTTTGCACGTCGGGGTTTATTATATTTTGCAGGAAAGTACTTTGGTTTATATTAAAGTATATAAATTATTTTCAGCCTGTCAAAGCACAAAAATTCAAGAGAGCACACACTCACACACGAAAGGGACCTGATAATGCAATAATAGCATTCAACGATCCTCAGAATATAATCATTTAAAAGCATTTTAAATATAAAAAGGGTTTGTATGTGATGGTAAGAATAAACGGGTTTATTTTTTATGAGCTTCGAGATGGGTACTATGTAGGTCAATTGAAGGTTACAACAGCGTCCAGATTGTTTGGAGATTGTTTAAATTGGTTTATATGATATAAATGTATATTGATGCTTTACTATTATAGCTATTACAACTTTAGGCATATTTATTCAAACAGACGATTGCACTTTGAAGATTATCCAGTTTAATGCTTAAATGAGAAATTGTAATAAAACAGAACGTTTTTGATCAAAATAAAAAGTTAAAGGCAGAAACTCAGCTATATGTCCAAACAAGTTAAGCAAAGTGCTTCTATACGTTTAAGTAACCTTGTAGTGCAAATTAAAATCCACTATTTAGACGCTTTTTGATAATGGTTGCTCAAATATTGGCCAAAATATCATTTTTTTTTACTTTTTTTTTTAAGAAAATCCATTTATTCATGAAAATATCAAAATTGGGTGAAATAAAAACCTTGCAGCCAAGCTCTTGTTCCTTAATGTTACTGAACATGACAAGTTAACAATCTCTAGGACTGTTAAATACCAGGAACATATACACTACACACTTATATAATGTAAACCAACCATTACAAAACAGAAATTTGAATAGTAATAGATATAAGCAATATTATTTTTAAAGGCTCGGAGATCAAAGGAATCCATGAACTCAGGTTGTTGAATTGAGCAAGAGTTCATATATATATATATAATTAAATTAATGGTTTCAAGAGTGTCAGATTGCCAGATTCATAGTGAATATAATATATGAAATTTTGTGTTGCTTATTTAAATAGACTATTTTCTGTTTCTAACAAAGAACGCGAAAGAGAATTCAAAATGTAAAGATCGATTTATAATGATACATCAAATATAATGTATAATTTGAAATGTAACCGCTGCAGATTGTCTTACGATTCCGGGGCTTTAAATCTTGTCATTTCCAGTAGTGTTTTTTTTTACTTTATTTCCCCCCTAAAAAATCCGACCTCCATTTTCAAGAAAGAAAATATCAAAATTGACATTAAAAGTACTATGATTACCAAAATACGACGAACCCTCTGTTATCTTTTCGTTTGATATATTCTTTTATTATTGAACTGTGCCCTTAAGAAATACTTATTTAAACAATCCTTTATATAATTTTAACAAGACTATTTAATTTGTTCAAGTAAAAAGAATATAATACAATAAACTAGAGTACAGTACATTAGAGCGAAATAGAGTAGAGAAATGAACTTATGATCGTTATAATAATAATAATATTGATACAATAAAGACTCGTAAATATTACTAAAATATTCCATCTTTTAAAAAATCAGATCAAGAAGTATGATTTTACAGTGTAGGACATTATTCATTTGTACTCACTGACTCTTATTTATTTATAAATGAAAGCAAATGATGTGGCCAAATCTATATATTAATTAATAATATTAATAATATTAATAATATTAATAATATTGCTATAATTATTATTAATTATTATTATTAGAAGTAGTAGTATAAATATATGTATTCCAGAAAAATGTATTGGTTCTTCCAGGGAATTCCACCAGTGGCCATCGGAACTCACCGAGATCCAAATGTTAATGAAAGACCTTAATTTTTTTTATTACTTGGCAGAATGGCGTGTTCTGCTCATTCTTTATGAGAAGAGCAAGGTCTATATAACTTTGTTCGGTAAGACTTATACACCACGTTTCAGTGTTTGTCTTTCTTTTTCTTTTTAATGAAATATAAATCTCATTTATAGTTTCTGGTTGGTGCTTCCACGTTGCTTGTATTGATCTCATGGTGTTATATATTCTCGTATGATAAGAGATCAATAAACTACTAAGTATATACGGAGATTATAAAAAATGAGACAGAATTCATTAACAGAATAAGATAAAACCCAATGCACCGAATAAGTATCTTCACATTATCTAAGGTTATGTTAGAAACTCATTTATAATCATTTTATGTATGTTATTGTTTGTATAATCTTGGATCATTTTCCAGACTACCCACATATTCTCTCACTCTAACTCTAACTCTAACTCTAAGTCTCACTCTTGCCCTTGCCCTTGCTCATATGCCAATATCCATTATTCTTTACATGTCTGGTAATATACATGTATATGTATGTATCTTATGATTCATTGTAAGGGTACGATAAGCAAGTATCTGTAGAGACATAGAAAGTGTTTATTTATTGCGTCTCATAAAAAAATAAAAAATAAAATAAAATAAAATAAGAATATTTATAATTATAATAGTAATAGTAATAATAGTAATAATACATGTAATGGTAATATAAATGCAATAGCAGGTGAGACAAGCTTTAAGTATAGACAAGAAATAAAGAGGTAGATAAATAAATATAAAAAAAAAGATATACGGGAGATTAAATAGAAGCCTTTCTCTTGGTAGAAAATGCGCGTTTGAACTTGCTGGCAATATCTTTACGCTTTGCGTTCAGCTTGTGAGACTCGCGACGGAAGAGATTTTCGTGGATCTCTTCGTCTTTATTGACAGGAGTTCCAAAGGTTGGGGGTGTGCGTGGAGTAGATGTTGACGAAGCAATCGATGAGCTTGAATAGGGTTCAACCATACTGTGTCGATTTGCTGCTCTGTCGGGGTTGTGGAAATATGTACGGGCGGGACCAAAGTCTGAAAAGGCAGGACTGGTTGGTGGTGAGAAATCATCTTCTTCGGCAATAGGAGGCAAAGAAGATACAGAGTTATCATCATCACTATCGCTCTGGATACTAGAAGCATCAGTAGTTGTGCTCGAAGCAGTTGAGATCAAAAGAGGGAAGGATGGCAATGGTTTGTTTTCAATATCAGTTGCAGGTGTAGTAACAACCTCTTTTTCCTCTTTCTTTTCTTCTTCTTCTTGTACTTGTGCTGTAGTATGTGTGCTATGATCCACTTGCGGATCGGACTGAATAATAACCGGTGATGCGGGAAGAATCTCTGTGTCCAGTGCGATGATTTCATTTACTGACTCACGAGGGCTATCAACAGTGGGACACAATGACAATGACAATGAATCTGTGGCAACTGGCACGGGCAGCGTATCAGCGTCTTCTTTATCTTCAAAGACAAGGAGTGCATCTGGCGCATTATCGGACAATTTTTCAGTCACAAGTTCGGGGAGTGGCTTGCTGAAAGTTTCAGGAAGTATAACGTCCACTACTTCGATTACTTGATCAGGTATAGGGACAATCAAGTCTGTATCCAACTGAACGGTCGTAGGCTCAGTAGCCTCTGGATTTACACTTGTTTTTTCCTGTAGTACTTCTACTTTGTTATCAGACTCAAGAACGACACTTCTAGAGTCCACCTCTGACCCCTGGTCTGTTGTTTCTGGCAAGATATCGACATTTTGGACATGTACGAGAATTTCAGGGTCATGACCTTTTTCTTGTTGTCCGCCGACATGTTTCTGTACTTCCACAATATCAGTCCCGGACAAATCATTGACTAACAACAGGCTGACTGGTTTTTCATTTAGGTTCTCTTCTTCTTTGATAATGAATGGCTCTGCCAAATTAGGTTCTGGAACAAGGACCGGCTCTGGCTCTGGGCTGGGCGTTTGATCGGCCAGAGAGACAGGTGTTTGATCGACTTTTGCCACAAACACATCTTTGACTAATGATTCTGAGACTAACTCAGGCACAAGTAGTCTAGCTTCTTTAGATTCAGTGTGGATAGAGTGACCAGAGTGAACAGAGGAAACAGAGTGAGCAGAGTGTGCGGAGTTTGCGGAGTGAGCAGAGTGTGCAGAGTGGACAGAATGAACAGAGATAGCAGAACGAATAGAGCGGGTAGAGCGAATAGAACGAACAGAGCGAATAGAACGAACAGAGCGAGCAGAAAGCGCAGAAAGAGCAGAGGTAGCAGAAGTGGTGGGCTGTAGTGTTGCGATCGCGGTATCTTGTTGAATGAGTACTTGTGGGATATCGGGGGAACTTGGAATTATTGGCGTTGATTTAGGTTCAGAGAGGGATGTATGGAGTTCATCTTGGGTTTGGTGAAAATGATCCACAATAAAACCTAAACGTGACAATAACAGCATCAGTCATCTTTCCAAAATTGGGAGTAAAATTTTTAAGAATATAAAACATTTATATACCAGAATGGAGAGGGTTCTCTAGCTGCTGCTCATGTGTGTCTCTTGAGACAGATGACAAGAGAGAGTGTGGACGTGAGGGACTTGACCAGACATTCTGGAGGTAGAGAATACAAGACACACGGAGCATCTTCAGAGAAGTATCAGATATTAAGAAAGGTATAGGAAGAAAAGAAGAAGAAGAAACCAAAATAAAGTGCTTGTATTTATTTGTTTTAATAACAGTTTTCCAAAATAATTATATTTTATACAAGAAATCAAAAGCGTACTTGTCAGGTGGAGTCTGTCTTTTTTGCTATTTTTTTTTGCTGTCACCAAACTTTAAAAATTAATCTGGAGAGGAATATGACTTTTTGGCTTCTTTGTTGTCATGGTGGTGATACCGTCCGGACTCAGAGTTCGATTCGGACAGATGTGGTTCGTCTTGGTGCATGAAATGAAAACTGTGCAAAATAAAAAGCTGCTGAGAAATAGGCCGCTAACTCCGCCCTATTTCCTTCTGGGTAATTTTGGTAGCCTGCTGTTCTCTCTGTATCTGTAAGAATATAAATCAAAAACACCCAAATTAAGACAACTTCTTTCTGGCTTGTTCCCATGTCCTTGTCCAAAATAAGAAAAACAGATTTCAGATAAGAATCTCACAAGATACACGCTTTGTACTTGAGGACCATAAAGTAGTCAACAATCTATACTTCTTTAACCTCGGAAAACGAAAAAAAAATACATTCTGTACACAAGAAATAAAGAACAAAAAAAAACATGCCAAAATATCATGCAATATTGCCCCTTCTCTATTTTCAAGTATAGATACTCAGTAAAAAAAAATCTCTCTTTTAAACCATCTCAACCGCCCTGTTTTTTTTTTCATATATACATATATATACTTTTGTATAAAATTATCATTATTTTCATGACCGCCTCCGCTTTGGCTACACCTTGTGCCCTCTCACAAGCGGGATATAAATATGTTCCAATTTATTTACCAAATAAAGATACACTTTAGTGACTGTCATATCGCCTGTCTAGTCAAGAGTGAGCGAGACTGGTAAACAAACATTGAAATTTCGAGCCTCGTCCTAGACAACACTCGGTTTTTAACACACATAGATACACATGGCCCTGCGACAGTCTCTCGTAGGTCTTACCCGCCGCTTTGGCTTCATGCCTCTTGCACCCTTCCAGTCCATTCGCACAATTACCACAACCCCCACACGTGCAGTCACCCAGTCGAATGAACCACAGGAAGACAATATCTTGCCCAGCACAATGGCTCCTCCAATGCAGCTCTCCAAAGACCTTTCAACTTCTCTCGAGCCTTACTCTGGTCGTTCCCTTGCAATCAGCGGAAATCCCAGCGGTGCTTACCGTCGCCTCAATGCTATCCTTAACCAGAACAATGTCAAGCGTGAGTTGCGTGCCAACACCAACTATGAGAAGCCAAACGTCGCACGGAGACGTATCAACATCCAACGCAACCGTAAGTTGTTTGGTGCCATGATCCGGAAGAAGGTGGCCTTGATTATGCAGATGAAGCAGAGGTAAGGTCTTTACAAGTGGAGAAAATATAGAATACACAGAAAGAGATGTATATATAGAAAAATGGACCTTTGAACCCAGTCGTCATGATCCAAGATCAAAAATCAAAAATTGTCAACTAATCATCCCACTTATTGATTTCTGTAGAGGCATGTAAAAAGCAAAATGTCGATGAATATATTGAATTATACGAAAGATAGATCTTTTAATGAAACAAATAATAAAGTGATTAAAGTGTGTATAAATGTGAAGCAAAGAAACAAAAATAAAAGCAAAGAGAAACAATGAAAGAAATAGTCTGTTTTCTTTTAATACCCTAATTGGAGATTTTCTGGCTGGTTGATACCCTGTATACGGCACAATTCGCGAACAATAAAATGCCAAGCGTCCATTTCTAACCCAACGCGCCGTCCATACTCCCACAACTTTCTGCGCTTGTATTCGTATGTCTTGTCATCAATCCCGCGTAAAATCTCGTCCAAGCGATGTACCTCGTCGCGCCTCACCCTAACCACAAATGAATCCCAATCGACGTCAAACTCAAACGGCTCAATGATCCCATCCGCAATAACCACCGGAACCACTCCAAATGCCATAAACTCCCAGATACGTGTAGTATCAAGGGTCCAGCCCATGGGGCTTAGCCCATACTTGGCATGAGCCAGTTTGTCGGCGTATTCCAAATCCGTAATAACGTCGCCAATTTCATAACCTGGGTATTTGGCAAAAGTCTTGTGGAATAGCGATCGAATGCCATTAGAGTATTCGTCTTCAGGGCCCACCGTAGTGCAGCAGCCCTGAAAAAGGGCAAATATAGTTCGAGTGCCGGTTTTGGGATGTCCTTCAGTAGTAACATAGTCTTCGGGATTGTATCTGAGGTGGTGAATTAGGCGAGTTGCCGAAGGGATCACAATATCACGGTGGTATCTGTGGCGGTGCATCCATTTCCGGCGCTTGTCCCCAACTGTCTTTAAGAAAACGGCAGGTTGGAAGAGCTCGTTGTGCTTGTAATACGTAAAAGTCTGATCCATCGGATGCACCATTATATGAGTTCGGCCCTGAGTCTTGTTCCAATACGGGTATTCATTAATAACCATATTCATCATAGGGTCCACATAAAGCTCATCAACATCGCATCGCTCAGTCCACTTCCATTCATTCTTAGACCAACAGTTATAAAGGTAGCAGCTGCCAAAGAAAGGTATGTAGAAAAAGGTTGCTTCTTCGGGGTTTTTGGTCACATAAAGCTTATTGATGTTACTATTGGGATCAGTCAATTGACGATGAAGAATGATTTCGGAATTGTAATTGGACTCATCGCATCTTCCATCCTGAACCGATTCAGGTACTTGGAAATCCTTAGAGGCCTCATAGACATATATTTTCGGCTTACACACTGCCCGTTCGACAGGCGATGGCCAATAGCTTTCTATCTCAACAATAGGAAGAGGTATGGCTGGAGGTTGGGCCTGTCTTCCACTAAAAAAGAACGACGAAACCAAAATCAAGGTGATAATAACAAGTGCAGCAATCCATTGCTTGTTGAGCCGCAAAACGGTTGGCATGAAAATAATAAAGATATCGACAGCAAAATTAATAAAAAAAAATTAAATGTTAAAAAAAATGTTGTCCCAGTAAATCGATTTCAAAAATAAAAAGAAAAATTAAAGGCTGTAGATAAAAAAAAAAGGCGGTCCGTTTAGGTTGTCCTCTTTTTTTTTCTTCCTTATCTCCCGCCGAGGTCACACACGTATCAACACATACACGGCAATAATTCTACATAAATAACTCACTCATGGAATCGCATGGGATGGAAAGGTAGAATCTATACCCGACTTTCTAGCCATGGCGCCCTAAAGGATACATTCCTAGACCAGTGATCACCGGCAGCAACCAGAGCCAACTGGGCGAGAGAAAAGACAAACGAAAACGAGATGCTAAGGAAGACGAGTGGCTCGTATTTGGTTACGAAGCCCGTTTGTTCCGGAATGATACGGAAGCCCAAAAAGTTGAAGAAGGATTCTATAGAGTGCCGTGGAATGATGACATGACATTGAGCCTTGATAGGTAATCAAAAGTAAACAATCGAACACACACACACACATATATATATATATAAATAAATGCATTCATATCTATACCTATATATATATATATATATATATATATATATATATATGAAAATAAAAGCACAAGCAAGGTTTCTTTACAGTTGAATGTTTTGTGTTAATTTGAACATGCGTGTGCAACAGATACGACATAAGACATTTGTCTACGGACAGGGCTATTTTTGATACTAGTGATGAAAGCCATTTGGAAGATGATAAGGCGTGCGATGAAGAGAGATATCTCGATCTTGATTCTGAAGAGGAGCTCTTGTTCGATATGAGCGATGATGAGAGAGCCTCTTTTGTAGGTAAGGAGCGACTTTTATTGAACCTATACTTACACGATCTTTATTAGCGGAAAAGAAGAAAAGAAAGAATCATACGTTTGCTTATGTATATACAGACGAAGAAGCAACAAACGAAGACAATGAAGACAATGAAGAAAAAGAAGAAGAAGAGCAGAAAGTTCTGACACCTATTCAAAAAGGACTGTCTAATAAATACAAGACGCCCAGTACAATGATTCTGGTAATCTACTGTATCCACATTGTTCGGTAGGGTTACTGTATTAACAAGAATCTTTAGCCAGATACTCAAGAGCAGGCAGAAGTGATAGAGAATACGGCAAAAGCGGTTACAGGAGCACAACAATCCAATATATTTGAAATCAAAACTCAGGTGCGAAATGCTAACAATCCACTCTATGCATTCTTGAACAAAAACAATCCACTCTATCCTTTTTACAAGCACATTGCCTGGCTATCTCAGTCTGGCCTTGGTCAATACGGAGATAGCAGCAGTGAAGAAGATGAAGATGAAGATGAAGATGAAGATGAAGAGAAAGAGAAAGAGAAAGAGGCAGAGGCAGAGGCAGAGGCAGAAAAAGTAGCAGAAAAGGTGGCAGAAAAAGTAGAAAAAGAAGAAAAAGAAGAAGAAAAAGAAGAAGAAAGCAAAAATAAGGTTGAAGAACCAGAAAAAACAATTGTTGAGCCCACAGCTAGTCCAGCTGTCCAGCAACCTACTGTTGACATCCAAACTACTTTGCAAAAGACAGCCAAAGGCGTGGCAAAAGCAGGACGTGGTCTAGAAGAGAAAATCAAACAATTCCACAGAAATGATCCCAAATTTGCATTTCTTAACCCTTGGAACCCGTCTAATGCTCATTACCAAGCATACGTTGACTACTATACCTCTTATCCAGACGCTCCTTAGATTCTTTTGTATTGCTTATTAATATATATCTATATATCTATATATTTATATATACATATACATATGTGTGTATGTGATATTTTTGTGCCTGCTTATATATATAATAATAATAATAATAATAATGTGGTAGTCTATTCGAGTATGACTTTACCCAGGGGGGGTGGGAAGGAGCTAATAGCAGCGCGATCAAAGACTACCTGACCGCGCACCAGTGTGCGATCAACAGTGCCCTGGAAGTGTTTGCCAATGTATGGAGAGAGCTTGTTTTTGAATTGAATATCCTCAATTTTGATGTCAAAGGCGGCATCAGGGCGCCAGATAGCCAGATCAGCGTCATGCCCGACACAGACTTGACCTTTACGATGAGAAAGCTGTGTGAGTTTGGCGGGTGCATAACTTAACCAATGGACAATATTTTGGATCCTATAAAAATTGGGTGACATAAGACAAAGAAAATAACGGTAAAAGCACAAAATATAAGTATCTTACGTGGCACCTCTCTTGCGGCCTTCAGACCATAACACAGGAAGACCAAACTGCACACTTGCGATACCTCCCCAGGCCTGGGCAAAGTCACCCGAGTCAAGTTTTTTAAGCTGTGCAGTACATGGAGAATGATCACTCACAACATAATCAATGGTACCATCCAAAAGAGCATCCCAAAGAGCATCTCGATTCACAGCCTCTCTAATAGGAGGGCAACACTTATAATGAGTTGCACCATCCTCAATTGCCTCTGACGTAAAGTTAAGATAGTGGAAACAGGTTTCTACTGTCAATGGAAGACCCTCTTTCTTGGCTGCTCTAATTGCAGGAATAGCAGACGCGGCCGACAAGTGAACAATATGGGTGTTGACTGGTTTGTTCTTTTGATGATACTCGCGTGTCAAGCGGATGATCATATCAATAGCCGTAGTCTCCAGTACCTGAGGACGAGAGTTCAGGAAGCTAGAGTAGGCGCGCTCGTCTCCCTCTACATTGTAGCTGACACCAGCCTCCATCTCTGCGTGGAAGAGAAACAAACTGTTTGTGTTGGCCAATTTATCCATGGCCAATCGTACCTGGGCTTCATTCACACATGGAAATTCATCGACACCACTTTCGATCAAAAAGCATTTGAATCCTCTTACTCCCATTGAAATCAGGTTTGGCAGCTCCTCTGCATTGTCAGGCACAACGCCTCCCCAGAATCCAACGTCAACATGGCACTGTCCTGATGCTGCTGCAAGTTTTGTCTCAAAATTTGCAGGCGTTGTTGTTGGCGGAATTGCATTTAATGGCATATCTATCACTGTGCTAATACCACCTGCAGCAGCTGCTCTTGTTCCGGTTGCAAACCCCTCCCATTCAGTTCGTCCAGGCTCATTGAGATGCACTATTCTCGATTATCCCTGTCAGTCATTTCAACCTTGTCATTCCGCCATCATTTACTAACCATGTGCATCTAGCAGTCCGGGTATAAGAACCTGGTCTTTGGAAAGAACCATAACTTCGGTTTTAGTTGGGTCGGTCTGGGTTACCAGAGCCTTGTTGCCTGTTGTAACCTCAATAACCTTTCCTGTGGTGCGATCCACAAGTACTGAGGCGGGTGAAATGTCGTGTGAAGGGGACAAAACAGCTTTCTGCGCTTTAACAAGCAACCAGCGACATTCCGAAGTATTAGCCATGAGTAGAGAAAGAAGGTAAGGATAATAAAGAAAGGGAAATGCGAGTAGACGGGTAACAGGGGTAAAGGTATACTGTTCTCAGAAAAATATTGATGAACATACATACACACATATATATATATTTCGCGCAGATTAAAAAAAGTATATTTTGCGTAGATTAAAAAAAAATAACATTGCGTATAAACAGAAGAAAAAAATTGCGCATAATTGGTTTCAAGACTTGCGTACATTTTGAAACAAAAAAATTATACGCAAAATACATGCACAACTTTGTTATTTAAGTAATCACCAATAATTTAACAGATAATAATAATAATAATAATAATAATAATAGCCACAAGATTGTTTAATTGGATCATTGGAAAGAAAATTGATATCGACTCGACTCGAATCGAATCGAAACATTATCGAGATTACTGTAACGCTTTTTAAACTGTGCATGTTTGTACATAAAGCTCATGACAGTTCTATAAGAATTGAAGTAATAGTAGTAGCTTGTATGTATACCCGATTTTCGTACGTAATGTATCAAGCAAATATTTAAATAAGGTCTATTAACTCTAAATCTCCTAAGAAAAGAAGAAAAGGTACAAATTACCCTAAATATAGGTCTATAATTAATATAATCATAATAACGTCGAGAAATAAAGAGAGTGAAAGTAAGACAAGGAAAAGTTTAACGACAATTTTTCCAGTCAACATGAATATAAACAATTTATATAATAGAAGCCGATTATTATTTTATTGGTATTCAATCCTTGTTGATTAATATCATATGGAGGAATTTAATGGACTTAATTGTCAACAACAAAGGCTCTTATTTAGATATGCTATCATTTAACTGTTTTATTTGAATATTTTATCTAGCTCCAAAGTACAAGCCCTAGAAGCATGTAAGAATATGTATAAATGGTCTTGCGATGCTCTCAAAAATTGGAGAGCAAAAAAGAGTCGAATATATATATTTTTAGAATAACCTTCAAACTTGTAAAGTAATACTTTATCGTTTGTATAATTACTAAATGCCATACCTACTATAACCAAGTGAAGTGTACTAAAGAAAATGCAAATGAAGCAAGACAATACTCATATTTTAGTAGAGATGTACTCACAGTTTAGGTCAACAGACAGCATAAAAAGAAAGGTTCAATCCCCAGAAGGGAGTGCTCAATAATATAGTGACACTAAAAAACATCGTTTTGGAGATTTTCAAAATAAGTGTAGGCAAAATATACCACAGAATGTTTATTTCTACATGCTACCAGTAATTTGGGGCCTTCATTGGCTTTATAAGAAAAAAAGTGACCAGCAAGCTAAAGTTTATTTATTATTATATTTTTAACGTGTACATTGTTTATATTCGCTTTTGTAACAGATCTTGATAAGGAAGCCAGACAGGAGTACTCTATAGCGAAAAACAGGTCGTAAAATTACTCTAAAAGAAACTCGTTTTCAGTTTGATCTTATATTTTAGTCACTTTCTGGCGTGTTCGTTCCGTCGATCTTAAGACTTACTACGAAAGATGACAAAACAGACATGGCTACTTCTTAGTCCTTCATTTATAATCCTCTTTTCTCACTCAAGCTTTCTTTATTTCTGCTATTGATATTATTATAGCTCATCATCTTTATATTTTGTTCTATATTTAGTTTGTATGGAGCGCTTTTATTAAGCTTAGGAGGTTTGGTGAAGTTCAAAGCTGGAGGTAATTGAGATATAAAATTAAGCAATATTATTTAGTTTATTCTGCGCATCCAAAATCTACGCAAGTTTTGATATAAATTAAGCGCAACTTTTTTTAAAAAAAAAATCTACGAAAATATACTTATATTTGTACCTGAACATTTTCTGAAAGTGGTGTATATTTATTTGAGAGTTTGGTTATCAGCAACAAAATTTGCATAAAGTGAAACCCAATTTTGATTGGCTGAAGTTAGAGATAAGAAATATAGCCAGGTATATTCACGTCCTCAGAGCAAAGTTCTTTTATCGGAGGTTTAACTAATCATGTGGTTTGCTTTTTCGTATTTTGATTTAGTACCAATACTGAGTGGGTACTCCTAACAAAGCGTGCTTTGACACTCCCTTCATCTTCAACGGAAAATATATCGTCCGCACTTGCTAATTTCATTCAATAATTTCAAGGTACTTCCCACCCCCGGCCTTGAAATTATCGAGGAACCATTATAGGGCGGAGTACTGGATTTATTTTACAAGGTGAGAACCGATAAAGACAGGTAAAAAGATAGATCTTGACAAGGATATCTAATTCAAAGCCATTTAATTCAGTTAAACTTTCTTTTAAAGAATGAATTCATAAATGAGACGAGTGTAGACATGTGTCTAAAAAAAAGGTAGAGCAAAAGTGAGGTGGACAGACCGAAAAAGATATATAAAAAAAAGATAAATATTCAGATACATTTTAGATAAAATTAAGTACTCATAGTACTACCTCTTTCATCATATAAAAATATTTTATTGCGAGATTTTCTAGGCCTCAAACTCTATGGAACATCTCTTCAATCAAAATTATACTCTTGTTCTTGATTCAATTGACAATGAAAGAAAACTGGCTAATCATAGTCGCTTGAATATATCTGAACTTTTTAGTCTATCCACGTCGTATTTTATTAAATTACAATAGGGGGTTTCACCAGCTTTGGATGTTGACTGTTGGATATAGCGGTAGTTTAAGCACCAGCCAATAATAATAAGTATCGAAAAAAGACTGGTGAAACCCCCTAATGACCCTTGGTTGATATGTTTTCTCTCATATACGTCAAAATTCATATGTACAATACGCTTGATTAGAGTACCCATAAATATAGTGCCTATGCCCAAATTCCTCACAAGTAAGTTAGACTTCTATAATTTGGTATCAAGATAACTACTTTTATATAGATTGATTATGTTTTATTTTTGACTTTGCTTCTATATGAACTTCGCCATCAATCATACATAAAGTACAAAATTTACAAAATTTCGGCTAAGTCACGACATCTAGAGTATCGAACTATTTTTTTAGATGCTTGGATGCTCGTTTTTCATTTTTTTGAAGATTCGTTATAGCCAATCATTTTCCGAATTAAACTACCGCTATATCCAACAGTCAACATTCAAAGCTGGTGAAATCCCCTATTGCATACAATCACCTTTTTGAAGTACATCTTCCTTCATAAACTGGAAGACGAGCCTAATTTTCCTTTAAAGAATTTTGTTAATGAAAAATTCTTTAAAAAAGTCTTTTTGTCACTCCTCAAGGACTACAAACCAACTAAACAGAAGGCTTCGACAAAATCAATAGCTTACAAGGATCAGATATTCAGCTATCGAGACCTGTATTTTCTGTGCTGTTCGTATGAGCCGATCGACATGAAGTATGCTCATCAAATAGCTTCTTAAGAAACAACAGAAACCCTTACCGCTTATCTGAACGGGGTCAACCTTCAATTTGGAAATAAATTTTGAATATTTCTTAACTTACTCTTGAAGAAGAACGAAATAATCAAGGCAATGGAAAGTGGTATAAAGAATAACGGGGAAAACAAGGAAGACATTGCGATGGCTGTGAAAACAATAATAGATGGTATAAACAAGATCAAGAAGATTAGCTCGTTAAGAAACATTGAGTGCATCCTTGGAGAATTTATTTCCTATGCTACACTTGACATAATTTGTAATCTCTTTGACTCATGTCTGCCATACTATCAATATTCAAAAGGCACAATATATTTTGCCAAAAAAAAAACCAATCCGCTGAGGCACATGAAAGAATAGTACAAAATGTCAAAAATTTGTGAAGTACTTCAATACAAAAAATTCAATTGTTTTTCATTACAAAGAGGGCTTATACCATTTCATATGACAATCTATACGTGTATTCTGAATATCCTTATCTTGAATAATTCTGTTATTAGGCACTTGGATAAGGAAGCGGTATGGGGAAGCGTTATGAATATTAATTCCAAAGCGACAAGAACTCAGGGAGAAGCAAAAGACGTAAAGTTCAGAGGAATGATATATACAGACGATATTTGCGTGTCATGCTGAAACAAAACAGCGAGACAAATAATAAAGGTATTGGCGAAAGAAGTTAATCTCTTTGATGGGAAATGAATTCCGGTACATTGAAACGTTAGAAGAAGGGGAGCTGCAGGCTAGTGTCTGAGAATGGGTGTTTGATGATCCTGGGCATTGTAATTTCTTTTACTTGATGGATAAAGGTATAACTTACAAAGGAAAATCCACATACAGATATACAAGAAATAAAAAAAATGTCGAAACAAAAGTCAAAAAATTCAGAAAACTCAGGAACGACATGAAGCTAAATCATATTATTGCAGCCAAGCTCTTCCTGTCCCAGCATAATTCTTCAACAACTACCAAAGAAAAGATTATTAACTACCTTCAAGAAAAAGCCAAAGCCATACCAGCGATGAAGGCCTATTACGCAAATGAAGGCAATCCTGCCTAAGAATATCGACGTATCAGCGGTCTACCTCCGTTCAGAAAATGAAACTTTCAAATTTCATTAACCAGCTACAAACAGACAAACGTTTGACCAAAAATATTCGGAAAAAGTTTGATAATGATGCTATACTGATACTATGTAATTAATTGGCCGGACAAAACAAATACCATTAGCCCATCAGAGAAAACGGAATGCGTAGAATACTAGCAAAGAAAGACTTCTAGGTATACTTTATTGACAAGTTTAAGACTTCCAGTCTGTGCCCTGCTTGTCAAAATGGTGAACTTGAAACATTTAATGAAGTTCAAAGCCCTAGACCATTTCAAAGAAGAAAATACCCTATAGTGGATTGCCACGGTCTTTTAAGGTAAATGTTTTTATATGAAAGTCATATATGTACGTATATGAATAAACTGATAACCTATACAATTTCTAATCAGATGTAAAAACTAACGATGCTTAAAGTCCGTGACCGAATCTACTGAGGATAATATTCAGTATTCTCTCTATCACCTTTGGAACCGTGAT